GCAAGGTGCTGTGCGGTATGTGGATTAGGTCAAGATACTCCACCTCTCTGGTCTGGTTGATAACATCGTTCCAACAGGCACGAAACATCAATCCCTGCAAGAGTAATATCTTCGTGCAATACGTTGCTGCAAAAGACCCGCTACATCGCAAATGGCCATAGTAACGAGGTCTAGTGCGCACATAATATCAGTGATAGTCTCAAATTTAAGAAAACTCTGAAGCCTATTATTAACTTCAACGCCGGTAAGTGCCGTGAAGCTAGCTCCCCTATTATCGGACATATCCACTTTAAAACTCTCAATACGCGTATTCGTATACGGAACTCAGGGAGGACAAGGAGCCCGCAAACAAGGATCCTTGAAAGCCATAAAAAGGTGTGACTGAGTCCTGGGTTTTTCTATGTTCAAAAAGAATCCTATGCAAGTTGGCTTCTAACATGGTAACGCTAGTCCGATTATTGCAGGTGTGTTGCCTCCTGAGTGCTGTACAAGCCGATCCAATTAGCCGGATGCAACCAGTGGTAGACCTTGGATATGAAATATACCAAGCAACAGTGCCAACAAATGTTAGTTTCTCTTCTCTATCCCGGTCACTTAAAACTGATACTGTCTGGAAACAGAAAACTGCTGCATATCACAGCTTTCCAAACATCCGATACGCCTCGGCGCCAGTGGGTGACCTTCGGTAGAAGGCACCTGTGCCACCTCAGACAAACCGTTCGGTGATCCAATCGAATGCCCAATCCATTGAGTGTTCCCAGGGATCGGCCTCATGGCAGATCCACACCTCGAAATATATAAGTAACTATCTGAAAACTGGAAACATCCCCAACGTCACCTACAGTGATCTGTCGACTTTTGTTAGCGGTGGAGTGGAGGATTGCCTTTTCTTGGATGTAATGGCACCACGGAAGGTGTTCCAACGTGCCCTTGCTAATGGCACACTCGCGCCTGTTCTTGTATGGATTCATGGTAAGAGAACCCCAACGAAACTCTCATGGGCATTGAAATTTCTAACAACATTGCAGGTGGCGGATTCACAGCTGGTTCCAAAACCTCCATTGGATCTGCCCTTGGTCTGATTAACCGCAGTCAAATGAATGGCTCTGATGGGGTGATCTATGTGGCCCTTAATTACCGACTTGGTGCTTTTGGGTTCATGTCTGGGCCAGCTTTTGAAGAACAAGGCAGTCTGCCTAACGCCGGGTTGCATGATCAAAGACTTGCTCTGGAATGGATTCAACAACACATACATAAATTTGGTTAGGGCTGTTCACGATACTTTAAAGTCAGGGTTTTGCTTGATCGTTGATAGTATCGTATAAGCCCAAAGCCAGCGATAATTATCGTAGAAAGTATCGGATAAGCTAAGGGTTGACGATACTATTATCGTCAGAATAGTCAACGATACTATAAAAGTCGACGATAATCTCGCTATATCATGTGATTTTTCTAACAAGGAATGATTGTTAACCGAACTTTTCACACCTACAAAGATTATAATCACCTAACTGAGCTATATCAATATTATGGCTTCAAATGACAGTCAGCGAATGGCTACTCGTCAAAAGCAACTCAATTATTTCCTTCTCAATGATAGATATGATGAAGAATCCTTATCTATAGATCGCATGCCAGATTTTTCAGATCCAAATTCAAATCCAGTTCTAGCTCCAGATACTAGATCTCTAATTGAACCTCTCTCCTCTGAAATTCTACCATCTGAATCAATTTTACAAACTCTAGCAGAATTAAGCTGCTCAACTTCATACCCTCAGAAACGATAACGTCCAGCTCCAGTCACAAAATGGATGTAGAATTATTTTCAGATTACTGAAGTTAATCAAGAGTGAGTTAACAAAAAGACAAAAAAACAGGAACTAAAAGACCGACATATACAATGCGCCTCTATTGAGAGTAAAACTGGAGTACAGTATAGCTGGAGTACTTCAGATTCATTAAAACAGACTTCAACTACTAACATGAAACGACATCTAGAAAAATACGGGATCTTTTTATTTGAATCCTGGTGTACAGTTTCCGATAGGAAAAAACAGCCCACTATAAAAGATTATATGGCTAAAACTGAGAATCTTTTATACCAACAATTACTGGAAAAGAATATCCTTCGGTAGATTATTCAGGAAAAACTTGCTTTTACAACAATCAAATTACCTGCCTTCCATCAGATATTCAATGATATTCTAGGAATCTCATTATTACCTCTATCACGATCTACATTACGTCGGAAACTTATGAATAAATTTCAAATAAAACGACTGCAGTTAAAGGAGGAACTTACAGTTACTTGCAAATCAATTGCTTTATCCTTGGATATTTGGACCAGCAAAAATCATCTACTAATTCTCGGTATCATTAGCCACTGGCTTACAGAGGATTTTAGATACCAGGAGAGAGTATTAGAGCTTACTGAACTACACGGGATTTATAGTAGAGAAAATTTGGCAATCGCTATTCATTCTACTCTCCGTGAGTTGAATCTTGAAGCTAAATTGACAACAATTACCGGAGATAATACTAGTAATAATGAAACTATGGTTTCAGAGTTATATTATACATTAAAAGTATCACTTCTGTCTGAATCAATAATCTAATTCCAAGGAATCGACAGTTATATCCGCTGTTTTGCACATATCTTAAACCTTATTGTCAAAGATATTCTCTGCGTGCTAAACTCTGGTAGTACTGCGGAAACACAAGCTATATGTAATAATCTTCAGGATAACAACCTTATTACATCTCAGATAGCATTAGCTAAACTCCGGATTCTAGCTCTTTAGATTAATCGCAGCCCTCAAAGGAGACAAAAATGGAAAGAGATTTGCCAATATATGGATCTTCCAGACCGGTACATTGAATATAATGTAGAAATACGATAGAATTTAACCTACCGTATGCTTGATGCTGGTTTAAAATCGAAGTATCAGATTAATCAATTTATATTCTTGCAAACTGAAATTCCGCCTTTTACAGATAATGACTGGCAACGACTTTCTCAAATCTATTAAGTCCTTACGAAGTTTAATGAACTTACACTTTTCATTTCCGAAAAACAGCCTCATATCAGCCTGGCTATTCCACTTTACTACGAGCTTCATGATTTGCTTAACGAAGCATCTAATTTCGAAGAGGCTTTTGCTAGTATAGACCCTGATATTGCTGCTGCGATGAAAACAGGCTTAAGAAAGTATCAAAAGTACTATACTTTTGTGGATAAATGTGATACATATTATACTGCATTAGTTCTTGATCCGCGGGTAAAAGGAGACCTGATTTTGAGTAAACTGGATAATAAAGAGACTGGTAGCTGGATTATTAAGGCTATTAAGACTAACATTTATCAAAGATATCCCATGGAGGATGAATTACCCAAGTCAAGTATATCTACACGATTATTACCGGGCAAACTATACAGCAATGTAGAATTACGAATGCTACAACGGTTTCAACTTTCTAACCAGCTTTTTCTTTCTGATATTGATCAGTACTTCAACAGTCCTTGTATTAGTGTAATTGACACTACAGATTCTAACTGGCTTTGCACCTGGTGGCGTAGCCACAAAGATGAAATGCCTCAAATGGCTGCAGCTGTTCGTGATTATCTAGCTATTTCAGTCTCAGAGGTAGCTGTTGAGAGGCTATTTAATGCAGCGAGAGATCTTCTGGGAATCCGAAGATATGCAATAAAAGGGGATACTATAAGAATGTTAATGTTAATAAATGATATCTGTTAGGATCAGAAGGATTAGAGCCTTCAGTTTACTTAACTATATATATTATGCTTCTTAATCCCAAAATCCAAAGTATAATTATTATTCTAGTACCGAAGAACTAGTTCTAATTCGGAAATTAGCCGATCTGACGATAATAGTTAACTTTCTACCAATAGTATCGTATAAGCCAAGGGCCGGCGATAATTATCGTCAGAAAGTATCGGATAAGCTAAAGGCTGACTTTTCTGAAAGTCGACAATATAGTATCGTCAAGACCGGCAGAATCGGCTGATAGTGAACAGCCCTAAATTTGGTGGCGACAAGAACCGAGTCACTGTATTTGGGGGGTCCGCTGGCGGAGGGTCGATCATGCATCATATCACCGCCTTCGGGGGATCAGCTCCATCACTTTTCAGTAGGGCCATTCCTCAATCTCCGGGATATTTCCCCTATCGGTCGAAAAGGCGCCAGGACAATACCTTGCGTTCATTCCTCGCAGAGGCGAACATTACTACACTCAACGAAGCTCGAAAAATATCAACAGATGTTCTGATCACAGCAAACGCGAATAGCATTGGCCAATCGCAGCCATATGTATCGTCGATTTACGGACCTACAATCGACGGTACCTTTGTCCAAGAAGATCCGAAGGTTTCCCTTCGTGTTGGCAAGTTCGATGAGTCGGTCAAATTGATAATTTCTCACAATTCAAATGAGGGTCTCGTTCTCGTCCCAGCCGTGCATACGAGTGAGGAGTATGTTACTCTGGTGAGGAACATTCTTACTCTGGTCTGTGGCAAAGTTCAACCTTGTACCAATGTTGTCTCCGTTAGAGCTTTTCGGGGCCACTGCAGCCAATCTTCCCACTGAAGACCGAGATATTGACATATTGAATCGACCATATACTTGCCCCCATCGCAACACACCCAATGGTCTTTGTGGGTTGCGACAAGGGCACCATAATATGCCAAAATAACCAATGCTTCCTCCTTCTTCTTAGAAAGCAGTTCAATATACTCAAAGGGGACAAGAACTGGCCATGCAATCAGGGCAAATATGCTATTGTCCCGTGAATTTTCGCGCTCGATCACAGTCTGCACTGATTGGAGTGCCTGGACAGCTTGTTCGTATTTTCTGGTAGTAAATTCGTCCAGGCCAAGAGCTTTGATGCGATCAAATAGACCGTTGCAAACAAAGCTCAAACTTGACTCCAGAGGTGGAAGCTCTTCTCCAATTTCCAGGAATGGTCTCAACGTGCTTTGTTGCAAAATTTGCCACCTCCCTTCATTAACCACTGTCTGTACCCCATGATGCAGCTTATTGTATTGCACAAAACGGTCAAGGAAGCTTTCAAAATCATCATCCCTAAAAACAAGTGTCTCGCAAAGCATGTGCAACCCCAACATCCCTGCGAAGAGAAAGATTGGGACGCAATTTTCTTCGGTGATGTGTGGTGATAACTTGTTGAATGAGCTTAACGCATAGTTTTGCAAGTGGGAAGAATGATGTCGGTAAAAGGCACACTGCTCTTTTCTGACCACACTGAGATGCAAAGCACCCAGAGCCAAAAGCTCATTCATGAGGTAGGGTGCCGCGAGGCCATACTTCAATATCTCTTGAAAGGGAAGAGTAGATAGGGTAGCTGGCCCATATACCGATTTGAGGGTTTCTGAAGATGTATGATAGAGAAGCTCCATGTGAAGCATACTAACGGGATCATCCTCAAGTGATTTATTAAGCTGCGATGCAGGAGAGGGTACGGCTGATGGAGCAGGTGCAGTCTCTCCACTGGCGCTATATGAGGTTTTTGCGATCGGCGCAGCTTCCACAAATTCGCAGTATCGCTGCGAACTGATACAATTTGAACAGATGGGCTTTTTCTCATCACACTAACCGCAGTCAGCAACTGTACATGACACATTTCTGGATGGCGTACCTTCATGTGGCGTCGCTTGCATTCAAAGCATCCATTTCGAGATTTCTTATGAGTCCTTCGCGGCATGGCACGGAGTTCTGTTGGAAGACTCGGTTTTAATAAGGTAGATTCATAATTGTGGGGTGATGGTGATGATGCAGAAAATTTCGGCGAACTGAATTTTTGGGTTCGTATAAGGGTGGGTATGCACGGACCAGTTCCACTTGATCCGCTTTCAGTTTCCAGATATGGAGCGGCCAACATCGACCGGACATACATATTTCAGCCTGAGCATGATATAAATCACAGGGTTAATGTAGCATAGGGATATTACGTTGTGCATCTCTCAATTGATAAGATGTCACGCTGGTACCAGTCCAAAAGAAGAAATCGATCAAAACAAAAACGAAGACAATACGCAAGTCGTTTCCGATGTGCCTGACGCCTGCTCGATAACAGATCAATCGTATACGCTGGAACCACCGTATAGCCCTTGTGGCAGATTGCCAGCCAAACGCAGACTTTCAGACACAGACGGCGTCTACCCTGAACCGAGACGATCTAAACGATTGATCAAAAGGGCCAGCCAGTAATTTAAGTGTGAACTCGTCTTGCATTTGTTCGTTGAAATTTGGGAATTGCTATGGGCACCCCCAACTTTGCTAGGGTCACCCCTAATTATGTAATACCAGTGATTATCTAATATGAAATATCAGGTGATCTGTATCTGAAATTCATTTTTATTTACATGACCTCCGTGTATGCCCTATTTTTTTACATGCAGTGCATTTTGACGGTGCCTTCCTTCGTTTTTGTATAGCTTTACACTCGTTATTTTGCTTCACTTGATCTATCTTCCGTTTCTTAGCCCTCGGAAGAGGAACCAGAGGCTCTAAGAGCGGGAGGTATTCCGATTCAGTTTCACAAAGGCCGATCCTCCAAAACGGGTGAATATCAGTCAGTGGAATAGCTTGTTTGCTCTTCAACAGACTAGAAATCCTGTGTGCACAAGGGAGGCCCATTATCCTTATGAACGTATTCGTACACAGAGGTAAAGGGGCAAGATCTGTGGCTCTTTTAGCCTTCGAAACTTGCTCACTAATTCGTCGAATCGAATATCGAGAAGTCCTAGTCATAATATTAGTATAGAGTTCTTGTGATGACACTACTAACCTTTCAATTTGATCTCTTAAAGACTCATATTGGAGTGTCGTATGTTGAGCTTATAATACTTGCAAAATCCTTTCAAATACAATTAACATATCTCCGGATGCAGCACCTATATGCTTCTTAAAAAAGGCATGCGAGCCTTCAACTCGGGATATAGCCGAATTACCTAGATGTAGGTATTGCTGTGTTCACGCAACTATAAACTTTTCCTTATAAATTAGCCATGTTTCCTTGATATATCGAATAGGGGGTAGGGGATATCGCTTTTTGAAGTCTTGTAATCTCATATTATAGTTATTCTCAGTAGTAGAATAGACTAACTGATTCCACGATTGTAGGGATTCTTGGTACTCGTCATTCGTAGTAAAGTACTGCTTTGTATTTTGTGTCACATTCTTATCTGTGACGGTCTACAAAGGAGCTTAGTAAAAGACAAGTTTGTTTATGACTCGTAGTCAAAGAATTTTCCCATAGGGAGGAAAAGGCTATCTAGGAGAGAGAATCCAGGGACTCTATATACTGCCTGGAGCTTGCCTCAGGCAGGAATGCCTGCAGGATCCCTAGGAATGTTCCTGGATGCCTGCCGCAGAGGATCCCTTGATCCTCCGGAACGTTCTCCCGTACAGGAAAGCCCCCTGGCTTCAGGAGGTAACACTTATACGTTGCAGAGCGTCCAGACTTTTTGCATTAAAGGCATCGAAATATGACTGAGCCGGGCGTCCTCGAGAATCAAGCACCTGCTGATACATAATACCACCCATATACCAACATATTGGTTTTAGTTCGGGATCTTATGGTTGTCATTCTCAGTAACTTACTTCTAATCATGGAGTGATATATATTCATCCGCAAACTCTAACGAGTTAAATGATTAGCGCTTACAACCAAAGCAGCCATTTCGACATCCTACTTATTGTTTCAACACGAAATTCCCCGAGGAGCCGGGGCATCCACAATCCACACATCCAGGATCCCAATTCCAGGGCACTGGGCCCTCCCAGGCATGCATAGGTATCAAACCTCCCTGAACGGACCGACCCACCCATGAACACCCGCAGCCCTACCTTCCCGCATCCAACCAATCAACCACATGGCACCGCTTCCCGCCCCACATCCCGACCCTTCCAACCCTCGGCAAAAAATTTAGATCTATAATGCATAACTCGGATCCAAACATCAACAACCATCCGATATGGTGTAATGGTTAACATCGCCGTCTCTCACACGGCAGCTCGGGGTTCGATTCCCCGTGTCGGAAATCGGATAACATTACAAATTTACTTTTTGCTTCGTGGATTTTTGTGGCGCGTTCCTGAGCAGTGCTACGCTGGGCATATTTTTTTTGTCTTTACTATGTATGCGAAAAATTATTTTCTGCTACTTGTGTAGGCGTTCTCGTAAGGCGATAACTGATATCCCTTTGGCGGTTCTGTATACTTGTAGTTAGTACATATTCTGCTAATATTGATATTTATTTTTATGATATATATACCTTTCTGAAAGCTCACAGAGAGCAGGATAAAACAAAGCCCGTTATGTTTGTGTATTCCAGCGACCTGTTCCCGTATTCATTGACTTGATCCTTCCGTAGATTTAGCCCAATGGTATTCTGGAAGAAAGATAGATTCATCGTCGTATTCGATGAACTAGGTTGTAGTCGGTGAGTATCGCAATAAGTACGTTGGTGAGCGAGGCCCCTGGAGCCAGGCAGCTGAGCTCGCCCAACAACACGACCAGGCGCGGCTTGACGACAGCCGGCAGCCGGATTTAACAAATAAATCTCCTCTGAGGATTTGGGATCGTGGGTCATGGCCAGTTCTCCGCCGCACGTGTTCTTGCGTTTGCGCCCTGCAGCCATATCAACAGCAACCCACCCATTGAATACCCAACTCCCATCATCATATCAACAGACGCGGATAAATCTGACTGCCCGGCATTTCGAGGTGGTCGATGGTCTGCTTCTCGAATCGGGGCAGGCGAATAGAAAGAAGTCGTATTTGGTTCATCTGGGTCAGGGTGTCGACATGCCGTAGGATGTCCTCGTACGTCAGTTCTTCCTTGGGTATGCTGCCGGCAGCTCTCATGTACTCATTGTGACGGTCTACAAAAGAGCTCAATATAAGACAAGTTTGTTTCTGACTCTGAGTCAAGGAATTTTCCCATGGGGAAGAAAGGCTATCTAGAAGGGAGGATGTAGGGGCTCTGTATACTGCCCGAGGCTCTGCCTCAGGCAGGAAGGCCTGCAGAGCATCCAGGAAGGTTCCTGGATGCCTACCGGAGGGTCCCTAGATCCTATACTAACTAACCGGAATGTTCCTCTGGAACGTTCCTCCACACCGGGAAGTTCCCTAACTTCAGGAGGTCACACTCATGGCATGAAAAATGCTAAACATTTTCATACACTTGGGTTGGCTTAGATATCCACTCATCAACAAACCGGCTCTGTGGAAAACAAAAGAATGAAAGGAATCAACTATATGAGAAAGGAAAGTTGGAAAGGAAACAGGAAGGACTCCGAAGGAGATATGACAAGAAATATTAAAGAAAGCACCGGAGAGAAACATCAACAACCATCCAATATGGTGTAATCCGGGGGGACAGCGGAAAGACCACGGTTGTGCGTGGTTCTGTGGGAAATAATCGTGGTGATTCCGTATAGGCGGTTTTATAGATGTAATGAGGACTAGCGCCCTATGTCCAACTGGGTTTAGCGCATGATTGCCCCGATCTTGCTGCATGTCTATAAGCCCGACGGCTTTATCATGGGCGATAATTAATTGATTGCCAAATTTGGACTTTCACTACGAATTGATTATTATTATTATTTTGGCTCGCAGTGGTTAAGTATCGTACACTCCCCCACTACCTAGATCTCAATCAATCTTTTCCCTCCCCTTCAAGCCCACCGCAATCGAAATGCACTCCCAAAAGCTATCAAAGCCGGTTAGAGACTGGAATGCATTTGTCCGCCAGCCGGATCCAACAGTCAAGACCAACAAAGTCTTATCGACGAAAGAGCGGTTGAAGGGAGTCCATTTTAACTTTCAGAGGTATTATACCGTTGCTTATTAAATATATGCTTTAACTGACTAAAGAACTTTCAGATGGGTGCAAGAACTTGACAACAAAGACTATAAATATTGGCTTGAAAATATAACGCTGAGGATAGTTCAAGGCTTTTATGGGTGATATTTGGATGAGCATGACATAAACTACAAGTCCAGTTTCATGACAATTGTGCATTTTTTCAGAATGTACTGGATGGATAAAAGAGGCCTTTGCCTTCCTTACCAACTTGGAAAGGACATTAGTTCGGTATGATTTCTACAGTCTTATTTCTAGTCCTTTACTTACTTGAGAAGCTGGCCCAATTAATGGCTATAGAGTACGACCTTGATAAGACCGCGAAAGAACAGCTGCCCTTTAGTATTAACGAGGTATTTTTTATTACGCGTCATCTAGTGGCCGCTTGCGATATAGCCTTTCCCACGGTCCGGGTTCTTTTTCAAATGAACACCCTGCGGAAAATGATGGTCTCGACTTCAGCCCGACCTGGAACCCTTGTACTGTCTTCCTGTTACGAGGAGGAAAATGATGCGCTGAAATGGAAAGATATTGACATATATATGGTCAAACACCCCGAAGATGCTGATGCCCAAGTTCTTCTTATGAGGGCTAGGCACAGGCTCAACAAGGGAAAGAGAAATCAAGGAGCCCCGTGAGTCCTACTCTTATACCACCAAATATGATTCAGTCTAACCATCACTAGGCCTACATTTACGTATACTGAAAGAAACGACAATCTCGGACTATGTGTTATCCAGGACATACTTATGTATGCATTTCTTGATGATGCATTTGCAAGCCCGTACATCAAATGCCCTCGTGACATTTGGCGCTTCACAAACGTCCCAGACCATCGCCACAGCACTCCTATTCATTTCAAGGATAGCGTGAAAAGCATCCCCATTTTCAGGCGCGCTGTAAGAACGAAATACGGAGCTTGGGTCACTGACTGTAAGGCCGGCTTTTCATATTCGCAGGCACAGGAATACGAAAAGAAGGCTAGCGCAAAGGCTGGATTCCCGGACGAGGGATCACTCTACAAATACCGCAAAGGTGCAGCTGAAAACTTGAGTATGCAAAAGAGTATCTAAAGATCGATAAATTGTGTACTAACAAACTCTAGGGGACCTTGATGAGCACTCACGTAATATAATCATGGGTCATCGAAAAAGTGCAACGTTCTCAAATTACATGTCTGTGTTTAATGACACTCAATCCATTTTCATGCAAACTCCGACGAGAGATTCTTTGTTGAATCTCGTATGCCATGGCTACCTAACACGAGATGAATTAGCGCCATAACACCTGAATGCTGAGCAAAAAGAGTCTATCGAAATGGATGCCGAACTTCAAGACTTAAAAAAGGCGGTCAAGTTAACTAGGGACGAACTCATATCGGAATCTCATAAATTGAAGAAAGCGGAGGGAGCGTCAGACGCGCGGTTCACTGAAATGAAGCGTCTGCAACAAAATATCCGGACGAGACGAAAACAATTAGAACGCCGCGCCCAAAAGGTAGCCCGGAAGGAATTCTTCGATAGAATTGGCAACCGGATCATCGAGCAAAACCAGCAAGGTACTCCGGTCACTTTCACTCCAGACGTCAGTAATATTCAGCCGGAGAGAATTGCGCTTGCCAAGCTTGAATTCAAGAACAGGAATGTCGATACCATCGATGATACGGAATTGATTGAAGACCGCATTCGATCTCTCGAGCTAAGACTGAGACTAAACAGCCTTCATATTCCAAAGGCCTTGAAAAAGCGAATCGCTTTCAAAGGTGGACCGAAGCAAGCATCGAGAAAAGTGGTGGTCCCAATAGAAAGCTCATCTGGGCTGGAATGCCCTGTGTGCTTAGGGAGTACTAGCTTGGATCCCATCGCCAGGCGCTATAAGTACTCACGAAAGGATGTTCTTCAGCACCATTTTAAAGGTCATCGCCTGCCGGACCTTTTCGAAAGCCCGGGTCGCCAATGTGATATTCCTGGATGTTTGAGTGTCTGTATGTCTCTTCCTGGATATAAGAGCCATCTGGCCAGGCATCATAAGATTTATCTTTGATAATGTGAATTACATTATGTTTCTTCCTAGATACAAGAGTCATCTAGCAGCCACCATAAGATTGCCACCATGAGATTTATCTTTAATTTGCAAATTGTATTCAACTAATTTCACACTACCCATTGATTTTCGTTCGGGTGGAACTTTGGGAACGAAATGCTCTCTGCGGCTACCGGTGTGAGCGTGGTGCTGAAATCCCCTATTCCAGAGAATATAATCGTCCCCCTTACACTCACTACGCGACGATCTATCTAGATCACGAGGAAAAGGTCAAGACCAAGGAATCTCGGTCTATCCAAGAGCAATGCGATAGAGTGTTCACTCCGGAAGTATTGTATTCCTGACTTTTCTTGAAATTCCAAGTGAAATTAACCAGCCGTCCCACGGTAGGTAAGGACCCGGAACTAAAATCTCATTATATTAGCACTCGTTGATATTAAGTTGAAGCGATAATAACTTTCAAAATTGGAGACTCACAGCAGGTCAAGACCTACTATGAATGTTTATTGATCATTGTATGTTCTAGCTGAGTGGTCGTTATATGTTGTCAGTGAGGTGTGGGACACCAGCGGGAGTTCAACGTGTACTATATACAGGAATCTTAAATCTGACTCCAATCTGCCTGTCTCCAAAAGTCCTCAGTACTGACCAAACGATCCTTGACGCCCTCGAGCTCACGAGAATCAATCATAACATCTCCCTCTCCGACTGTTTCCCACATTTTCGGGGCTCCAGCCACTTCGAAGAACTTCATCATAAGACCCAATTCAGTCCCCCACATGCCGTAAAGAGCTTCAAATTGCTCGAATGGGACCGATAGAACCTGAAGCTTCCCCTTCTCTGCAATCTCCGCCCATTTCGAGAAATATTCCTGGAATTGGTACTTTCCCGTTGTGACGTGGACATATCGACCTCCCTTGCAACTATTCGCTGCCTTGGGATATGGGTGTTGGAGAAGACCACTGACGGTAATGCCGATGTTGTTCACTGGGCCTAGTGAGGGAATATAAGACGAAGACTTGGCTGGGAGGGCAAGAATATGTTGTCCTGCTGGCTTCTATTATTTTAGAGTATTAGCGAAAAAGCAACTTCGGCAGAGGGGAAAGAAAGGGTGCAGTTCATACCGAGTAAACGGGGGTGAAGGGCGGATGGCTAAAATTAGATGCATAAAAGCCCGTCAAAAGAAAGATCGTCTTGGCGTTCAATACCGGATCATTTTTGATATATGCATCGACAGCCCCCTTGCCATCAAAATGCGGGACTTTCACCTCGCCGTCACTTAAGTCGCTCGCAGCGGGTAGGGTGCTCCAGAAGTAGGTTTCGAGAGTGGTTGTCTTAGCAGCTGCACGGGCCAATTTCACGCCTCGGTCATACTCGATTTGCATGGCCTTTTCCGGGCCGACCCCTTTCGTGAAGGGTTCGTAGAAATCGGTAACTGCGAAGATGGCGTTGGCGCCAATGAAGGCATTTTCGAGGCTGTCTTCGTCGTCAAAGGTGGCGGCTACCATCTCGATACCACGATGGACGAGCGCCTTGGCCTTTTTGCTGTTGGTGTCTCGTGTAAGACCTCGAATTTTCCAGTCGGGGTTTGCGGACAGGGCGTCGATGACGCCTGATCCCTGCATGCCAGTTGCGCCGGTGACGACCATAAGCTTGGACATGTTGAAGTTGAGGATGGTTTTGAGGCGCTTTGAAAGGAGGAACTTAAGAAAGCGATGATTTGAATTGAAGACTTCTTCTCGAGGAGTACGGGATACTTATAGCCTTGACTACAGATTATAAATATAAAACTTAGAGTGTGAATATATTTTAACAAATTGCCACATTCCCACATGAATGTCCGCAGCGCCCGCAGATGCCCGCAGACGACCGCAAGTTCCCGCAGATGCCCGCAACCCCGTTGAAAATCATGATTTTCGTTTTAGGCAGGCGGTAGTAGCGGTGAGCTAGGTGCCAGACGGGGTGCAATTACTGACGTCCAGTCACTGTACTTGGAACAGAAATGCGGACATCATGAGTCATGCATACACCACCGCCTGCACCCGCAAACCTCCGCAAACACCGAAAGCTCCAGGGGTAACAAACATCAAAAGTTATAACCCATCATGACGTCTCATGCTCTCGCGTCCTGTTTCTTTTGTCGCCGCAGTAAACGGAGATGTGACAAGAATCTGCCGACATGTCAGCTGTGTATCAAAAAAGGCTTGAAGTGCAGCTACCCCCACAGACGCGGCCAACGTGCTGCCTCACCTCCCTGCGGTGTCCATGGATCAGAATCAGGCGATGATTCCAATTCAGCCCATGCGGAGCCTGTCGTAGCACAAAGCAGTAATGTACCCCAGTTTCAGCCCGTCTCGTCTACTTCTTCGTTTGCTGTGAACGCCGCCATTAGTTTCCTCGCACCCGATCTCTTCCGTGAGGCTGGGTTAGAAATTCCTCGCCTGGACCTAGGCATTCCGGACGAAATTTCCTTGCACCTAGGCGATAGCCAGCAGGTTCTGGAGACAGCCAGCAAGTTCTTCCAGATGACATGGATGCCTATCGTCAGTCGGAAGCGCCACTTAGCCGCTGTACTCAATCCGTTATCACCATCCCGACGTCCAACAGTCTTGCTAAATCTGTGCATGAAGCTGTGCTGCTTGCCAGTAAATGATGATGAAGGCCGAAAACGGACCTCGTTGTATCGATCAATCAAGAAATTCTACTCCGAAGTGGAGAGTACAGAAGACTTGTGTGTTCAAGTTTTACAGGCCGCTATATTCATTGCGGTTTTTGAGATCGGTGATGCGATCTACCCTGCAGCTTATTTGACGGTCGGAGGTTGTGCCCGTTATGGTATCGCCATGGGTCTGGACAAGATCAATAAAACTAGGTTGGGTGGAGAGCATAATCGTACAGCGTCTTGGATGGAGATTGAGGAGAAGCGAAGGGTTTGGTGGGCTATCTTAAACCTGGACCGGTCCGTCACTTCCCATACAATTTTCCTTTTCCTGGTCATTCCGATTCGGGAAAATTGTAATGCTCGGCAGCATATAACCCAGCAAATTGACGCATCTTGAATACAGATTCTTGAACTTCACAAATCCTTCTAGGGTCTTGGCGACAGAGGATCCCATATTTGAAGATTTTCTCCCGGTCGACGATGATAAGTTCTACGACGCGGTCAGAACCATTTCTCTTCCTCTACTGCAAGATTGAGCGTTCTGACTTGGATATTATAGACCTCGGAGCCGGAGGATGCGGTCCCCATATCCCAGGGGTTCGTATTCAAAATTGGTCATTTCGGCAGACTAGCTCAGGCAACGTACCTGATCAGCCAGGCCCTCGCTAACATCAGATCCTTTTCTGCAGTCTCTACTGATCTCAGCAAGTCCAGCTTATCATCGGAGATAGCACAACTATGTCGCACATTCGAAGCCCTAGCTCGTGCTAATGAATTGGAAGTCACAGTCCGCAGGCTGCCCTTCTGCTGCCAAAGCCTGATTTCTTACAGGTAAGCACTGGCAGACAGCCGTTACTAAGCCGCTCAGGAGCAAACTCAAAATCTTACCCATTGATGGCAGCGGTGTCTTCCTCCTCCAAGAACATTACTGGCAGCAGTTGAATATGCGATCTCGACAAGAGGCGCAGCAGCATACATATGTCGAGACTCATAATGCCCTCAACACGCTTTGCCGAATTGCATTTGGAATCCAGCAAGGATCTTATCCGGTGGACTTACGGCAGGGTCAATGCACATTTCTTCTGGTTGGAGTTGTATATCAAGGTCTTTCGGCGCTTTTGACTATTGGGAAAGGAAACCCGTCGGCAGAGATTAGAGAGGATATAACTATGTTAAGATGGTTACTTCGACACCTACGAACCCGCTGGCCACTTTCTGGTAAGTTCCTTGGTAAAATGTCCTGAAAAGAATGATTCTCTAATGTCAAGGGAAGGCATCTATGAAAGAATTTTGGATGCAAAAGAGGCTCTGTTAGCCTCGGAGGCGATATAAGAGGCGATATAATTACAAATTTTGTACCACAGGAGGCAGAATACAGTCATGTTGCATGAGTATTTGCACCCCAGTACATCGGAGGGCTTTGGCCCCACTTTTCTGCCGGTTAAAACTTCTCATTTTCAAACTAGCTAGTAACTAGTATGCCAACCTTCGTATTTGATAGCCTCTTCCACCCGGTGTGGCATAGTCTCTGCTGAATCTATAAAGTGATGCACTGTGAGGTTCTCCCATGCATACTGCGCTGCATCTACTAACTCGGCCCAGGTCTCCTGGTTATTAGGTATCTCTCGTAACCAAGGCCTTAGCGTTAAGATATCTGCCTTTAATAACGCCCAGAGATTCTCAATTGGGGTTAAACCAGGTGAATAAGGAGGCCAATCCATAACATTTACACCTATCAAAACAGGGTTTCTTCGCAGCAACAGCGTCATGCGCACCGAGAATAGCTAGAAGAAACGCGCTAGATCATCCTACACGTTTCGTCTTATCTCTCAGGTCAAAAACAACAACTTCGACGCGAACCTAATTTTTGAAATTACTCAACCACCACGACGGCTACGACTTCTAGAATCATCCAGTTTACTATCAATCTCAGCAGCTATCGATTGAACCTAACTTTATAGGGGACATCGATATAGTTGGGGCGAAACCCTCGTGGCCGGCCCTTTCAGGGATTTCTGAAACGGTAAACGCACACAATCAGAATTTTTTTAACTGCATTTTAAACCTCAATAAAGATGCGCACCAATATCTCTCATTTAATGAATCGAACGGAAAATAGCTTTCTAAATCAGTAATTAGCTTTATACAACAGGTAGCTGACGCCTGCGAATTTTTGTAACGCGAAACTGTAAATATTCTGGTCACTAACTGCTGTATCGGCTTTAAACTGGCCAATATCTGGCAGACCCTCTAGACTGTCCAAAAGCAAACCTATTACATTCAATCGAATATATAGAAATAGAATTGCCAGTTCTGAGCTTCTGTAGTCTATAACGCGCCTCCCTCAGCTTATACAATTTTTTTTTTACGGCTTCTTCAGTACTGCTCCGGCCACCTCGTTAGAGCTCAATAAAGACTGCAAAATTATCGTTAAATTATAGGATACTGGTACAATGTACATCTACCGATATCTTATAGTTTCGGATATCAAGCAAAGAATAAAAATAGTAAAACAGAAAATGTACAGTCAGACAGAAATTTTCTCTCTAGTTAAAATGCGTTTTGTAACTGTTAAACAGTTTAGATTTAGTAATCTAAGTTTTTTACTTTATTATGCCGCTGAGGCCGAAACTACCAAAATCTACGATTAATAAGTTAATTACTTGAGTGCAAAAGCTATACTGTAACATCCCTCTTAGGATATCATTATACATGAGATCGCATTTAAGTTAATTAAAGATTTCATTACCGATACAAAACAATAACGGGTAACTAATGAGCTATTCGAAAAAAAAAACAAAAATTACTAGATAAATAAAGAAATTTAATAGAATCCTTAAATTATGTGTATCGCGTAATTTACTTATCCGTTTAACTATAAAAATCAGAGATTGTCTATTTTAATCGTAAAATTTTTAGACTTGCGTTACGCCAACGAGGCAATCACACAAGGTACCATTTAAGATAGCGTTATTTATAAAATAGTATTATATAATTAAACTGTTCGTATCCGACGGTACTTTAACTGCTAATAATATAGTTATATAAGAATTGGCTATTTAAATAAAATAACTTGCAAATTCTATAAAAGTAATTACAAAATTCAAAATTATTCTTACACGTTCACTAACAGCTAAAAGTGTCACTGTATAGGGTATAAAAAAGTATACGTTATCTAGCACAAAGGGTATTCGAGGTATACAGCAGAGATAGACCGGATTCAAACTACAGCAGTATATTAGCAAGTCTAGTATTAGGTCTCTCTCTATCTGCAGGACTTTCAGTTTTCCGTACGTAGCGGTACAGAAGCCTCTAGCTCGTCTAATAGCGAAAGACGCAACCAGCCGCATACAAGCCTCTTAGAGAGACATATAAGGTCCGTTAGTAGATCTGCAAACGTTTATAATCGTTTAATAGTCCGATTTTAATCAGGATTTACGCTGCCGCATACCGACTCGCAAAAAATGATTTTTACAGCTAGTAAACTTTCCAAAGATAGGATAGATTTTGCTACAGATAGAGTGGGTATATCTCTATAACCTAATCGAAAGAAAATCAATTAGTAGAGTAAGCCAAAAATGCTTATTCCAGTGATCTCGATATCTAAAGATTACTGTAGACGAAAGAGTGGCCTGCAGAGCGTTACCTTATCTAAAGGAATATGCTGGAATGTCCGTACCCAGTCTGTAATACAGCAAAAAACCTTATATTTAGCTATTATACCAGTTGACTCACTAACTGGCAATATATTATTTACGAAACGATCCTGCAGTAGAGTAGCATACCGAGAACGATCGATTTTAGCTAGCGAAACCCTTACTGTTTCCCTCCCGAAAATCCTGGTACCAACTATTGTACCTACTATAACTCCTATCACGAGAATCTATTCAGTATTACAGAAATACACTAGAGCTGACTGATTATAATCAAGCCCCTTCACATCTTCCAATATAATACAAATCGATTTAAAGATAAGGTAATAGCTCAGTTCCTCCGGGATCCTGCAGTTCTAGAGGTAGACTTTATCTTTGTACAAAAACTTTAAGAGAATCCTTACCAGGATACTACTTACTATTCTGCTAACGGTTTCTACCAGTTTCTATACCCGGATTCGACCGAGATAGGGAACGAGCGGGCCCGCGTGTGCCTCTATATATTATATTAAATCGATTTTAGTATCTGAAAATATATAGCGTATTCGAAAAACGTTTAAAAGCTCGAGCTTACTGATATTAACAGCTAACAAGTGAGCGAACCTTTCATTCAATGCGGAATGCCGCGAAATGATCAAAATCACCCGAAAATTCTACGTCGTTTGAAAGAACAGGATGTTAGACTGAAATTTGGTCCAGCAATCGACATGATCTTGGCATATTGATAGCCAAACACCAGGTTTTGAAGTATAACATGATCCTCCATGTTTTTTTCGAGGCTCCCATAGTAATATTCGTTTAGAATAAAAGGGAATGAAGGTAGCCCGACTTCTCTACCCCCGAACGATATAAAGCGTTGAAGGGATTCGCTCCAGCCAGATTCTATGACAATTTGACGCTCGGGATCGGTGGAGTTTCTGTCCCAGAAAGAGTGCCAACCGACGGCTAGCGTTTTTGGTTGCTTGGAACTCGTTGAACCAACTGTTCAGGCGTTCAAGAGAGTCATCCGCTAGGTAGAGGAGTCCGAAAAGATGGCGTGATTACCGGCATTACTCTCTGTATGAATGCGTTCATATTCCCAGCGCGCTCTCTCTTCTCCACTTACGCATGTCCAGAGTGTATGCGTATAACGCGCTGATAAAATCTGACTGATAGACCCGTAATGTGGACAATATTCGGCAGCGTGAGAGAATAAAGGAGATGTTTCCGCTAAATGAATACCAGATGGAATATCTCTGTTTCTGGATTTCGGCAGATACAATCACGCCTGTTGTGAATCTGACTCGGGCCAGTGGCCAGTTCTTGGACTCTGGTAGGGACTATTCATTCTACGACTCAGAAACCTCATCAAGGCCCACGGCTGCGGTGATTTCATTCACGGAGCGGTGGCACACATAGCACGAGCAGCATCCAGGGGAGTTAGGACCCTCGCCAGGTCGGGGCAGCAGCGTGGTTTTACCTTACTTGTGCTTTCGTTGAGACAACGACTACCCGCCTGGATACCTATTCAGACGGCACAGATCACAGGTATCCCCAGGACGACACATTTGTTCACGGCCTGCTGTAGAGTAGACCCAACATTCTCTATCATGGGACACATACCCAGTACACCGTGTATTTCCCAATAGCTGTGTGCCAAGCTCCGTCTCCATAATACGGCCCACGTGTCAGATATTACTTCTATCAACGAGACTGATGGCGTTCAGTTTGTATTTCGAGCGACTCGATAACTAGGTCGATTGTGGTACGCATGCATTTATGCGATTGCAACTGGATTATAAAATTGGAGAAGCTCAAGCATATTGACGATTCCGCGACAACCTCTAGCAGGTCCTGGTTTTTCCCCCCGCAATGTCGATCACAACGGGCATGATTTCCGCGATTTTTGCGAGGACCGGGGCGAGGATGTCCAGGAGGAATTGTAAAGAAAGGGCTCTTAATTGGCGAACTCCTTGGTGACTTTGGACTGGGTATTATGGTCGAGGTCCTAATATAGTTAGCGAGCCCAATGATCAAAAGGATTAGAAGCCTTACCTAGAGCCTGTCAGTATTCTTGAGCACAGCATCTTGATGCCGATCATCATACTTTTGGACAGGATAATTGCGCTTGAAATGTCTGTTCGAACCGCATCTGAAACAACGTGCCGACTTTCGAAATGATCAATATTCTAAGTCTACAAATTCAAAGCTCTTAACTCACGTTGCTGGGCTGGGATGGTGACATAACAGAGACAATCTCGTCACCACAAGGGAAGATGACGGACATATGGCCCCCGACGCGCGCAACCACAGAGGAGCTACCAGGGGTCACCGTCGCCGAGGACGCAGGGCTGGCATTATCCAGCTCTTCACGCGCATCTGACCAGTACGACAGCGACGGCGAACGTTCCGGCGGCTCAGATATGCCGAGCTGTTGGTCAAGCTGCGCTTGATTAGCCACCGAGAGCTCTCCCAGTTCCCCCTGGGCCCGCCGGAATGCGGCCATCTGCCGTTTCAAAACGCGAACACGACGCTGGAGGGGGCGGCGCAGCCCGCCAAAGGCGCCAAGCGCGCAGCACGTCGGCCGCGAGGGGGCCAGTCCCTCCGGCGACTGACCAGAATTCAACGATCAGCGCATGTATGAGAACCAGGGCAGGCAGTCTTGCTTAAATTCTCACACGTGTGGCGCAACGCTTGGCACCGCATGCAGCGGTGCCCTGCTCTCACAAGAGCGCGGCGGTATGCGGTCATGCGCCGCTTGAGCAGCGCAGCACGGCGCCGCAGCCTCTGCCGGTTGAGCTGGTTGTCTACCAAATGGATCTTCGGATGCAGGCTCAAGTTGTATTGTTCCCAGTTTAACAGTGTTGCTATCGGATTCCTAATATTACTTCGAAGGATCCTCTGCTTTAGTTTCCGGACTGTAATATCAAAAACCCAATGATATTACTGGGCTTTTACGTGTACGCACTTGGTAAAATGGTCCGGATAATGCTGTGCTCTGTGGGATGGGGGCCGTGGTTGGCCATTGTTGCATGCAGTTCCCGAGCGGTCCGCGGTGTAGCAACATGGATGGAGGAAAGGCTGATTCCTGATGAAGATGATGTAGGAGGAAAGAAGAGAAAGAGGAAACAGGGGGGAATAGAAGGGGTATTTTATACCCGAGCAAAATGGCAACGCTGTCACTGTTTGTTGGCGTGGACATGGTGAATCTAAACATTCCATATGATCTAGTCTCATATCGCAGTGACGGAGGCCGTTATATTCACGGACCGAGGGTTAGGGCTTCACTGGGAAGAAGGCAGGCAGGCAGTGCATTCACTAGACCGCCTCTAGAAGAAAGGGAATAGTTTTGAGTGTAGCATAATGCTTTCAGATTAAGTATCTGTCGAGTAAGCTGAACAAAATTTAGATTCATGCTGACATCAAACTAATCCAAGATAATTCCAATATTTATTTACAAGAAGGCCGTAATCCATACATCAACAATCATAAAAAGACGAAGAAAAGAAAGCTCAAACCTGCACGCTAGACCCATCATTCTTCTTGCACGCACATGCCGCACCACCAGCCGCAATCTGAGACGGAGTTCGAGCAAAGCTAGGAGGAACATCCAATGCCGGGTTCCGAGTGAAGAAGTTCCTCGGACGAAGAAGCAACGTCATCGGCTCTGCAGGCATGATAGGGTAGTCTTCGGGAGACGGGAAATGGGTTAGGCCAAATGTGTGCCACAGGACGACATCGGTATTGTCAATGGAGCAGTTAGGTCCGGCTGCTTCGATCCAGGCTGGGATGCCTTGAGATGGCTCACCCGAGGTTTGTGGGACGTGGCGGCCGGCAGGGTGAATTTCGTCATCGGAATCTGCAGCAAGGGGTTAATAAAAGCGCATTCACTGGGTCTGTAGACAGAAAGGAATACTTACATTTGGTGACATGAACAGCATGACGGGCGAAGCCGGCCCGCTTCCAAGCCAGGCTGCCTTCTTTAGGAAGCAATGGAGGTACCTCACGACTGACCAGCTTGTAACAGACAGGCTTCTTGCTGTAAGGGTTCAATTTGCTGGTATTGACCATTTCCCAGGTGCGGCCGGTGTTGCCGTCGTAGTCCGACATGGCTTCCAGCGGCGTGTTGTACTTGGTCTTTTTGGCATAGAAAGCATTGCCGTATTTGTTCGCGGCGCTTCCAACTTCTCCCTCACCACGAGCAGCATCGACCTGGAAGACAGTGTTGTTGGGGCCGTCGATATTGGGATCGACTCGCAGACAGAACAGATGCTGGTGGTTGTGGGCGTTGACCCCGGGGTAGACCTCGGTGCCCCAGCCATGGGTGTCCTCGCCGGGGTTCATGGCATACGTGTTGAGAATACCAGTCAGTTTGATATCCAGCTGGACGGTTCCATCCTGGTGGAAGATCCAGTACACACAGTACTCGTAGTTGGCAGCAGTGAAGATCTGGGAAATGATCAATTTCCGAGCACGAGTGACGACCATGGACTCGTCACGGAAGTCTGTGTGCTTGTACATGATGCCGTTGTCCTCTTCGTGAATGCAAATGGCGTTCTTCACGATCGTGCTAGCACCTGCGCGGTTTACAAATGCCGCATCCATGTAGTGAATCGCGCCCTTGCAATCACAGCCCAGAGACAGACTGTTGGTCATGTAACCACCACCATATTCACCCAGGTCAAAAGCATGCTTTCGCTGGTGCGGATGCTCGGGGTTTCCGTATGGAACCACCATCTCGGCTAGTGAAAGACGGTAGAAGATAGGCCGTACGTTTCCTCTGTCGTTGAAGGTGATGTTGTTAAGCACGATGCCTTCCCGGTAGTTGAAGCCCACATGAATGTTCCACTTTTGCCATTCAATTTCCCGTCCTTTGACTGTGAAGGAGACACCCTCGGGCTGCGTGATGTGAATGGGCTTCAAATCTGTCCGGAAACCTCCCTCCGCTTCAATTGCAGCAGGGTGGTAGTTATTGGGAGGGGCGTTGCTGAGAGGCCTGCGCACGGGCGGCACATCGATGTGAATGATTTCCTTGGTTTCCGCGTTGAAGATGGGGCAGAAATCCAAAGGATAGGTGTACTGGGAGTCATCGACATGAGGACGGTAGTACATGAGAGCCTGCTGCAAGCGAACATCGGTACCAAAGCGCTCATCATAGCCAATCGTCCAGGCTAACACATCTCATTAGCTTCAAAACCAAAACAATTTCAAATACCAGCCAAACTTAACACTCACGGTCACAGTACACCTTATCCATATCCTCTTTCGGAATGCCCACAATCCCGCACTGCTCAATGACCTTCGGGTCCTTCCGCACAATATGCTCCACCTCCTGCAAATCCTCCATGGTAATCAAAGGCTGCACCCCCGGCGTATGCTTCCACTGCACAACCTTCTTCTCATTCAAATTGACAACCCCATCGTACACCTTACCTCCCGGGGCAATGGCAACGATATCAGCAGCCCGAGCAGGACGGGGAGCATTCTGCGGATCCGCCAACCACGCCATCATCTCCGCCTTGCGCGGCTCGTATAAGGTTACGGCATTAAAGTTAACCTTGCCATGCTCCTCGCGGATCAGAGCAACAGCGGTATCGATCTCTGCCGTCGACAAGGGATCCAGCGGATGAGGCGGAGGCGCGGTGGCCGTGACCTGGAAGGTCAGCTGCTGAAGACGGTCGAGGACCATGATGAGACGACCAGAGTATCAGACAATTTGCAATTCAATCACCCGTAGTAGACCGACTGGAAGACGTTTTATAAAGCCGCGAGGATCGGTAGATTTAGCGGTGGAGATAAGTCACCGTCGAACGAGATGCAACAGTGACACAGAAGCGAAAAGAACACAAGAAGAGTAGATTGTCACACCGACAAGTTGCTCTGTATGGCAGGCGCTAGGGCACCTTTTAGAGTTTCGCATCGTTGCTGGCAGCGCGAGGAGCGATGTAGATGCGTCGAACCGATAGCGATAGAGAGTCCGATCCTCCCGATAAGAGACCCGGATTCGTTCGCCTGTTCGGGGCTAGCGCCATCGCCCGTGACCGCTGGCGCCCAATGCGGTATCCGGAACCTTCCTTGCGGGTTGATCGGTGGACGGGGATCGAGGCATGTCGGATATGACTGCCTTCTGTACGATTCTGTGGGGTAGTACCGGTCTGGGTTGGTCAGGGTTTCGCGTAATACAACCGTGGTTGTCAATCTGCCGGCACAGGAAGCTAGGATTGAAGATGTGGTACTTTTGATGCCTGGGGCAGGTCGATATATGTCATTCGAATCCACAACAGCATCTAAGACAATACGTAGAGCCTCCAAGATAGCATGATAAATCTTAAATAGGATTGAACATCATATTCTAGCCATAAACAAACACCGTACACCTCGCGCGAACACCCCCCTCCAAAATAAATGTGAAGGATCTCAGGCGATGAAAACCCCATGGATGAACTGAGAACGGGAGATAACGTGAAGAAGTTCGGGAAAAATGCTGCAAGAAAAGTAAAAGAAAACGAGACACCCCCGTGGTGCCACATGCTATGTACATCCGTCACATCATACTGAATCCTCATCCCTTGGCCCGACATAGAAAACACAAGAGACCCAACGCTGGTCTGCAGGAACGAGAAATAAACAAAACGAAAGGAAAGAGAGCAAGCATTGCGCGCAAGTATACGACAAGCATGCTCTCCACATGGCTGCCTGACCTTGAGATGGCAAGGAAGCAGGGTGCCTATACAACATCAAGCATAAACTGAAAAAAGGTCGACCAAAAGCACAAAGATGCAGTAAAATGACTCCGCCGAACCAATCTAAACACCCTTTGAGAAACGGAAGAAAGCTTTCGTAAGACCCAAACTCATGACTTTCCGATGGCAAACTGTCCGAGTACTCCGCCGACAGCCCCGGGAGTGAGAGTGCCTAGGCCGTGGTGCTGAGGAGTATGGCTGCCCACCGAATGAGCGGCATTGGGCGTGCTCGGGGTGCCCGTGGTAGAATAGATCGTGGCCCCGTTGAGGTTAGGAGTCTGATGAGGATGGAGTTGATACATGCTGGTTGGCATTTGACCGTTCAACCCCCAAATCTGACCAGAGTACTTGGACTCATCGATAGTGCCGTTAAAGACAAGCTGTCGCATCTTCCAGTAGATCTCTCCAGTGACGAGGGAATCCGAACCTGCCTGGTGAGCAATGCCGACCCGCTTGACGCCAAGCTCGTCGGCAATGTCTTGAAGCCCCGATTTTTGGCCCAAGTTAGCCAAAATCTGAACAGCTGCGGCAGTCAGAGGGGAATCGTTGACTGCTTGATTGCGCCCTGCATGTTTCATCAAGTATTTAATATCATACAGCGACGGGAAGAAGATATTGAGGAGCTTGTGGAATTGCTCCTCATTCTCGGGGAGTGACGTGCAGAGCATGATTTTCATCAAGTAGCCAAAGTCGTAGCCGGAGTGAAACGAAACCCAGTGTACGTCATCCAATAAGACAAGACCCGAGCTGATCAAGAGGGCGCCAAAATCATGCGGATCGATGCCGTTCTTATCATGCATCGCGAAATCAATGCCGGCTTTGGCGAGCATCGCCGTCGACTCCTGTGCATACATATCCTCTTCCAGCGAGAAGCGGAAGTTGAACTGCCAGGTGCAAGGAGCCGGGACGAGGCCATTGCTCATCGGCTGGCCATTTGCATCGGTCGCATTAGGCGGCGGAACCTCGCCTTCGGGCGAGAACAGGGTGATCCCGAGCTGGATCATCTTCAGGAGATCGACATTACACCGGAGGGTCTGGTAGTGGTAGTCGGCCTTGTTCGTAAATGCACCGATAGGGCGTGCAACGATACCGGGAAACTCGGTGTCCTGGGGAAAAGGCAAGCTTAGGTTAATATTTTCTCGATCCGATCAGAAGAGCGACAGCCCAAGCAGTTCAAACAGCACTGGAATTGCAAGGCCACCGGATGGTCGGACAAAGATGGTCTTACCATGCTGATATAAGGGTACTTCTCCACCAATTGTCTTAATATCGCCATTTCCTGTGCTAGGTTGTGTTTCCATACGTCACGTATCCGCGTCTTGACCCCACCTGCTTTCGTCTCGAGTGCCAATCGGCCATCGTGGGCCTGGTGTAATTGCTGTTGCTGCATCTGGGCCCCTCTCGCGAAACCCATCTGAGCCGCATGGCTGGCAAGCCCGGTGCCGCCGCCGTCGGCGCCAAACCCACCGACCGACATGCCGCTGGCGATTCCAGTTCCAGATAGCGTGAACGGGTTGATGTTGGTGTTCGGGTTTCCGGCCGCGAAGCCAGGATGGCCACCGAGAGAGGGAGGCGGGAGAGCCGTGTTGGCCGACTGGGCGTGGACCGGGTGATGTTGGGGTTGTTGCTGCTGTTGCTGTTGCTGCTGGAGGTGGGCCTGTTGCAGGTGTGTATAGGGAGCGCTCAGGCCAGTAGGCCCGTATCTGCCGACAGGAGGTGGCATGGTGTGGATGTCAGCGCCGTGTGGAGGTCATGCATCTGAGGATTCCCACGGTGCCGGTAGGAAATTTAAGGGTGGTAGTGGTTGCGAGGGGCGTTCGAGGGTTCGGTTCTTTTTCGCGCTGGCCGCTGGGAGCGAGGAAGAGAGAGAGGGAGGGAGAGGGCGGCGCAAAAGAGGCGGACAGCTTGCTTCGAGCACGGCCGTATGCGGTTTAGCGCCGCCAAGCACCACATCTTCGGTCCTGTACAGCTTCAACTTCGCTCGCTCTCTCCCACCCCTTCCGCCCTGGATCTCGCTGTTTTATTCCCCTCAACCACCATTGTACCCTCGGACCCTGCGGACTCGGGTGCCAATTCGCTAAATTATCTCTCTCTCTTTTTTTTCCCCTCCCTCTTTCGCCCGTCCTCCATCTACCCATCCACCATGTCCGCCCAGAACCCCACCGGTTTCGACATCAAGGAATTCAAGGCCGCGGCCTCGCCTAAATCGGTCTACGCCAAGAGAGACCCCTGGGCCCGATAGTACGATTCTATTCTTCTCTCCGCTGGTATTGGGTACAATACTAACAGTATCCAGTGAGGCCTGGCGCTACACCGGCCCCTTCAGCCGAATCAACCGCTTCAAGCGAATCTTCCCGGGCTTGGGCATCGCGACCGTTGCGTTCGCCGGCTACTGCACGTACGAGCACTTCTTCCTGAAGGACGACCACCACCACGGCGACGGCCACCACTAAGCGATTCCACCCATCGAAGTCGAAGAACGGAGGGCACGGAATAGGATGTCATTAAGAAATGAATTGGCCAGTCTGATCCCAGGGACAGGACGCATAATACCCCGCGGTACGAATTGATGCATCGGGGTATGCAGAGAACGGGACTCGAGTTGTCTGGACTTGTTTGATAGACGTGGTGGCATTCTCCGTGAAGTGTGGTTGTGTTACGATCGGAAGACTGGGATGATCTCTGGTCTCTCGCCGAATACATGACGGTCGGGTCTGGTTGTTATGGTCGAAATGAGCCAAGCTCGACAATGGCGCTTGGGTTGTTTGCTTTTGCTGGATGTACATAGTATCTATTTGTTGTTATATTAAACTGCGTTGACTTGTACTCTCAACAAATGCGAATCGTAAATATGTGGGCTATCGAATTACATTCTACGCAGCAAAATAAGAGTCAATCTTCAGTGGGAATATGGCATCATCAGATTCAATCAATTCGTAAATTTGAAATTTTTATCTTCGTTTTGTCATGCGCGTCTATATACTCGTTGAAATGATAACTATATCCAATAGCGATTAAATTATTCCTCGAAAACCAAGCTGATGCCGTCATCACCCGCAGTGACAACGCGCTTTCCATCAAGTCCCTGGACAAAGCCCATGATACCGCCCGATTGCTCTCCATCGTCGTTCTCAGTAAGACCCAAGTGGCCCTTCCACTCGGTCAGCAGCCCGTGTGCCGTGGCCGCCGTTCCACCCCGACCGTCCCAGCGTCTCACGACACCGTCCATGCCGACGGAAGTGAGAAGCCAAGGCCGGTCCTGGTTCGCGGCAGGAGGCGCCGTCGGGCGAGAAATGGAGGTTGCGGAGTGCTTGCGCAGGAATTCCACCTTGACCACGGCACCCTCGTGTGCGTCTCTGATGTGACGACGGAGAGCGAAGCGGTGGGCAGCGTCGAACAGAGCGATCGAGCCGTCGACCGAGCCAGCCGCAAGAAGAGTCAAGGGCGGGGCGGAGAAGGACAGGGTCTCGACGCCGTCCGATTGGGCCTGGAGGGAGGCAATAAGGGTGCCTGCAGCAGACGCGCCAGAGGCTGGCTGCACCGAGGGCTTGCCCTTGGCTTTCGACGACGTGTTGCCTCCGGGAGCTGTGAGACGCGGCAAACCAACCACCTTGATCTGGCCTTCCGCGCCACCAACGGCGGCAATACCACCACCGGGAGAGATGGCGACCGAGTACAGGCCGCCCTCCACAGCGAAACGCTGGTCCTCGGCAGTTAGGCCGATGATGGCGCTCGTTCCGGGAGAGTAGGAGACACCCGCGGCGGCGGCAGCGCCGAAGACATCGTACACATAGAAGCTACCGTCCTCGGAGACAGTGGCGAGGAGGTTTCCGTCGGGGGTCCAAGAACCAGCGGTACAGGAGCCGGTGTGTTGGAAGAAAGTCTGCAAGATGGAGATGGGCTGCGCGGCATCGTTGTGGTCGATACGGAGAACCCAGGCACTGCCGTCGTTGGCACCGAGGGCGATCACGTTGCGCTTCTCCTCGTCGCCGTTCTCACACGGGCAGACAGCGACCCAGTTGATCTCTTCCACTTCCTGAGACTCCGCGACAAATCCCCACGACAGCCCGGTCAGCCCGGGAGTGGTATCGCGCCAAGCCCGCAATTTACCATCCAGACCAGCCGTGACAACATATTCTCCCTTTGGTTCAGTGAAGGCAACCGCGTTCACGGTGTCTGTGTGTCCGTCAAGCTTGAGGATGGGCTGCAAAGACTCGCGCTCCTTCTTGGGCTGCGGGTTAGACTCGTAACTCTGAGGGAGGACGGGACGCTCGGTCTGGGGTGTCGAATCGAGAAGGTAAGCCGTGTCGTCGCCAGAGCCCGTGATGACAATCGAGTTGTGAATGGGGTGCTGAGCAATGCAGAAGACTGAGTCCTGGTGGTGATCGAAATGGGCGGCGGAGTCGTTCTGGAGAAAGATCTCCTGCATCAACTGATCTTCATCTTCGGGATCAGAGTCCATTGGGTGGTCTTCATCACGATTGACGATTTCATCGGCTTCATCGGCATCGACGAAAGCATCGTCTTCGTGCTCGCGATGGGGGTCTTGCGAGGACATGATGTCGGGAGTGAACCGCTGAGGGATGGTCGGAGTGGTAGGCGGAAAATATAGAATGAGATAGTAGTAGCACAGCTATTGGGAACAAGTGGTAGGTTGAAGTAGGTTTTGAGCACTTTTGAATCGCCCAAGAATTTGAAAGGAGAAATTTCTAGCAGCGACTAGAACGTAAAGCTGCAGAATGGAATTTTGCTGAGCAAGAATCTCTTCCGATACTTTTTTTCTGACCCCTCCGCTTAGAAATTCGATTTTCTCCCCGCGCGGAGATCAAACAGTGCAAACAGCGATCGGTCGGTGTCGTGCCTACGGTGCAACTATGAGTAAGGTGTACCCGGAGTAAGGGTTCTGCATGCAGCTGCTTTGAACTAGAAACAATCCAGTCTATTCTAGTATCTAAACAATCCCTATGTACCTCAAACACAAATACCTCATGAAGTCAACAATTATGTCCATAAAATTTACACGCTGAACAGAAAAACAAATCAATCTCGGGCATCATAATCGCCAATTCCTCCCATGTCATAAATCCGCCTTTACAGCTTAGAACCGGCCTTGCGGCGAGCCTCCTTCTCTTGGTCGCGGAGTAGGCGACGGAGAATCTTACCACTGGGGCTCTTGGGAACGGCCTCGACGAAGCGAACGCCGCCCTTCAACCACTTGTGGCGGGCCTTGTGTTCCTCCACAAACTTGATGATGGACTTGGCGGCTGCCTCGTCATCTGCGCCAGCGGAGGGCGATTTGGCCACGATAGCCTTGGGAACCTCTCCGGCGGCTTCATCGGGAATGGCAATAACAGCACAGTCGGCGACCGCAGGGTGGGTGAGAAGGTGGGCCTCGAGTTCGGCTGGGGCCACTTGCAATCCCTACAGTTTCGTGGTATGGTTAGCCAGTGCAGAAACGCGGTGCTTAATAGACGAAATACATACCTTGACCTTGATGAGCTCCTTGATCCGGTCAACAATGAAGACGTGCTCCTTGCCGTTGGGGCTCAGACGGACGACGGCCTCGTCACCGGTGCGCATCCAACCATCCTCAAAGGTTTCCTTGTTCGCTTTCTCGTTGTTGAGATAGCCCAGGACGACACTAGGGCTGCGCACTAACAGTTCACCTGGAGTATCGTAGGCAATGATCTCCTCATTCTCCGGGGTTACAATACGCGCTTCGACTCCGGGGATCAAGCTGCCAGAGGATCCCAGATAGACGTCATCCGGATATGTCGAGGAGACAACGGTTGAGGTCTCGGTAAGACCTTCACATAGAATTAGTATTCATCCACATTGTTGGCCAAAAGGGCTCAGGAAGCTTACCGTATCCTTGACGAATAATAACATTTGAATAGACCTTCACGAAGTCGGCCGCCGTCTCCATTCCCAAAGGTGCTGCTCCGGTGAATAACGAAGTCACAGAGCTCAAATTGTGCTTCAAGCATTCCTCGGGGTTTCGGAGCATAGTGATGATGATTGGCGGGACCTGATAACTTGATTAGCATGAAATTCGCATCACAAAAGGAATGCATAACCAACCAGCAACAGGACAGAGATCTTGAACTTCTCAATGGCAGCCAAATACGACTTCAGCTCGAATTTGGGCAGCACAACAACCTGATCACCTCGATAGGGAGAGGAGTGGCAGATGACTACCAGAGAATAGATGTGACTCTGAGGGAGCAGACCCAATGCGACCTCGGTATGCTGGGACTGACTTCCGGGAGGAGTGAGAGATGCGCGGTACTTCTTTTCGGAAGCGGTAATTTGCAGAACGTTGGCGATGACATTGCGATGAGAAATCATTACACCTTTCTGGAGAGAGAAAGATCCGGTTAGCGAATTTGTTTTTCTTTTATTTTTGGTTCTTTCTTGATTTGTCAACCACTTACCGGCAAGCCGGATGTTCCGCTGGAGTAGCACAAGAATGCGGTGCGTCGAGCGCCTTCACCAGCCGACCAGTTGAGTTTCTCCAACTTGGGCAGCGATTTCCCAGCCTCGAGAAATTGCTCGAGAGTCTTGTACTCTGCCGGAGCCTTCGCACCGCCGGTGAGTTGGCTCGGGAGATCGATCAAATAGATGCGGTTTTTGGGGAATCCAGCCAAAGAGGCCGCCTCTAGCGCGGTAGAAAGCAAGGGAAGACATGTGAACAGGGCCTTGGCCCCCGAATCCAACAACTGATGTTTGAGCTCAGCAGCCGAGTATGCGGCGTTGGCAGGAGACACGATTCCACCCAGCTGGTGGGTTGCCCAGCACAAGGGGATAGTATCGATCTGATCGGAGAAGATATGAGATTAGCAAAAACGGCCTGCGCGCTTGAAATTGAAATGGAGTGCCATACGGTGTTCAAACTGAAAATCCCCACAGTCTTGTCCCATTCCGTGCCCTGGTTGGGAGCCCAGCCGAATTCCTTCGCAAGCCCTCGCGATAGATAGTCCACCCGGTCTACCACCTCCAGAGAAGAATACGACTTCCCGGAAAATCCGCAGGTGAAGGGATCCTTTGAATACCCAAGAGGATTGCGCCCATAGAGGTCCGTAAGCATGAACTCGCTGATCGGGATATTATCAGGAATCGGGGGCAGATCGCCCGCCGAGCTGCTAGGAGTGAAAACCATGATTTCTGTCGCGTGGTGCTTGTTCGCGGCTGATCGTAATAGTGTAATTAAGATGTAGATAGATGACAGGGAGAATGTGAATCAAAGCATGCAAGGGGGGGAGGATGATGCGGAGAATAAATAGGGGAGAGAAAAAATTGGGGTCGGAGGAAGGGAATCTTAATTATGTGGCACAGCCAGAAGTCAGAACTAAGAAGGCCAGTATGGGGACAGTGCGGGGAAAGCTTCCATCATCACTCGGCATTCGGCATTCCTATAATGATTACTGCCATGGCTATGCCGGATCCTCGTCGGGAATTCTCTATAGTGAATGGAATATATAGACTATTAATGCAATGGTTACCCAGTTGAACAGATATATCGATCTTAGTAAATAGCTAATTTCAGTGAACATTTAGCAGGAAATCCCATTGTTGCATCTCTCTGATTTGCCCCTCGGTCTACCGTTTACCGAGGTGATTTTATTAATGGCAGGTAACGTTCGGCAAGACTTAATAATACGTGGATTCTGGCACGAGGCAAAGAACGGTTAAGCGTGCGTTCTGCAGCCGTGCTATCTTCCGTTTGGTTCGTTCTCCGAAACGTCCCCATATTTCTGGTGGCGATCCCTGTCTCCACCGTGCATAATACTCCATACTATGGAGCAGAACTGAGACACTAATTAAGCAGGGACGAAGAATTTAAGACATGCCTGTACTTGATTGTCATGTATATAGAGTCTGGAATTGGCTGGTGGAATACGGTTAGGGCTGATGGGAGCTTGTATAGAGGCCGGCTGGTGCCTGATTGGGGGCGTCAGCGCAGAGGTCGTGCAATATAGGATGGGTACATAAATATTCGTACGGACAACTAGGTATACCTGGACGGAGTATTCTGTAGTACTATGTGTAGATCCGACTAACTAGACTTCTGCAGCGTAGATGACATGACATGACGAGTGTACGCAGAAGATTCGGGATCTTGAGCGAAGAGATCTCGAAAATACTCTGCACATCAGAGTATTCTGAGGCATCATTATTCATTCTCGAAAGATAGATCATGAAATCTATGCTTTTTTAACCCTGAGCATGATATTTATACTTCCATTATTGTATACGAGAAAGTTTTGCAGAGTTGCAGAATCTCGCCGAATTTCTGCCATCAGGTAGTACAAGCAGGTTAGAGAATCTTATTAGTTTGCGGGTGCAGAACCCATTTCTCTTTCAAAATCTTCAAAATATCTACGAATAAGAGCCAATTTAATGTTGATATATTTATCAGAAAGGTATCAAGATTTTTGTTGTACCAGAGACATATCGAAGGGAAAACGGTTGACATTACAGATATCTATAAGCATATTTTGAATCTGCTTCGGTTCCTTGGCTACTGAGAAAAAAAAAAGTCTAGTCCTAGAACAGCAAGAGATCTTAAATCAGCTTTCCTCCATTCTGATCGATTCAGATTTCTCATCCATCTTTCTTGATTTTTGAAGTGTCATCGGCCAGGGAAGGTGTGCACCGGATTGCACGGCTGGTCTCTCGGCTAGCCAGCCCCAATGCAGTTTAGTGCACCCGTGACCCACAATGAACCTTTCTCAGCCAGTCAGCAGCCATCGCCTTTATTCTATAGAAGCACTTTACTCCGTACACCTCTGCAGTTCCATCATCGAAAGCGAAGCGATATCAATCAGTCTTGTGAGTAGCCGCGTAAACCTACTTTCAGGGTGATACTGATACTTTCCGGCATACGTAATAGCAGATCAAGCCCAGACATGGTTACCAGAGGCCAGCTCAAGGCCTCCAAGGCTAAGGTGGACCAGGTGATACATGGTCGTGTGACGAAACAACAAACGCCTCACTTGTCTGGTATAGTATCGCCCTGTTGCATGCACCGCTGGCATAACTGATGCCGTCAGCACATTCTGTCTCTCCACCTGGGCCTGTGGATGAGGAAGTTGTCTGCGGAGAGCCCCCCGCTTGGGCAGAGGTTTGCTTTCTGATACGCGACCGGGATAAAAAGGATTATTAATGGTTCTCCAAGACCCGGCCCGCACTGTGTGATACAATTCCATGGTTCAATTCTCTTCAAGGGGGTGTTTATCACACTGGTAAGATATGTCGTGGGTTCCTCATCGATCAGGATTGTGGTATTCGCTCGTACCTTGATGACGAGATAGTCATTACGAGAGTGTAAGTGCACAAACTGCAGATATACTCTACTATTGATACACTCTTGATGCATCATGGTGCTGACAAAATTAGGGGCGGTGGCTGTCACAAAGGCGCCGACGGAACCCTGATCCTTGACCGGAACCAGAGTGCAGACAATGCACAAGTGAGAAGTGTCCTCAACAGCATGGAACAACGTATTGCAGTCGGAATGGTCATTGGTGAGTCATAATACATCTCCTTGTCAAGAAGCCTTGCTAAACCCATTACAGGAGATCGTAATGACCTGCTCAAAGCGAAGGTACCCCACAGGTATAACGTGATGGATCTTTTCCGCATTACACACGTATGGTGGGAGGATTTTGGGGGCAAGTCAGGCGCTAAGTTGCGCCTGGAGAAAATCGATATCTCAAGCAAGAGTTGGTGGGCAGCCAAAAGCTCGCCAGATCCGCTTCCCTTTCACGAGCGCAATAGCTGCACGGAGCCCAAAAACGATCAGTGCTCATCGTGCGGAGATATCAGCCCCCAGGTATACAGCCAGGGTTGGATATGTTTAAACCCGGATTGCACGCAATTCTGGACTCTGAAAGGAAAGAAAGCACCGAGGAAACTCGACTTTGATGCAGGCTTTCTGGACTTCCGCACTCAACCAGTCTCCGACGTCAACAGTCATCATGTGCTGGTCCACAGCTTCTCCTCATTCCTTGAAGGCTACAACGAAGATGATACTTATTCGCGCTCTTCATGGAAGGGCATTGTATGCCCATCCTGCTCGAAGTGCGTCTCTCGCACACACTGGGGTGGTTGGAAATGTGCCGATGATCTTGCACCTCCGACGAAGTCATTGAAAACTGCCTGTGCTTTCGAGCACGTGGTATCAATGCGTCCAATCCCTTTGGAAAAGGTCATAGGTGGTGCCACCGGACCCCCTATTCCACCAGTCCCCAGTGTGGCTCTAGCAATCGATAACTCCTCTGCCTTCCCGTATGAGATACGCAAATATACGATGCCAAACGGGGTGGGCTCAATTACTCACTATGTCGCAAACCTTCAATCCAACAGCAAACCACATGGTCCGGACTCTATGTTTGAGCAACTGCAACTGGGCGAATTCGGGCTGAGGCGCTACCCTTTGCAGCAAAGTGTTGGTGAGTTACCTGCTGCGCCCACGACTTGTGCTGTTATTGATTGTTTTGTTTTCACACTCTAGTTGCAGGAACGCATACTGCCCATTTTGCCGCCAATTATGTGAGCAGGGAATTTCTTTGCAGTGACCTGATCTGTATTGACGAATGTCAAGGGAATGCCATACAAATATGTTGTGTCTGTGGCGTCCAAGGCGTTTAGCGAAGCCCCCCAGGTGATTTTACAGGCTCTGGGCCGTCTGACGTGGGCAACGGAAAAAGCGCTTGACTTCGACTACCTTCCTCCAAACGAACTACTCGCCCTTGGTTACTTCGAAGCAATGAAGATTGGGGTAGGTAAGGCTTGTAGAAGATGGATCTAGACGCTTACGGGCTTTAGTACCACGATGATGGCGAAATATCGCTCGGTCCTACTATTTCTACATTGTCACTGGGTGGTCCATCCGAGATGAAAATCCGGATGAAAGAGAAATGGTTTCATGGACAGACCAAATCAGGTAAAGTACTAGCCTATGATCCGGTACTCGATGGGTGTGAGTTTTGGGCCGAGCGGCAGGCCTTGAAGGATGAGTTCGAAGGCGGGGAACTTTCGATAGACGATTACGACAAATTGCGCAGAGAAGTCTTCAAGAGGAGCCAGCACAGGGATGCTCAAGCATGTGTCACACTGCGGCTTCGCCATGGGGATATTGTTGTGATGAACGGAGAAAATTTCCAGAAATTCTACGAGGTATGAAAGAAAATTTCCCCGCTCACTGAATCGGTACTGACAATTTAAAGCATAAAGTTACGCCTTCCGATAAACTTCGCTTTGCTTTGACTGCTAGATACGTCAAGCCAGATGATTTGACTCCAGAGGAACTGGAAAAAGGAGAGTTTACCTTGACAGGCGATCAGGTCTATAACGGTGAATGACGATGATGATATTCAAATTTCCCTCCGCTCTCTTTCTTCTGCTTTGTCGTCCCTTTGTTTGATTTCAAAAGTGCTTTTCGATTCTGCTTTCTCTATGATTATCGCAAAAGTTGTCTGTCATTAATACGTTCTTTGCGCTTGAATTATTACGTTCTGCATTGCGTTCTGCAGGATCTTGTATCCCCCGGATCGAATTGCTTGCTATTTGATGACTTATATTCTTAGACAATAATTTCGCGGATGCGAGGGGTACGGATGATAATAAGGACTAATGTATTTCTAATATACTAATTTCCAATGATTGTGTTCTTTCCAATGACATTTCAGTTTTAAAGTGGCCTAGTTAGCACATCTTGTTGTATCTATTACTATCTTCGGCGCTAAGATCATCTACTGACAGACAGCAAGCCATCCAATAACTGTCGTGAATTGCTTTGGGTAAGGTTACCTAGCTATATACACATGACAACCTCGAGACATGGAGCCTGACAAAGACACAAAGAAGGCAAGTCAGGACCATCCCCCATCACAGCCGCTGCCACTCTGATGCTGCACTACCTAACCTAGTGTCTTCAATGACGGTGACCGCCATGAGCTCCCTTGACCCACCCCTGATGCGTAGGCGGCGCCACTACATGAATTTCTCCTTCCTGAGATCCAGGGTCAACGGGGAGCCACCCATTTCCAAGCTTCGAAAGGATCTCTGTGGGGATTTCCTGGGATTGATCCTGGGTTTGCTCCTGTTCTCCGCTCTGACCAGGTTCCTGGGACAGACCGGAACCTCCAACAGGCCACAAAGTCCATCCGTTGCCAATGCCGTTGGGAGTAGGGGCGGGAATAGTGCTGGTGACGGTCACGACGTTGGGCACAGTACCGGTGCCAGATCCGGATCCAGACCCGGTGTTGGTTCCGGTACCAGAACTCGAGTCGTTGCCCGTCTCAGAGCTACTAGTTCCCTGATCCCAGGGGAGGGTGATTGTTGATCCATCATCGCCCGATCCGGAGCTACCGGTTCCAGGAGTCGTGGTTCCGTCATCGCTACCATCGCAGTTCAAGAACACAGCTGGGATATTGATTAGCCACTTCCATAGCATTACACTAACCGGAAAAGGGGGGCATACCAGAGGCATAGTACGCGAAAGAATCGGCGTTGTTCTTCGCCTGCTTGGTGTTCAACTGTAGCACACTGTCGTATCCATACGCCACGTCCTCCGTGCCGGGGTCATACACGCTGGTGGCGTGAGAGAACTCATGCAGAGAAATAGCAGCCTGGTCAAGGTAGTTGCAGGTGTCGGACACCTCGGTCGACTCATAGTATCCTTGGCAATTAACAACACGGTCTTCAGTTGGATACGTCACGGCCGCGATGTTTGCACCACAAGAATCCTGAGCGGAGGGCTGGCAGTAGTAGGTCAAGACACCCTTGGTAGTCGCTTCTTTGGCGATGGCATCCAAGCGATCCGCAACCTCGGTACGGTCCGACTGCGAAGTCGACTTGAAGAACTTCTCAAAGAGAGAGGAGGTGCCATTCCTCGCGTCCATGGCACCAGCGGTGGCCATCTTGGCGGCGCGCTCGAGAGCCTTCTTCACGAGGGTGTTGTACTCGCCGCTGCAGTCCGCGAGAGTCGAACGGGTTGTCAGATCCTTCTTAATAGTTTCCGGTGCTTCGAAGCTAATCTTATTGGACTTGTAGGGCGTCATGGAGAACTTCTTGGGGTTGCTGGACCGAGTGTATTCCAGTGTTCCATCGGCGATGGCCGAGTATTTTGCCCCGGGGGAAAGGTCATGCGAGTTGGCGATGTCGAAGATGGACTCGATGGTCTGGTTCGGGGCAAGATGTACAAAGCCATCAGGAGTAAGGTGGGTGTTGATGTAGGTCACCTCGGCACCGTTGAAGATGGGGTTTTCCTCTAACGACGTGTATTAGACAGGCTTATAGGTGAGTTGGGGTGGCTACATGAACTTACTTTCTCCAGACACGATCACCTTCTTCGTCGGGTGGTCATTATCCAAAATACTTCCGCTCTTGACGAACCGCAGACCCTCATTGCCCACGTTCGTGACATGCGCCTGGACAGTCGAGTTGCCGAGCGAGTACAGCTTCACATCAACAAGTCCATGACCCTGACCCTCATTGCTACCGACCTGCGGCGCAGCGTCCGAGACCTGTCTCGGGAAGAAGATCGGCTTACCAGCAGCCAATGTAAGCAGAGAAAAGAGTTGGAAAAAACGGATAGCCATGATGGCGAATGAACGACAAGTATGTAAAGAATGAACGAAAAAGAAAGAAAAGGAATGAGGGAGGGAAAGGAATGGATGACTAGCATGGAAGAAAAAAGAAAGAAAAAAGGATTGCCGTGTTAGGGATATTTTCCTTACTTATATACCATCCACCCACGACTGACTGTAGATGTATAGGAACCGTCATTATTGATCGATACTACCCTACTCTGCGGCATGTTTCATGTTCCGAAAGAGGGAGGGAGATAAAGTCAGGGATCCTAGCTCCGGTGGATCTGATATGGCACCAACGCCAGGGTCTCGTCCAACAGCCCAAGTCCAACGGGTGGGTCTTGGCGATGCAAAACGGGGCCACGGGGGATATCGACGTGATTGTAGGATTCCGCCGCATTCCCATGTGAAGACTGAAGACCTCAAGGGGCGATCGAGAAGTGCACTTGACTGGTCCCTCCCCAATGCTTGGAAAGCGTCAGATTGATTACAAGGCTTAGGTCTAGATCGGAGCCCACAAGGAGCGTTCCGTATGTATGGGGAGCGACAGCATTCAACCATGGAAGACAATGGTATTTGAGACTCGTATTGTCTAGGCCGCGATGTTTTGTAAAGGGCTTTGAACCTTTCGTGCGAAATCGACAAAGAAAAGACCTCATTCGCCTTGTGCGTTGATCCTACATATGGAGTAGATATCCATCGCCTCACGATGAATGATTGCTACCTTGCCTGACCCTCGAAGAGGGGGAGTCCACAAACCACAGCTCATCTGCAAGTTGCTGACCGAGTAAATCCCTTCATCGGTGTATTCCGCCCAGTAATTCACGCGATAACCATAAAAAAACATGAAACTAGACCCTCGAGAAAGATTAAGGACCCGAAAAAGTGGACCGCGGAAAGAAGGTGTGACGTCTTGGCGTGTCAGAAGTCAGAACGCAAAACCCTACGTCCGCCATACTCCGTCGACACCCAACCACCTTGGCACCTAGTGACAACGGGGACGGAGAAGAAGCAGAATAAAGGCAAGCCTGTCAATCTATCATCTCAATCGCCCAGAACTAGCAGCCTCAGCCATGAACTTAAATCCAGACGCCGGGAGATAGTTCGGAAAAATCTGACCAGCAATATACGGAGTATGCAATTAACCACTTTATGCTTCAAGATGGCATAACTCTGCTCCACTGTCTCTATATTGTTCATTTCTGTCAGAGTTAAACCTCTGAGGAGTCCCTCCCGGAACCCGCGGGCGAATACGAGCCTTGTCATTTGTCCATGCAGGAAACGGACCATTGTCGTCTATCTCCTAAGCGCCCTGAGTACCGGTGCATGGCATGGCGGGGAATATGCCTTTCTTTCCCCCCAGTCTTGCCAGGATTTGGAGGACATCCAGGACATCCACAGGAATTGCGCTCTCTATGAGGCTCATTCGACGAAACCTGCAAGTGGTTGTATTTTTGGGACCAACTTCTAGGCATTGATCCTGGGTCATTCCTCTGTTACCCTTTTGTGGGGATGAATCCAAGAACAATCGCAAACTCCACTGCAAGTTGACGCGATGTAACGCCACCCTGGAAAGGCATACATTCACGCTAGGGAGAATCGTTTGGCCGAAGTTGTGGTCAGCTGATAATTACCTAACTCTAAGGCGGATTTATCCCCAGGGATTTAGTGACTAGGACTCCTCAACTTCGATGCAGAACCAACCTTCTCCACCAAAGGTCACTGTTTGTCAAGATCAATTAAACTTTATTTTATACATAGCCCGCAACCCTCGGCTACCACAATCCAGCCCCTTAGACAGGATAATTGTCGAAAGAATTTAATAAGGAGCTTTACAGAATAACACCAACTGAAGACGAGATGAGTGAAACCGCAGCAAAAGCGAACTCCGACGAAGAGAGCCAGCTAAAATGGAAGATGGCGTTCACAGCGCGCATGCGACAGATAGTCCCCGGTCTCGTCCCCGGAAACGTCGAAGCATCATACAAACGGGAAATGCTTCTGGAACTCCACAGCACCGCCATCGTCTCTCTGACAGATGCTCGATGGGTATGGTGGAGCTCCTCGACCAGAGGGGCAGGCATCCGGAACACCGTCACAGGTGGATCTAGTGTGTCGATTCGTCGACGCAAGACCTTCTGTGCCATATGAGCGATATCTGCGATTTCATCGACGGGATGACATCTCCGGCTCTTTCCTCATTGTTTCACTTACCTCTTGAGCACCAAAACCAAGCGACTGTTGAATCAAACGATGCACCGCCAGAGGCTGTATTAGTTCACTGTGATCTGGGAATCTCACGCTCGCCGACCATCATCATTGCGTATCTTATGCGTAAACTTACCCTGAAACAAGCAGACGTGTGGAAATTCGTTCATTCAAAGCAAAAGGTTAAACCGAGCGCGAATCTCACGCGTCAACTTCAGGTTTGGGAGGAGACGGGATATGAGGTCTGGGAGGATGAAAATAGGACTGTTCCGAAAGCACTGTATAAGGCTTTTTTGGAACATCGGGCTGCTGTGCTGAAGAGTAAGAGACTTACGGGTGATGAGCCGCTTGCGCCGCTGAGTTTGGTGTGAGGGAATAACGAGTAGAGGTATTGGAGAGGTTCATACTATAATATCAGACATAAACGAAAGAACTGATATGCTCGATATCCAGCAGGGGGAAGAGCTAGTTGGTTAATTCAGGAATGTTAATAGGAATTCATTGTTGTCTTGGCGGCGTGTGGGGTAATTAGTCGTTCAGCACTTATTAAATTAGTTATTAATTAATTTTTGTATGGAAGGATGCGTTGATTATGTTCTCTGAACTTTGAACAACGAGGGACACGGAAGGATTGGATCCGGTGGCTGGGTCTTCTTTCTGTAAAAAGGTGATCAGGAGCAGAAGTACGTATTAGGTGAAGATTTTCTAATAAAGGGAAGAAAGAATGGAGGAGACTTGGTTACGTTTGGTCTTTTCTCAGGTATTAGACTTCCAAGCATAGAGTAGGGGAGGAGATGTTGGATTCATAAGTTATTCGCAAGATGAGACAGGCTGTAATGTCAATTGAGGGTCTATACCATGATCATAGGTATATGATGTGTGATCCCAAACACCTCAGAGCTACTTAGACGGTACGTAACTCATGAAGCTTTGTGTAAGAGGAAAGGACAGGCAAAAATAAAGAAATACAGTAATGATGATGAGCAGGAGGTTAGCAAAATATTCTTCTACGTGAAGAATTACGTTCGAGAATGGTTGTTTTTAAGCGCATTAGCTACGGAGGATAATTCTAAGCCAGCTGTCTCTGCAGCTTGTAATTTGGCCCAGGTCCAATAGAAAGAAGAACTTGTACTTCGAGGACCAGTCTGTGATCGAGTATTTGATCATCATATTAATGAGGCCGCCCAACGGAGAAGTAGATGTCTAAGATGGGAAGTCCCACAACATGGGTACTTGAGTTACTCCCCAAAACCAAGCAGTTTAGGAAAGGTTGAGGGAGTTATTCACTATTGACAGGAGGGGCTGGAAATTCATTCACTTAAGTTGAAGGCAAAAACCATCCGTAGCCATTTACTTAGGACATGCCCAAAGGGAATCAGTTTTCAAATGCATTAAGAAAAAGTAAAACAACCAGAAAAAAGAAGAGCTAGAAGCCTCATAAAGATACTATAATTCTCTGGGACATTTACTAAATCATCATTGATTTAAGGAGTGGTACTGTATAAACTGCTGATCTGCATTAATTTTTCCTAAAGGGGCAATGAAGGGTTTATAGAAATGGTTAGAACTGGCACTATGCAAGGGGTTGAAGTATAGAGCAGGAAAATTCATCAACTGATTTGGAAAACAATTTCTTCTCAGAAAGTAACGTACTATCTCTGGTTATTGATTTTGACCGCTATCTTCACACCCCATTAGGACCGACACGCCACCAACGAAGCCGACACGATATCTCCAACGCTTGGCGAAATGCTACCCCTCGGCTTCGTTGATAAGAATTAAGATCCTCTTCTGCGATCGGAATGTAACCCTGCCAATCGCCCCCACGAAATGCAACCGTCTGCAGCCTATGAATGCGGAGAAGCGTTGTTGACGCTCTTCGGCAACTGTTTATAAACTCCCACTTTGTCCACCAAGTCCGCCCCAATCACTCATCATGCGGTCTTTAATTTTTTATTTGTTATTTGCTGTCTCTTCGGCTTTGCAGACCCTCCCCCCAATTCAATGGGCAAGCACTGGAGGAGGATCTTTTGACATCACTACTATCGAGCGGAACATCTACATTAGCAAAGATTTTGCTTCCCATCGTGATGAAGACGGATTGACCCTGATTCCCCCGTCAGCTCTTGAGTTTGCGCATACATTTCGCGACGACCTCGAGGAAGTGACTGGCTCTTCCTGGGAAATCCATTCGGTGGATACGCTGTCTGCAGATTGTCCGGGGATCTTCCTCGACGGCGTGGCAGAAGGCCGACAAAATGAATTCATCTACGAAAATGGCAAACCCACGGAAGAAGGCTACGACCTAGACATCCAAAACAAACGAGTTATAATCCGCGGATCCGGTTCCCGAGGAATGTGGTGGGGAACGCGAACATTCCTGCAAGAATTACTGCTCGCAAACGCAAATAAGCGCCCCATTGCATCGGGTCGACTAATTGATGCGCCTTCATTCTCGACAAGAGGCTTTATGCTGGACGCAGGGCGAAAATGGTATTCTCTGTCTTACCTGAAGGAGCTGTGCACGTATGCCTCGTTCTTCAAGATGTCAGAGTTCCATTACCATACGAGCGACAATGCACCGCTAAGTCGCGGTCATAATGAGACGTGGAGCGAGGTCTACGCCCAGTTTGCTTTGCGTCCTGAGAGTCCAGAACTGCAGGGAATCGTACAGCGACGGAATGAGACGCTGACTCAGGAGGATTTCGAGGATTTGCAAAGTCATTGTGCGCAACGCGGTGTGACTGTTATCCCAGAGATCGAAGCACCGGGTCATTGTCTTTTTGTTACGAAGTGGAAACCGGAATTGGCGCTCGAGCAGAAGGATTTGCTGAATCTCTCTCATCCTGATACGATTCCGTTGGTCAAATCTATCTGGGCGGAATTTCTTCCCTGGTTCCAGTCAAAGGAAGTACATATTGGTGCAGACGAGTATGATTCCACTCTCGCGGATGTTTACATCGACTTTGTCAATGAAATGGCGCAGTTTATCGACGAAGAATCTGGAAAGAAGATCCGAATCTGGGGAACCTACGAACCGTCCAAGACGCGAACGATCTCCAAGAACGTCACAATTCAGCACTGGCAGTACGGACAGTCGGATCCCATTGAATTAGCAAACGAGGGTTACGAGACCATAAACTCGGAGGACTGGTGGGCATACATGTCTTTGAAAAACGATCACATGCCAATCTTCCCAGCACCGTATCCGCAATTCTTCAACAACACGCGAGTGCTGAATTTCGGCGGCGTAGATGGCTGGCAGTGGAACCCGTCTCTCTTCAATCCATTCAACGTCACCGAGCAGCCGAACCAGAAGCCCGTCAAAGGAGCTATATTAGCAGCATGGAACGACAATGGACCTGACGCGACCACTCAGTTGGAATCATACTATGCCATCCGCAACGGCATTCCTACCGTTGCATCGCGCTCATGGTCTGGAAACCGCGGTCCTCGTCTCGACGAATCCAGCCTCTCGACCTCAATGACCATCTTGACATTGAAAGCTGTTGCACAGAACCTCGATCGTCAATTTCTACCAGCCCAAAACGGTACCAGCTCTCTACTAACCTGGTCCGCTCCATCCGCTTCCAACCGAATCAATAAAACCCACATTGGCCACGGCAGCAAAGGTATGAACTATACTCTCGACCTCTCCGTAACCGGTCCATTCACACTGTCCTCCACCGACACGACACTAAAATTGTCCCCCAACGGAAGCCTAACTTTCACCTCCGACGGTTGGCCCTACCCACTACGTTCTATTGACGAAACCGACGGCTTCGACAAGGGCTATCCGGGTCGAATCTGGACGAACGAAACATCCTCAACGCATGAGGAGGTCAAGGTCCCGTTGAAGACAAAACTCACCATTCGCACAGATGTTATTGGAGGAAGTCGGGTGTGGGTTGATGGTGAGTTCAAGGGACGATTTGAAGTTTTTGTATTTGGAGGCAAGAATACGTTGTTTTCATGGAGTCAGATGGCTTTTGTGGCTCCGTTGGAGTGGATAGAAGGGGGTGTTAGGAGGCTGGAGCTTAGAGGGTTTGATGGACAGCATTGATCCCTTTTTTACGGTGATCTCTTTGTGAATATGACTACAAAAAGATACAAAAATGGCACGGGCACCTCGAGAGGAAGATTTGCAGTAAAGGAAAACCCTGTAACGCTAGGGGATGTTGAGCTCCATATTCACTGCGGCGATATTTTTTTACCATTTATTTTCTTTTCGTTTCCATTCTTCCTTCCCGGGCTAACTAAGGCTGCCGTACATTTGATTGCTTTAGTCGATAGGTCTCAACGGTTAAAACTGTGACCAACTGATACCCAAGAGAATGTCGCTTCCTTTTCTGTTTCCATCCCCTCCCATAGCAATTCTGAAAACCCAATACCATGCAGGACCTCGTTATTGTTGCACTAATCGTAATAGCGCCCTGGATTATTCAGATCACCAAAAGATAATCACTTGATCCCCGCGGCGACCAGTACCTGACAGCTGTGCATCCCAATATGCCCCCATCCAATCCAGCAAAGCCAACGACAGGTCCGGATGCTTGGCAAATATTGGTCGAAACGTCAGTCTGATAGAGCGGTGAGAAAAATAATACCGTGCGATCAGCATACAAACAGCCTGTCTTAACGGGTCTGCTGGGGCAGTCGTCATGTATAGCTCATCCAACACTGCCGGAAATTCTGGGTATATTCTCCAGTGGATTTCCGCAGTACGAGTGAAGCGGTTCCTAGCAAGGAGTTGTAGGGCTGGTATATTGTATTTATCAGCAATGACGTACATGCGCAGGGAGGTGAAGAGCTGAATCGGATGTTGGTTGCGGTACGAGTCGTCATTGCTGTCAAAGACTGGGGATTCGCAGGTACGCTCCGAGTCATACTCGAGGGGATCAGCGGACTCTTCATCGGTGGTTGTTTCTTGGTCAGGGTCATATTCTGGGTCGTTGAAGTACGGGGGAGAGACGTCGAATGATGTGTAGAGGATTCCATCTAGGTATATGCATTAGTTGGATCCCTGGAATTGGTGTAAACATGTATCTGAGGTATCCATACCAGATGTATCCTTGACCTGAGTTTGAACATCCTCTGCTGTCATCAGGACTGGGACCGAAGGTAACTCATGAAAGTATTCACCATCGGCATAGTTTCCTAGGTACAGAAATTGAAAGAGCCGCTCTACCATTTCTGGGTCCTCATCGGATAGATCGATTCTGCTCTCGGATGATTCCTTCGTCAAGTCAGCTACTGCGTCAAGATGGAGATTGTCTAGTACTGTACATACTTTGAATTGTCCCCCACACGCCGCGTCAAAGAACGGGGACTGGGCGCATACCACAACTTTGTGGACCTGGAATGACCGATCCCCGCACGTCACCGTGAGATCGGTATACTGGCCTCTCTGGTATTGCTGCCACAGCGAGAGCTGCAGGGTTGAGCTAGTAAAATGGCCGAAGTCATTGCTGTTCTTCAACGCTTTGTCAGACAGTTCTTGTGGCCGCGGTTGCCGCTTCCCATTTGGCTCTCCAGTTTCCAAGGGTTGAGTTGTAGAAGATGGGGAATCGGATTCCATGGTGGCAAATCGACACTTCTTGGAGAAAATGAAGACAAGATAAAAATAGGTTGATGGTGGGGGTTGCTCTAACGTCTAAGATATTAATATTCATTCACATTGCGTGGGCATACAAACACAGACACGCTAGTCCCTACTGGGTAACTAGATATGTGGTGTATAAAGTTTGTCATCCATTGTACACAAGGATGCATAAAAATATACAGGCAGTTTTGAATGCCTGAGGTTGCAGTCTGCCAAAGGATATGAAATACCAGAGAAACCTCCTTGTTTCTCTATAGGCTGCATCTCGATTAGTTGGATTTATTCATCTTGGTTATCTCTGACCTCGCTCACGAAGTTTTGTCTATATTATACAGTATCATATTATCCGCGACTACCAAATAGAACCGCACAGCCTACAGTTCCCTTCTAGTAGTAGATTGCTTGACAGACGTGCATCCCTCTATTATTCAAGTCTAGCTGGTTCGCTTATCCATGAATCTTTTAAATAGGTCGATATAGCGGGCTTTGACTGTCATTAGCTAACAAAAACATGATGGAATTGCATTCCGAATGAGAATATTGGCTCTTAGTGATCATCATATCATCATGGGTACGGCCCGCCACGGGCGTCACAATGATGCTGAGACTAAATATGAGTCAACAGAGATCAGTTCCAGATCATATATCACACGCCAAAATGCCTTGCATCCTACTAACAAACAACCTGCAAAACCTGATCGAGCAGAATTACTCGACTATGAAAGTCGATCCAAGTCATCCAACACATCGTTGCACGCCCACCATGCAGACCTCGTCGTGGGATTCGTATCAGAATGGGGAAGCCACCGATCTCACCGTCACCTGTCAAGGTCGCAAATTCCAGGTCCATAAGTTTACAGTATTCCAGCAGTGCCCATACCTTGCTGCGGCTTATTATAGACGGGTAGAGGATATACTGATATTAACCTCTCAACTTGCTGCATATAGTTCTGTCTGGGCTAATTTTGCGTTTTGTATAGGGGACGGTGAATGATACGTTTGGCTTACCAGATGAGAAACCCGACTTTATCGCGCTGCTTTTCCAGTTCATTTATACGGGGAACTATTCGGACGGAGAGCATTTTGACGAACTGCCTGCCATTCAGACCATGATGGAAACAGACAGCGTTCATGAGGAGATGTTGACAAAAGGCCCAGGTGCATATTAAACTTATTATATTGGATGTTTTCTGGACCGGCCAGAACTAATGGGCATCACAGATACCATCATGTCTATGAAATTCGACAGCGAGGAATTACAAATTTACCCCGAAGACGTAGAGGAGGGTGGTTCCATCGTTCCTGACGATGATACAGAAGACCCAATATTCAAATCGGAAGAGGATGCCGATGAAGAGCCATTTGAATCTGATGAACCTTTGGAATATGACTCCGAGTACGAGTCTGACCGCCCCGATGGTAAAACAGATACAATGGAAGAAGATGATAATGAATTGGAAAAAGAAGAGGGTGGTGAAGCCCCAAGCCACCAAGATCCGACCACATCTCTTCAAGTGGAGAGCATGGATACCTGTGAAGCCTCCGACCACAAAGGTCTTGTCACATCTCTCCAGAAAGAGAGCAAACAGGAAGCCAGTACTGTCTCTCATCCCAAGCCTCCTCTATTCACATCTCTTCAGATGTATCTCCTTGCGAAAAAATACCAGATCCCCGCCCTTCGTCTCTTGGCTCAAGAAAGATTCATGCGCTCAGCCGAAGTATATTGGACAAAGCAAGATCATCGCGTTGAGATGGACGAAGTCGAACCGTACCACCCTTCGTATGCCACGTATGCCACGATGGATTGGTCAAAGCCGAAAAAGCCTTCGCCTTGGACGACGCTATGGACGAACGCGGACGGTTTCGTCGAGGTTATAGATGATGTGTTTACCTACACCGAATTAGAGGACCCGTTGCGGCGATTTATTTGCAACCTCATTTCACACGACTTCTCTATGCAAGCAGACATTCGAGAAAAGCTCGGTCCGCTTATCGAAAAACATAAGGACTTTGCAGTCCGAATGTTGGATAGTATGGTTCGTTATGCGGGGTTGAACGAGCAAGCAACACGGGTGCACTTTGAGGACGCTGCCAGAGAGTTGCGATGCGAACCTGAAAATCTTCAAGGGCGTTTTGCGCAGATTAAGGGTACCCTCGACCGGACACTCAGAGAGCTCGAAGACTACAGGTCTTATATATACCGTGGTCAGGATCGTTTGAACTCGATATCTTATACTTCGCTTTAACTCGACATCCTGCCGCCCGTCTACCTCTAGCTTGACAGTAATCGGTATCCTTCCTGGCCGTCTCGCCGTTTCATGATGACTTCATTTTTTCCTTGTTGATCAATGACACCTTTGACTGAGTTCGGCCCCGTCGGTGAAAGACCATGGCGGAAATTTCAGGATTTTTCATCAAAACCGTATTATTTGCTTCATTTGAATCGTTGCTTTCAGTTAGTTTGCTTTCTTTAGTTTAACTCGTCGCAGAAATCTTGCCTTTTTTACCCCATATGTTGCCATTTCTCTGCGAAACTCATAGCTCGGCGTGAGTAGAAATCCTTAATTATCTTAAGTAGTCTCTAACAACCGTGACAATTCCCCGTACTACTCTATAAACAGTAATATATACAAACTATATAAGTACCTGTAGTTATAAGAAGCTTAGTGAAAGCCATATCTAGAATGAGCGTCACTAATCAGCAGACCTTGGTGTAGTTAGAGAGATGCTAGAAAATTCTCTGATTACGCTATGCTTTTCTGTGACTACGAAGAGCTGCGACTCCCATTGCGAATATTGATCAAATAAAGAGGACATTGGATGACTATAATTTCAAGGTTTTTTCCCCCAATAAACCTTTTGGATTTCATATCCCCGAAAATGAATCTGACTCAGAACAACGTTATGGCCCTCAACAAAAGAAGTACCGCGAAAGCAAAGAACCGAAGACCAATGAAGTGAATAAACAAGGAGACACCGAGCTAGTAATCAATTTTCGTTGTTCCACAGACAATGTCACTGCACCGGTCCTCAATGATGAGATTCGTAGAGGTTGCAGTCAGGGTAGTTTTATGATTTACTTTATAGTAGGGGACGCTCTTGGAATTCTTTTTCCGGCAGATCATCGATTTCGGGACAGAGTTAAAATCATACTTGTAGCTGCAGATGCGGTAAACATCTACCAATGGATAAGTCATAGTCATTTGCCTTTGAGGGATGCAGATATCCCACTTACCTTTTGATGTGGATACCTGTGGTGCCTTGTCTTTGTCACAAGCATACAGAGCATGTGATCCTGACAGTGACTGATGATGCATAAAAGTGTGATACCATGAAGAGACATTCAGGTCACCTTCATCTATTATATCACCCTGCAGTGCTTATTAAAGACTCGTTGCATGTTGTGGTTGCTGGGTTGAATGTACCTTTTGGATCACCCACTCCATTTGATGAGAAGCCTTGTCTTTTTCTTCAAGGGGATCATAATACAAATCTCTTCGTCTATGAACCTTCGGGTCATAATCGGTGTTGTACCTAATTCCGTAATGTCGGCGTGCAATGTTTCGACGGTTTTTTAGCGAATGGAGGACAGCTCCACTGTGTTACACTTAGTGGTGTCGTTGGACGACTTCAATTGACTGTTCGCACTTACCAGGCTGTAGAAGACCAACTGCAATCTTATTAGTTTTATTCAAAGTACTTTGGTAGCTCTTAACTTACGCATCGGGGCGCTGTAGCACTTTGAGGTCTGGGTATGCCGCGCTCAGCTGCTGGAAGAGATACTCGGATGAACCGAAACCACCGACCAAGGTAATGACCTACAGGTTATAAATAATAAATATCTTCGTTATCCTTCACGATCTGCGTATAAAACCCGATACATACTTCGATATTCTTTTTGACAGCGGCCGCGCTGACAATCTGGGAACTTAGCATGTCCTTGACCTGCTGGATCACGGGATCAAATATGCCCTTAATTTGGGCTCTGCAGGAACCTTTTAGCACATCATCTTGATGGAACTGCTGGAATACGAACTCATCTATCATCAGATAGCCATCTTTTAGTCCAACAGAGAGGTCATCTTTGACATATGGCATTGGGACAAAGTATGTCACCTCTCCCTTCTCATCCTTGTTCAGACACCGTCCAAAAGATGGTTTGATGTGCTCTTGCCAGTGGCGCATTGCTGTCTGACGAGCCTTATGGGACAGTTTAAAATAAGCTTCATTGCCAAACAGCTTGATCATAAACCTTTCAAAGTTGTCATCTAGCATTGCTGACCCACAAAACTGCGCTATGTCATAGTAAGTACTCGTATGTCGCTCCTTTTGAAGATACATACTAGCCCACTCAATCTCTCTCTGGAGACTCTTAAAATGTGTCGGAGATTTAATCCTCTTTTGATATGCCCCCACACTGACTTTTCGGTGTCCAGCGTCCACCAACAACACAACGCCATTTTCCTATCAATCTCATTAGCAATCGCCAAGAGCAATTAAGCAGCCATATTATGAACATACACGTATATTATCGCCATAATGATCACGGAAACAATCCATTAAGGCTGCATCAGACTCAGAAACCATCGACAAGTCCAAGTCAGAAATCCCGGCCCTGGATGCCGCGGTCTTCATGGCATCCCTTACTTGATCCGAGGAACTAGGCACAGTCAAACAATAATGCACTGCCATGTTTCTCGAATCTAGTTGGAGCTCTTGTCGTAGCTCGTTTTTGATCTGTCGAATAACCCGTTGCAAATACTCACCCATCACAGCATCAGGTGTCGCGAACAGCTTCTTTATCAGGGGCTTAGATGCCACGGCAGGCTCGTAGTCTGTGTCAGGGTTCTCAACCAGGGCCTTGAAACCGCGAATGACATTTTCATCGCTCATTGTCTGGGTTTTGAAACCCCATTTCTTGTTCCACGCAGAGCCACTGATTGTGGTAGGGACTTGAGAGGTGACACCTGCGCTTCGTGTGTTAGCGTTCGGATTGTGGACTTTGCTGGAAGAGGAATGAAGAAAATGGTAGACATACGAGCTCCTTTATCCGGCCACTCTTGAATAGTACGTACTATTTGGGTTTCCTTGGTGGCGAAGGCAGCCCCAGTGTAATTGGTACCAATGTCGATACCAACATGTACCTCGATAGGGGCCTTAGGCTTGGATTTCTGGAAGCAGAGTACCATGATGAACGAGTTATGAGATCTCGGACGCTTCAAATGAAGGGTTGTATGATGGAAAGAAGATGAAGTGGAGAGTCCGAAATAAGAGCAGAGACCGAAAGTATAAGGAAGGAAAACGGATACACTGGTTATTCCTAACACCCCATCAATAACCTTTGCCCCCTCAGTCATGATATACAAACGCCGTCATGGAAATAACCAACGGGTCACGCTTCCGTAGTGATGGCATCCGCTTAGGTTTCGGACTGGAAATTCTTTAGGTATTTAACGTTATAATAGATTGTATATGAGCTTGTAGTTATACCATCAAATTTCCCAAGAAAAATTATAATCTCACAAATCACAGAGAAAGCAGTATGGACCTATACGACAAACCCGATGAAACGTCTCAATCAAACACGCTTCCTAGGAAAGTTACTAGGAATCTCTACGAATTACTGCCAGGCACGACTCCTAGAAAGAGCAGTATGGATTCATGCGATAAACTTGATGAAACGTCTCTATCAACAAGGAATCCTAGAAAAAGTACAAAGAGCTTCTACGATTTCCTCAAAGAATCTTACGAGCCAGCCACACCTCCCAGAAAAAGCTGCCTGGATTTCTACGACAAACTGAGTGAGACTTCGGGATCAAACACGCCTCCTAGTTATACCCCCAGCACTGAACCACCGGAATATTTCACAGAATGTGCACCTCCAACTCAATACCAAGCTTTCCTTTCATCAAAAACCCCTAAGGAAACAATCAATACAATGGCCTCTGGCTCCCTTCGCGACTATTACTCAAAGATCTTAGACCCACCTTCCTCACCGACCTTCGATCCTGCGTTTCGCACAACTCTACGTCGTTCTGCAGATAGCCAACAGTCATTCAATCATAGCCTTCCTCCAGTGCAGCAGCAGGGATATGATGCTTATCTCCGACAAAACCCCTGCATTGAAAAAGTATGCGACATACCTCCTGAATCCAAACCTCGTCTCGGCACTATCAACTATCCACCACTCTACGAAAAACAGTCCTCGATCTCTAGCTGTTTTCCTTATGACCGGGGAGACCCCATTGACGAATTCGGATGCTGTTTTTCATATGACAGCCCGTCCGGGTGTCATCCACCCCCACACGATCCTAAAGACGATATATTGCGTACCGCACTAGGATACGACGAGGAAATCCAACAACTCAAGATGCGTATCTTCGACCTCGAATGGGACCTTGCGAAGGAGCGCAAAATCAAAAACGAACTTCTAAACAAGCTCCAACGCGCCCGGGGAAGAACGATTCCCGGGATGAAGGCGGAGTGACTTCGACACTTCTCAAGCTAGGTAATCATAATGCGAATAGGTTTTTCGTATCGATGATGATGGTGATGGCTTTCATCGAACGTCGTCATAGTCGGATATGATTTCCGCGATATTTTTTGGTGTTTGCTTCAGGATTCTAAGAGAGTTTTTGAGACGGATTTATTTAACGAGAAGTTGCTAATGACGTTCCATAAGGTTTATCTTCCCCTCCTGATCATATGATCTTCTAGAGTCGTGTTATCCTATGTTTGGAAAGCTAGCTGTCCAGACGAGTAAACTTAAGTGTCTTTTGCAACGGAGCCCATGGTTGACAGTAATCGGTATCTAATCGGAATTATGGGGGAAAATGGCCACAATAAAGAAAAAACAACCGCTAAAAAAAAGTCAAAGTAAAATAAAGGCTCCAGCGGCCCTAAAATCAAGAGGGACGGGTATGAATGCTCGACACTAGGAAAATCCACAATCCACATAAATGAGCGTCACCAATCTTTAGAGAAAAAAGCTAAAGGTCTCCCCACGCTACGCAGCGCATAGAGAAGAACCAGGGTTAAACGAGAGATGACACCGTAATCAGCCAAGACAGCCGAGAGAGACTAATTGCGGTCCGGCAGAGATGTAGGTATGGATCGACATGTTCACGACCAATGGTAGATCGGAGTTAATTTATTTTTTTGTGCTCACAGCCACAATAATACACAGGGTTTCAATCGGCAGAGAGGAGAAAAATAAGTCAAATAAATTGTTCGTTTCATTGTCCAGTCTGTGAAGTAATGTCTAAGTGGTGGACCAGATAGTTGCAGTAGGGGTGTGCGATAGAAACAGGAAAGTCGAAAAATGAGACAGGAATAATGGGAAGACAAAAGGAAATGAGAAAAGAGCGAAAAGATGCAGTGAGGTAAGGCGCCATCGAATCATATGAAAACATAGAAACAGGGAAAAGCACACTGCACTAAACTCCGTTCTTGAAGCCACTTCCACCAGCATCCGTATCGATGCGGACCGAATCCATCAGTCCACAAACCTCGAATATTTTCTTCGGCCCCAGTCCGTCGGGGATGCCCGTGATGCCTTCCGTCTTCAGGCGCTCCAACGCGCCCTTAATGCCCAGGTAGGCGGGTGCTAACGAGGCAAACGAGAAGATCATAATGCGGAACCCCATCTGCTGCGCTTCCTTGGTGGTAATCACCGGCCCGGCGCCGTTCTCCACCATGTTCAGCAGCAGGGGCCACGGCGCTAGATCCTGCACCGCTTGTCGGGCCTGTTCCTTCGAGGTGAATCCCTCGAGGAGGCCGACGTCGGCACCCAGATCCCGTGCAGCTTTGAGACGCTTGATGCACTCGTCATAACCGTGCTGTTGAAGGGCATCGGTGCGTGCGATGAGAACGATGTCCGAGTGCAGACGATCCTTGGTTAGCTTGGCAGCGCGAATGCGGGTCAGGTATTCTTCCATATCAACGACCCTCTTGCCAGCAAGGTGGCCGCATCGCTTGTTCTGGATCTGGTCTTCGATGTGGAATCCCGCCACACCAGCTGAGATGTATTGCTGGACGGACTTGGAGACCATAAGAGGGCCTAGTATACTGTCAGGATGTGCTGTAAGGGAATTAAGGGCGACAATTGGGAACATACCGCCATATCCAGTGTCCATGTCGGCAATCAGAGGCGGGCCGTAGGGGTCCAAGTTGGCAATCATCTCGGCATTGGTACGCATGTCATATAACTGAGCCAGGCCGAGATCTGCCATGCCGAGTCTGGAGGCCGTGGTTCCTGCTCCGGTCTTGACTGGTCAGCATCACAGGGCCCATACAAAGAGAATGGTTACAAGTGTTACTTACCATGTAGAGAGCCTTGAAGCCAACTTCCATGGCAACTCGAGCAGACAGACCGTCATACACACCGGGGCACACGATCAACTCATTGCTTTCCCGCAAGTGACGACGCAGCTTGGACGCGCCAGCCAGCATGTGCAGCGAGACAGTGGGCTCCTGACGGGTGCCATTAATCTCGTAGAAGCCATCCTTTTCGACAGTTATGGTAATGGCCATGCTGGAGTTGGAAGAGGGTTCTTCAACCTTCATTGTGATAAATTGAACTTAGGATTAAAGAAGATTAGACAATGGAAATGATAGTATGAAGAAATGATGATGGGAGGATTGAGATTGCGGATGAGAGTGAGAATACAAACGGACTGATGGTGCTTTCAAGACCTCTTTATATACCCCAGACTCTCGTTTTTTCGTCCTCCATCTAGTTCAGTTCAGTCCTTCTCCGGTCCTTTCCCCTCGGGGGAAATTCCATCCGTCAGATGGTGATTGTGACAAGGTCATCCCCGCCCTCCTTCTCTTCTCCCCGGATTGCTACATGGTGCAATGCCAGGTATCTCCGTAACCCCCTCCCTGCCATGCCTAATTGCAATGCAACTCAAGTACTTGGCTGGGACAAATTCCCGGCTCAACAACCGATGACGATCATCTTCACCCTCCATAACATTCAGACTAAACAGGGTAGCAATGCACGAATAGAAAACGCCAAGATGGTCCTCAGGACGCGTAGACATCGTGTCTGGAACGCTCCGGAAGGTCCAAACAGGGCCAGTCACAAGATTCTGGATCAACCCCCTGGCAGAAAGAGGAGGGGGTGGGAGGGGGGGCTGAAGCAAGAGGGAACTGATTCCAAACCTCGTCAACTTCCAAGACAATGAAGCTAGATATGGGTCTTGGCAAACGATGAGCAGTGAGCCACAGCGCAGTAGAAACACCCACCGAGGGAAAGAGGTTCTCTAATCGCTTCGGATAGTCCGCCTGAATAGACGAGATTTCACCCGGGCCGGATCCATCGTGATGAAGCACGCCAAGGATATTGGCAATTGGCCGAGTGAACAGATGAGTGGACGAGCAGAAATACGAGAGGGAGGGAGAGGGAGAGAAGTCGGTTGTAGGGCTCAATGCATGTCAGACGTGCAAAGGCACATGTTCGGCGGTTTCGTGTGCTCCGTATCCCCTATCTCTTGCTTTCCTTGAAATGGAGAGAGTTTACTCTTTTCTTGGCTTCATATAATGATGCATGTCAGACGTGCAAAGGCACACGTTCGGTCGTTTTTCGTGCTCCGTATCTCCCATCTCTTGATTTCCTTGAAAAGAGAGAGTTTACTCTTTTCTTGGCGTCATATAATTCTAGACTAGTCTGTACATTCCGCGACGAATCGTTGCTAAACTGAGCAATTCACTTGCGGGTCTGATCTGCAGAGCTTCGTCGCCAAGATAACTTCGGAGAGTTTCATTTTCTTTCCTTCAGACTACTATCGATTAGCCGAATGGGGAGCATGCAGGGTGATCTACTTGAGATAGTGCGAGTGATCGTGTCCTTTTTCGCCGGTGGCTATCCGCCGAAAACCGCAGTACAAGCCATGAAGGGTTTAGTATTTTCCTTGTTCTCCTCGGGTGGAGATGTGGCACATGCTGATCAGGGGTGGGAGAGGCACTGTTGTGTTACCTGCACCACACCCCTCTTTTCTTTCTCGTGCAATACTGAGTTTCGACAAGAGATGAGGCATGCAGTGTCGCCCAGCGGACGGGCTGGCGGCCATGATTCTGTACGACCTCACGGCTGACTAGGCCTGCGGTCAAGTTACACTCATACACCTACGAATGACTCCTTGCTTGGGTACATGCAAAGGCTATACGCAGCCTCTCATACCAATTGCGACATCTACCTTTTTCTTGCCCGTGTTCTCCCACGCGGTAATATTACGACTCCCTCTCCGCTGGCCTCCTCCCAAGGTGCAGGAGCCAAGCATCTTGGCATCGTGAACGCGACTCTGGGCATAGCAGCGATCGTTATTCTCCCCTCCTCTGTTGCCACGGGCCGTTCCGTATGCCAGTCGACAAGAAAGGCTATTCATCCAGTTTAGTATTTTTTCAAATAGTCCTGTGCCATAATGTATCGGTGCGTCGACCGTACGGAAGGTGTGCAATGTGTTCCGGACCGAGCCCGCTCCAAGTCTGGATTTGATACTAAAGGCTTGGAAGGAGAGGTCGGCGCGTATATCGGATAAGCCTCGATTGGGACAAGTGGATTACCGGCGAATTTCTTCACAATTTATTGCTAAAGGGCACGTGATTGGATTGAGGCGGGTAAGTGGTCAGATAATTGTGGCGATTTGCCCTGTTTTGCTTCGGCCATATTCCTGGATACAAGATAACAATGGGTGGCCTTATGGGAATATGAATTAGGTTAACTTGGATAATATTGTCTGATTAGTAGCGTATGTGTAGCTATAAGCCATTCGACCTTTTGTCGCTTCTAGTTGATATTTCTCATCGCACTCCCGAATGGGAACCAAGAAGAAACCGTACTTTGTCGGTCATGGTCACGCCACGGAAGGAATACTTGACTATTGATTTGCTTATCAACAGTTTAGTTGTTATAAATTGGATTATTGGAGAAAGCCTTTCCTCAAGAATGTCGTAATTGGTTGAATGTAGGACCCAGCAGCTTGCTTTACCCTGTGCCAACCACACGAATACAGATGTGCTCACCGAGACCCATAGCTCCCAAGACATGCTAGCATCAACATTCCGCCAGTTTTTCTTGATGAGCAGAGCATGTGCCGTCAACTAGGATAAAAATTCGGTTGATGTCGATATAGCTTTCTCGTGGTTTTGCCGAATCTTCACTTGATGTTTACTGATAGGCATCGGGTACCTTGAAAGAAACTATCAATATCTTTTCCTGGGTGGGTTTAACAAAATAGGAACTTACAGACAGATGCTGTAAAATATCATCCAATAAATGTCCTCAATTCTGTAGCATGTCTACAGTTGTAGGGTCGTCATTCATAGAAAGTGGCAACTCTTCAATACATCCCAGTTAAGCAAGCATAACCAACATCCAACCACATACAATTGAATACAGACATATCCAGAGCGGATTAATAAGAGCAAAAGAATTTTTTCTGTATACATGTCTAGGTTTAGTGATCGACCCCTCTCCCGCAACGTCTTCGGAGCTGCGAATCGTCCGCTTGTCCGCGGGCCATTTCTTGACGACTATCCAGCGTACCTAGCTGCCGCGGGACCCGATTCTTCTCGTATATCACACTGGGAGTAGGCCAATCTCTTGATAAGCAATATTGAGATATTATGCCGCTGACGCGTATAGCTTTCTGGTGTGTGCATAGAAGCGTCCTGGCCGTTATCGGCGATATCTGCTACAGACATTGAGAAATCATCTCGCCAATTGGAGAACAAATTAACTTAAGCGCTCACCAATGCTATGCAATGTAATGTCATGTCAGCATAAGGTTTGGTATTTTATGCAGGGTGCATGTTGTACACGCGATGAATCCTCCGTAGACTCGTTTATTGACCCCTTCTATACCCTCAGGACCATACCTTTAATTACCTGATTACCAAAGGAGAAGACATAAATACCTAGATAAAATTATCCCAACATATCAGGTCAACTAAACAGCCAGCTAACTATCAGAAATCAAGGAAAAGCAATCAAATCAATAGGTGATAATACAAATACCGACAAGCCAGCCAGCCATCCATGCGCCGAGCCTCAACCTGCATGCACACGCACATCGCTCAGACCTATGGCCTCTCGGAAAGACAGACATCCACCAATCTGCCTTCATTCAACAGCGCTCCATCTTGCATCGAGCGCGCCTATGCAAGTTTACATTTCAAAGCTCTTTTATTAAAGCGAGATAGGGTCTCCCCAATATTCTTCGTGATCGTGATCGTGTTAGCGTTCGCTTGGCGAGAATGTTTTGTTGTATGCGATGACTGAGGATGAGACGAGATATTATCATCATGGCTATTGCGTGTGCCTATAAAATGTCTTTACCCAGGCAGAAGCCTTGGACTTGAGTTTCCAGCTAGGGACAGGACAGTGGCCAGGAGAGTTGAACTAATTAGAAACAGATACGTAAGTCTGATCAAGTAAACAACATCCCTAGTTATGATGTGTACAGAACACACAGACACACCATTAAATTTGTTTATCCAGCCAAGGAAAAAAACAGTCATTCAGTACACAAACCTCCCATTCAGTCAGCCTTCCTCTCCGAAACGAATCCCTTCCCCCATACCGAGTCTTGGCCGCCCAGACACCGGAAATACCATGCCTAAAACCCACGCCCAGCCAGTCACTCGCTGACTTGCTTATCCGATCTGCAAGCTCACTCATCGATAAACAAGACCACTACCAAGACCCAGATCACCCCCTCCTCTATCTCCTCCCGGCGCCAAGAAGGAGCCCACTCCGAAAACTCCATCACCATTATCCCTCGCCCAGCCTAAAGGCGAGAGGAACGGTCAATGGAACCGATTGGCCGTATCGGGCGGTCAGATTTCAGATTGCCTTTCATGAGGTGGCAGCGCGTGACTTGGCTGGCTTGGGCGTTTGTCGGTCTCCTCCGTGCTTTTCCGGATCGACAGTGGTTCCTAATTCTTTGCCTGCGACGCTGGAGGCGACCGAAGAGTGGTAATGCCACGACGATCGGTCATGATCCTTTTGCATTGAGACGGTAGCTATCATAACAAGGGAGTATTGTCCTCCGCTGGGATATTGAATGGATTACGTGGTGATATTGGGTGGGATGTGTACTATAGTCGGGATACTGGTAGTATCGGGTTACATACTTGCCGAATTAAGTAATACACAGGCAGGGTTATTACTCAGTGATTGATAATGCAGCGTAATAACATTGACTTTCGTTTTAAATACCCTGTAAGCCAAGATAATGAGTCTCTAAAGTGGCGGGTACAGTCCCCGAAGTGGAGGGACTAGGAGCGAACTTGTTAACATGAAACTGAGTGAATAGCTCCCACTTGGGCTAGAATCGTCTAATCCTAGAAACCTCGTAATAATTGGATACTAATGATACCCACAATCAATAAATCTAGACGCTGAACAGCGTCTGCACACTCCACAATGACTGGCCAAGACGTTACTCTACCCCCCGTGGGGGATAACGCCGCTCTCCGCCATCAAAGGTCCTCGCAGACGAATTAGTATTGTCTCGGTTGCATGGAACTAGCCGTACCCTTTTTTCTGCAGTCTACACTCGGAAGGACCACCGAGATTCGGTCCGCGGAGACCAATAGATGTCGATCATTTATCCACGCTAGTTCTCTCTGTCTGGGCAGTCTTGTCCCGAGCATTCCTGGTCAGCTCGAATAGAGTATCTACGTGACGTGATTTTCCAAACCTGAAAAGACTTTATTAGGTATTTTGTGAAAGGTTCTCTATCGATTGGACTTTATTAATCGCTCAACTCATTGACATGTCGGACCTCCGAATACCCACCGGAGCACCCAGGCCAGACTCCCGTGGAAAGGACTCCACCAGCACAGTAAGACACATTTTTGCCCAGAATGCAAAGACGCCAAGAAGATGATATTCGCACCATCGACGTAATTATACGTTCTTGTGAGACGCAGGCTGACTAGATGGGAGCAAGTGTCTTACGCCCAGCGGTAGCGAAGATGAACATGTTTCTCTTCCTATTCTGACTCTGCCCTATGCTGCCAACTCTGGGGTTTCTGGCTTCCGGGCCGGATCGGCGAGCAATTTGTTCCACTGTATTGCAGCCTTCTTGGGCTGAATTGCAATGACCACGCGTGCTCGTGCCTAGATAGGGCTGGAGCTGAACAATCATATGGTTGGCATTACATACGAGACTGGAGTACAAAGTTCATCCATGTTATTTTGTGATATGGGAGATTTCGTGATGGGAATGGTCCAGTTTAGGTAGAATGGAACCCCAACCGCCGTCAGCAGCCCTTCCACGCTTCTTTCTAGTCAGAAAACGAGGGATCGATAGAGTTGGCTGGCTAGCTGGCTGGCTAGCTGGCTGGCTGAGAAGGACCAATCGAGACTACTGATCGGGATTGTGGAATATCTGTATTACTCCTCTGGTGCTACCTCGAGTCAATTTTTACATCTGACAATCTCCCTATCCAATCAGCATGAGAAAGGCCCCTGCCATTATCGGAGTGGCACATCCCTCACTGACACGCAACACAATATGGAAATACCAACCCCATCCATAACGGGATACTCGAAGCGCCGTGACGAAGCACGAATAAATGAAAAGCTAGCAAATAGCAACTCAGGGGTCCTCCAACGCCCGAAGCCGATTAGCATGAACTAACCGGGCCAAACCTGGGCCGAATCCACATCCCTGCAATATTCAACATATTATCGATATCCGCTGAGAAGTGACTAAATTCCCCTCTCTGACCGAACTGATATCCACTGTATGCCAAGACCTCCTGCAGAAACAAGAGAAAATTGCGCATTATTCCGGTCTCGGGCATCGTCATCCCCATCGCAGATGAAGAGATCCCCGGCGAGTTTCCGTTAGTCGCTTTCTCGGCGGGACGGAGGTGGTATTGCGTGGCTTGGCTTTCTTGGGGGCTTGCCTATTGGTTTTTCGTACTTTGTTTTGCTTTTTCTTGGTGCGATTGGTGCTCGCAGAGGATCGACGCTGAGGGGTTAAATTGGGGGCTTTTAACTGTCTGCCCCGGTCTTTGTTATGACATGCGGTTGTTAACTTGATGGGTATACTTCGCTTTCCCCTCTTCGGTGTTCGTCTGTCAACTCTTATTTTCATTCCTGGTCTCTGTCTTTCTTGTAGTTGAGTTTCCGTGGTGTGTGCTTTACAGGTAGACATCATGTCCGATGTGTCGTATCCGAGAAAGAATCGTCTCTCGACGTTTCTCAGGGCGGACATCCAGCCCAGGTATACAGATTGGCTCCTACTTGCCTGCTGTTTTACCTCTGGTGTGGTAGATAGCACGATATACAATGGTCCGTTCCATTTCCTTTGATTTTTGTTGACAATACCATACCCCTAGTGATAAGGAATAGTACCCACTGACCAATTCCCAGCATACAACACTTTCGTCTCCATGCAAACCGGTCAGTCTTCATCCTCCCTAAACATAAATACCTCACTTTCTCACAAAGCATGAACAGGAAACACAATATTCGTTGGACTGGGTGCCTCCAACCAGAATCCCCGACCATACGGCTGGGCCCGGTCCCTGACCTCAATCGGATGCTTCATCATAGGGTCGTTTTTCTTCGCGCGTCTCAACCGCCTCCTAGGCCCCAAGAAACGTGGCACCTTAATCCTCTCCTTTCTCCTCCAGGTCATCATGCTGATTCTCACCGCTGCGCTGGTCACGGGCGGCGCGATCGCGGGCATCCCAGAGAACCCGTACTCAACCAGCGAGGCGGAGACGGAGTGGACGCAAGAAGTGCCCATCGTGCTTCTGAGTATCCAGTCGGCCGGACAGATCGTGGCGAGTCGCGCGTTAGGGTTCAATGAGATCCCGACGGTCGTGATCACCAGTCTGATATGTGATATGATGTCTGATCCGAAGTTGTTTCTGTTGAGGAACGAGAAGAGGGATCGGAGGCTACTCGCGTTTGTCTTGACCCTGGTGGGTGCTATTGCCGGGGGTTGGATCACGAAAGGGACCGGGGACATCTATGCGGCGTTGTGGATTGCTGCGGGTATAAAGTTGGGGATTGCTGGAGCTTGGGTGTTTTGGGGGGATGAGGTAGTTTCGTCTTGATTGTCTTTTTCTTGCGTTATTTCCAAAATCCTCACGTTGAATTGGTCTTATTACTTGGTAGCTTTATTATGTCTTCTAGATGGCTTTGCTTATATATACCCTTCCTTTCTCTTTCCTCTTTACTCCTTGGTCTAGGCCCTTGTTCGAGAATACCCATCAAAAGCAAGCAAAGAATCAAGCAACCCAAATATTCTCATCGGCGAACCCATTCGCCACCCACGAATCCTCAAAATACTTCTGCAGCACCACCTGCTGATAATCCATATCATCCACACAATAAGCGCCCCCAGACGGCGCAATATGCGAACAGTGAATGTCCGGCCGATACCCAACCATATGCTTATGCACCTCCCTACAGAGCAACGTATTCTTACCCAACTCAAACGGCTGCCCGAACCGCGTCTCCTTCGTCAGATACTCGATGCACTGATCCCGACTCTCATAGTGCTCATAATCCCCACAGTACTTCATACTCTGGTCACACACCGTCGGCGCAACAATCCCCGCTACTTGTTTCTGCACTTCGGCCTCGTCGGTAGTGTTGAATCGTTTCGCTGCTACGCCGAGCAAAGTACTCACGAAGTAGTCGAACCAGCGGAACGTGGCGTCGTATTGCGCGATCTTGCCGTCGGCGTTGAACTCGATCCATGTGTCGATGACGAGGGGGAGGAGCACGCCGAAGGTTGTCACGTTGAATGTTAGCACGGTGGTCGCGGACGCGATGTTCTGGTTTGCGGCGAACTGCGTGATGTTGTAGTTTATGGGCACTCCGGTGAGACTAACGGTGTCGGGTTGCGTGAAAAGTCCGAAGATGTATTCGTTGTTGAGCTCGCGGCCGTCAAAGGTGCGGGTGATGTCGACGCGGCCTTGGACCTATTTGTTGTTTGACTCGGAGTTAGACGTTGGGCTTTGCGTGAGGTTGGGGAGATGATGGGGATGGTGGAGTTAGGGTTTGAGATGGTCATAGGATAGGATGGGTGGTTTGGGGTGGTGAGTGGGCATGATTGCGTGTATAGGTGTTCGGTGTCGAGGGGCAACGAAGCAAGAGAGCTTACATCTTCAGCAAATACCGACTCGTCTGTCGCATTGATCTGTTTCACATTCGCCGGGTACAAGAACTGCGTCCAGAAATTGTTTTCCAGCTCCCAGAGCTGGTCGATACTGAACTCAGGGCGTTCAGCCCCGACCAAGGATAAGAGACTTGAGCATGTACATGCTAGAAGGGAGAACTGTCGCCCACGCATCTTGTTTGGAAGAAAGACGATTCAGATATTATTCAGATGCGACTTGTTCAGAAAAGGGGACCAGAAGAATGCCATAGCCAGGGCCTTTATTTATACACATATCGTCAGGTGCACCATCGACCGAATCGGACCTCGCGGGACCAGCTGAACAATACCTCTGAAGGCTGAATGTGGGACATTTTCTGCAAGGGAGTCACTGCCTGAATGGGGCGGTTCTCGTATAGCTCTGTCGATCATGGCACGTCCGCATTCCGCTGACTGCATTCCAGCGAGGCAATTTGGAACCTGACTGGATAGTTTTCTGCACTTCAAGCTGATTGATTGGTTTGACTCGGTAGTCGATGACTGGCTTTGATCCGGATTGGTTGATTGGTGGCTTGACTATTGAATGTGATGGATCATGATGATCTGAGATTTTAGCTTGGAGGTGATCTCATTTATTTTAGGACAGGTGATCAAGTCATGTCCGCTTCTTTGTATGAGTGCTTATATACAGTGATGTCAACACATGCAACCTAGTCAGGCTGAGACTATGCATGATCCTGATTTCTTCCCCGCTTACACGATCGGGTGCATCTTATTGAATACATTCCCGGGGTCATATCGCTTCTTCACATCCCTCAGCCTCTGGAGATTCTGACCGTAGATGTTATTCACGACCGCGTCGCCGGCTGGAAAAAGAAAAGTCAGCACGATCCACTCTCAAGCATTCGTGGCAGTATGTAGAAAACTCACGCTCCGCATAGTTAATATACTGCGGCACATCGTCGTCCTCGCCACCTTTGCCGTGCACCCTCTCAAACTCGCTCTTGAAGCTAGCCTGAATCTCCCGTGCCCACGCGCGATGCGTTCCATCCATCTCCGTACCGGACCATCTCAGATTCAACAGTCCGTTCTGCGTCGCACTGCGGTTCGCAAAGGCGGTCGCGTCCAACGGCACACTGCACGTCTTCCGCATATCATACCACTCGAGCAGCAGCGCCGGGATGAGGTCAGGATGCGCGTCGTTCTTCGCGTTCAAATCATCGAGCACAGTCCGCAGGAATCCGGCGTTCAGCGGAGTCTGGAAGAACAGGCCCTTGAAGGTCTTGCGGTCGCCGTAGGTCGCCATGGGGTTTTGGAGCGAGTTCAGCTGTGAGTACGGGATCATGGAGATCATGTTGGCGACGGGTTCAAGGGCGAGAAGTTCCGCGAATCGCGATTCGCCCTCTTCTTGGGTGCCGTTGTAGAAGACGAGTACGTTCACCATGAGAGTAGGTGCGCCCGGGGGTTGCGCGAGAATGCACATCACTCCGGCCTTAGGGTCCGGGTTCTCCATTTGTTTGTTCAACGCGGAGATGACGGACTCGAGTTTCTCGGGCCCGAAGGAAACGATACCCGAGTAGACCGAGTTAGTCTGCTCGTAGCCCTGGAAGGTGAAGTCGACGGCGACGCCGAAGTTGTAGCCGGCGCCACGCAGACCCCAGAAGAGATCTGGGTGGGAGGATTCCGACGCGGAGACGATCTCACCATTAGGCAGTACGACCGTCGCAGCCAGGAGGTTGTCGATCGTGAGGCCGTACATTCCGCTTAGCCAGCCGTAGCCACCGCCGAGGGTGAGGCCACCGACGCCGGTGTGGTTGACTGTTCCGCCGACGGCGGCGAGGCCGTACTGGGCGGCTTTTTCGTCGACGTCTTTCCACACGGCGCCGCCTTGCACGGTCAGGGTCTTGGATTCCTCGTGCACGGTGACATGGTTCATGCGCGAGAGATCGATCACTAGGCCGCCTTCGCTGGAACTGGTGCCGGAAACGGAGTGGCCGCCTCCTTTGACGGCGAAATCGAGACTGTGCTCTTGGGCCCAGAGAAGGGCGGCGCGGACATCGGTGGTTTCAGTGGGTTGAACCACCACACCCTACAGGGATGTTTTGCTTAGTTAAATGTAAGAATTATGGGTGCGGGGTCTTACCGCCTGTTTAACGCCCGTGTCGGACCATCGACGCAGACTTTCCTGGTAGCCAGGGTCTGAGGGAGTGTAGATCGTGGAGGAGGTGAGAGAGCCACGGAGGGACTGAAGGGCTATGTCAGAAATGGCCATGTTGCGTGTCTATATGATGCAGGTATGGGATCTGTTGAACAAAGAGGGGAAATCCAGGAGATGAAGACGATGATCGGATCTGCGGGGTTCGTGTTGATCCTTTGCTCCGTAGTGCGGTGTCAGTTAGCGAGATCCACTTGCTTGTCATTTCTTACTTTGAGAATTGGCTCGTGGTCACAAACGATGAGAGCTGTCTTGAATCTATAGACAGGTCTTGCAATATGAAGAAAATGTTTATGTTCATGGCCGGATTGGGAAATTGTTCCACGTGCATTGGCAAGCCCTGAGGGGGTGCTGTACATACTGTACATACACCCTACACATTCGCTGCTTTTCCGGTACCAGTGTCGATCCAGGGCATTGTTACATTCTTGAGATTTAATATTAGGGCGTTCAGGAGTTGCAAGGCTTTGGTTCCGGCGTTGAATTTCCATTAAAACAATAAAATGTTGTGCACTTACCACAGTCGCTTCGAAGTGTATGATTATATCTGGAGTTCACCCCTGCAGTGCCGATTCAAATATATATATCAAATAAGAATCCCGATGATAGCTTCATGTGCATTGAACATTCAAGCTTCAAACGTAAAGTTAAAATATCTTTTTGGCTTTCAGCCATGATCTTGAAGTCCAATAATTGATCGTCGCCACTTCGAAGGATTATCACGCCTTCCTACCAACGGTAGCAGCAATATCGGTTGTCCAGTCAACAGATTTCTGCAAGTAATTGTAAAAACTTATATATGTAGCTTGCTGTTGACCTTTACTCTTGTTAAAGAAACTACTTGGTTAATACAATTATATCTCACCTTAATAGCTGTCAACCTACGCCACAGGTCTACTCAATCATTGATCTTCCCCTTCACTATGATCCTTCCCGGTCGCACGCTCCTTACCCGCTTGATCATCCAAAACATCAAATCACCATCTCTCCAAGTCCAGCCCTGCGGAATCGACCTCACCCTCAAACGAATTTTAACCTTTAACTCCGCGGGAACGGTCGATCTCGACAATACCCACCGCCAGACAGCTTCAACCGTCGAAATTCCTCTACCGGGCCACCACAATGCCACATCCGCTATCAATAACAGTGCCGATCACACCCGCAGCAGCAGCACCATTAACAACAATAACAATCAAGACTCCCCATTCACAACCCTCGCACAAGGAACCTACCTCGTCGAATTCAACGAAACCGTCTCCGTTCCGCTAGACGTGATCGGCCAGATCTTCGTGCGCAGCTCGCTGTTTCGCTCCGGGGTGGCCATTCACGCTGGGGTCATGGACGCCGGGTATACCGGGGCAGTGGGAGCCTTGATGCAAGTGTTCAATGCACACGGGGTGCGGGTTGCGCAGGACGCGAGACTGGCGCAGATGGTGTTTCATTGTATGAGTGAGAGTGTCGAGGAGGGGTATAAGGGGGTGTATCAGGGGTCTGGGGGGATTTAGGAACTGGGTGAGGTTAGAGGTTGCGGAATTCTGGATGAGAACAATGGCATTGAGTCGTGGGTTGGGTTGGGTTGGGTTCGAAGAGGGAGAAGAGCGATTCATATGATGATGGGTAGTCATAAAAAGACATTAGAGGGTAGGTTAGCACTCCGGACTCCGAGGGAAAAGTAACGTACCTTGGGGGCGTAGGAATAGATTAAATTCTTAATTAATACTCCTTGTTAGTGCATCGCTTGCGGTAGAACTCCGGATACTCCCAGACTTGTGGCCTGGGCACATCGCCATTAATTATTGGTTATGACTTATAAGATCAGGCTGGTACTCCATAGAAGTCTTAGACTCTTAGCCAAGGAGCTTGGAAGTCGGAGGTCCCACTACGAGCCTGGACAGGCTGTAACAAGAGTCCAAAACCGTTGACAAGTCCGGAATAACTATGGGTAACGTCGGTAGGTTGAAGGCTACAAGGTTTGAGGATATGTCCGTTCTGGAGCATTGAGAAACAATAACCAAAGACATGATTCAATCATATGACGGCGGCAAAAATGGAAAGGAGCAACCCACAGCTAAGACTCCATAGTTTGATTGCCAGTTCTGGGCATTTAATCTGCCGAAGGATGAAAGCCTGAAACAAATTCGAGTTCGTGCTTACCCGGTCGGGTAGGTGGATAATGTGGCTGACCGGGGGCTCCGTCATTCATGTGCTCGATGATCCACTCGCTGTGGGATTGTTTGAACTACATGGTGAGGTTGCGATTGTATTACTGGAAAATATTTGATAGATGTGTGAGATATTGCACTGGCATCTACTCGATACTGTGTATACATTGTAGTAGAGTTGTGGATGTCAAATTTGGAGTCATAAAGATGTTCAGCTAAGGGGGAGTTGTTGCAACTTACAAGTCACTATATACGTGCAGCATCATGTGTATCATCAGTCGTACAAGATTCATGACCTTATTTCAACACCTCCTTAGAATACCGCTCATACAGTTCCGGATACCATTTCTGTCCAACATCGGGATGGCTGAGAATGCGGTTTCGTAGGTATGCCTCACCGAACTATAGCTATTAGTAAATCGTTAAAAATAGAGCCAAACCGGTTTGGGCAAACTCACGCAAGAATACAACGGCGAAAGAAACTCGCTGGGAACGTCAACAGCTCTCTTCTTCCGATCATTACTCGCCGGAATCCGCTCGACAATATGTTTGGCGGATTCCTCCAGCTGAGCTAGCGTGAGATCCATACGCACACCGAGAAAGAACGGAATGCTGTATCTTATTTTATTGACCGGCGCCTGGAAGAAGTAAGCAACCAGTAAGATAAACGAGGTACAAGAAAGAGGGTAGGTTCACCATCACACGGTGGGTCGTGGCCGTGCAAATACCTCCCGTGATGGCCTCAAAGCCCTGCTGGATATTCACCACCAGACTGCCCTTGATGGGCGGAGCATCGATCCATTCGCCTTTTTTGTTAAGCACCTGAAGACCACCGGTGTCGTCTTGCGACAGGAAAGTAAACAGTCCTGTCGAGTCCTTGTGTGGACCGACGCCCTGGGATCCTGGCGCTGCGGGAGGATATTTGACGAACTTCAATCGGTCCATATTGCCCTTGAAGGACTCAAAGGTCGAAAGCGGAAGCGAGAGGCATTCTGACACGGCGCGCATAAACTGCTGCGACAGCGATGCGGATTCGCGGATGTATTCTTCGACGAGGTCTTTGGCGCCCGGGTGGTCGGGGTACTGAGCACGCATACATTATTGGGCTTAGAGAGGATGGCTACGGAGGTTACGTTGATAATAGAATAGAAGGGGTGAGACACACCTGGCTCTCTCCTTCGAGCCTCTGCCAGAATGGATCCTGAGGGTTCCACTGCTTCATCCCCGGAGTTCCGAAATCATATTGCTGTGCATGTGTCAGTTTGCGTTCGGCGTAAAGCCGAGCAACACGATAGGATGGAAAAACATAATTAGGATTTGCAAAGCACATACCTCCCGCCAGTCCGTCTTGGAGGCCGTGGTCTCGGCCCCCAGTCGAGTATATCCCACGAAAGAGGGCGAGTTGATCATGTTGCATCGCTCCTTGACCTCGTCGGGGAGGTCGAACAGCTCGGGTAATTTTCCATGGGTGCGCAGGATGAGATCTTCAAGGCCATGGTTGGTCAGGTAGATGAAGCCGACCTGGAAGATGGCCTCACGCAATTCAGTCAATGCATGAGGTTTAGTGCCAGGGTCCTGTAGCCGATGCCAATCGATGACGGGGATGGCGGAAAAGTCGCGGTCCATGGCGCATGCACCCCAGGGAGATTTCAGGGTTTCAGGATGAGATTACTGGAAACCGACGAGGTGATTGTAGGAAATTCCCAGGAGTGACATTTCTTGTCGGCGGGGGTGGCAGGATCAAGCGAACACCAATCACGCGGACCTGAGAATTGCCTCAGCGTCAGGCATCCGTTTCTTACTCATCCACGGTCAGTGATCACCCCCTGACTCGACAAGCCCTACTTTTCTCGTCCGCTCCTTATAGGGATGAGGGCGAGTATCATGGTTCGACGTTGGAGTTTCCACCATCCTGATGTTTCTCATCAAGCGGACTTGGCTCTTGGCACGGTTCTTGTCCCAGATCCACTGCGGATGACGTCTCCCAGGAACCGACAGACGGCATCAGAACTCTTGTTAGACTCGGTGCCGGCATTTCTGTGCCAATTCCTCCGTCTTCCGTGTCGCATTAGGTCTTCCAGGGGTACCATCACCTCACTTTGGCGTATAATCAGCACAATTGACCATCTGGTGATGCATAGACGCCATAACACCCAGTCTTCCAGCTTAGGAAGAGCTAATCAAATCCCCGTTCTTGGCAAGCCCATCCTGAAACGCACCAGTCATTTGTGGAAGTTCTCCGTGTCTCAATTAGACTATAGCTCGATCTTATGCTAAGCCACGCCCCTGCCAGTCGACTTTTCTACAGTCTGCTTTTCTGTTCTGGGCACCTTATGGCTCCTACGTAACTTACTCGCCGGATAATTGTCTCCTGTTCCTGTCCCCTTCAGGACTCGTGTGACGCCGATCTCTTGAATCCGTCCACCTATGGATGTGGACATGCTCTCGTCTGTGGGTTCTAGTCCATAGTTCTCATCCATAGTGACAAATGGAAATCAGTTCCATCGCACTTCAGACCAGGACAGTCTCAGCATCAGCGCCAGTATAAGTACCCCAGAGAATCTCCTCGTTCCATCCTGATTTTTCTTTGCTTCTCCAGCAAGTTCTCTCCTGTCATTCTTTCCCCCTCTACTTTCCTCACCTTTCTACCTTCATTCTTACCGTTTCCTTTTTTATCTTCAAGTTCGATTCTGTGAATCAACTACCATACTAAAATGGCCAACTTCAAGCTCTTCCTTGCGCTTGCCACCGTCCTGTCTGGACAGGCTCTGGCTGCGCCCACCGCTACCTCCAACGTGAAGCGTGCTTCCGCTGACGACGTGAGTTTCCTGCCTCTTTCACTCCCTTGACAAGGTCCGAATCCTCAACTGACATGCAAAAGGTTGCCTTCGGTTACGCCAGCCAGAACGGCGGCACCACCGGTGGTGCCGGCGGTACTACCACCACCGTCTCTTCGTACGCCGAGTTCACCGCCGCCGCTAAGGGTGACGAGAAGAAGGTCATCTACGTCGACGGCACCATCAAGGAGAGCGCCAAGCAGGTCAAGGTCGGCTCCAACACCTCCATCATCGGAAAAGACTCCAACGCCATCCTCGAGGGATTCGGACTGTATGTTTCCTGGCCCCGGGCACGCTTTCTACAGCGCAATCTGGAATCTTGAATAATGCGGAATGCTAATTGAATGGATAGTATCGTCAAGGAGACTGAGAACGTCATCATCCGTAACTTGGGTGTCAAGAAGGTCCTCGCTGAGAACGGCGATGCTATTGCCGTCAGTATGTACACCTTTTTATATGATACCGAGCGAACCGTCCGAAGAGACATGCTAACAAGCACATAGACAAGGGTAACAACGTCTGGATCGATCACGTCGACGTCTCCTCCGACAAGGACAACGGCAAGGACTACTACGACGGTCTGATTGACGTACGTCTCTTCCATATCCCATTCTCACTGCCCGAACGCTCATGCTAACCTACTTGTCCATAATCCAGCTGACCCACGCCGCCGACTACGTCACCGTCTCCAACTCCTTCATCCACGACCACTACAAGGCCTCGCTGGTCGGCCACTCCAACTCCAACGCCGACGAAGACACCGGCCACCTCCGCATCACCTACGCCAACAACTACTGGTACAACATCAACTCGCGCGCTCCCTCGTTCCGCTTCGGTACCGGCCACATCTACAACAGCTACTACGAGAACGCCTCCGACGGCATCAACACCCGTCTCGGCGCCCAGCTCCTCGTCGAGAGCAACCAGTTCGTCGGATCCAAGAAGCCCCTCTACAGCGTTGACGATGATGGATACGCTGTTGCCAACGACAACGACTTCGGTGATGGCGAGAACACCGCCCCTAAGGGTACTCTTACCTCTGTGCCTTACAAGTACGACCTCGTTGGCTCCAGCAAGGTCAAGGCTGCCGTTGTTGGCACTGCTGGTCAGACTCTTACTTTCTAAGTGAATGTGGGTCGAAGTCTTGCTTTCCTTGGGAAGTGAGAGGGAAAATGTGTTGGTGGGAGATAAGGGTGGTTCGATCGAGGAGGATGTGAATGTCGAGGGCTTAGTTGGTTGATTCTTTGTACATCTTCTTATGCGCTGGATCATCGCTATCTTTATTTTTTATTGCATAGCTTGCTATATATCCTTAATATAGTCAAGTTATCACTTGCTCAATTCTCTCCCTAATATGTAGGCAATCTTGCTGAACTTTGGCTGAACATTTCGCTTGTTTTCATCAGGGAATTGTTTTCCGATTGCACTACGGTCACTGCCCAAGCTCTCGGATAATATCCGGTTATGAAAGTTGACAAGGAATGAAGTCCTACGAAGTATGTAGTGTTTCACATTCAGTGCCCCAGATTCGGTTGCAATGTCCTGGTACTGAACGAACCCTCTATTTTGCACGTCTAGCATACTCCCAGATACCATACCAACCATCCTATGTACGCCTGCATCGCATCAATCTACGGTCTTTCTCCCAACCAGTATGACACTGGATCTGCTCTCAACGATCAGAATCCTCCAACGCAAATCGTTCAGAGTATCTACAACAAACATCCCTCATCCACCTAGGCCTCAATAAACTGAACATACGACATTCCTACTCGTCTTCTCACATGCTTACGCAATCCCTTTACGTTACCATCCTAGTTGTCTTACTCACGAAGTCGCTGGATTAATACCAAGGAGGGTGTGACGTGCCGCGTTATAGTACGATAATAGCTTGCCCTTGGAAGTGTGATATGCGTATAATATGCAGCTACATGATATATTTCCCTGGGTAATTGTTCACAAGCACTAATTCTGGATTCAAATTATCCCAATTACCTATCTACTGACCTCCACAGTACCTCATATTGATTTACATAGAAGACACTAGAGGTGATCGTATGGACAAATAAAATTTCACATTTCAACTAACCCAGACGATCGTGTTAGTTCGATGGCGTACAAATAGCAGTAATAAGACATCTTCCCCCCTAGACTTTTTATATACGCAATAACCAATAGAAATGACAGGGTAGATTACAGCCTATCCTGATCAGGCATTCAAACCATTCGCACATCTCGCATGGGATAGATTTGTTAGACGTAATAGCGTATATACGCTAATAACTATAATAAGGCATGATACTAGCGCAATCCAATGCCATGATAGAACCAGTAGTCATCTAGCTGAGATGCTCAACAGTCTTAATATCTTCCGTGTCTTGTGAAGAAATCTGTCATAGTAGACATGAGGTAAATAAGATGTAAGCGTATAGCTTCAACGTTGCCCATTTAGGTAATCTTGCATGTACATACTCATGGCCTTGGGCATCATGAACCACAAACCACAGCTCACAAATACCAACAAGCCCTCAGAGAACGACCAGCATTGTATCTTCCACAAATACGATAACGAGTCCAGTAACGAACGCAATGTCGAAGACAAACAACACAGTACCAATCAAACATAACCCACTGTACATCCCTGTCTCGCAAAATACAAAGCACCATAGATTATCCATTTGCAGTGATGTAATATAATCCATATATCTAATACAAATTCAAACACGCTATCGTAATCTCGTTAACTGATCAATATCAACTCAATCCAGCCGAACCCAAGCCAATCAAATCAAAATCCGACCTGACCGACCTATCCTGACCAATCTAATCCAATCCAATCCAACCGAATCGACTTGAAACTCCATACACCCGAGACCTGACAACCCAAGACAAGACAATCCAATCCAATCCGTACATCTATCCATATCCATACTATCCATGAAGCAACCAACGAAAGATCAACAGACCAGGAGACCAGTTGCAGAACCAGTCACGCAGAAGCAAAAAGCAGAGGTAAAAGCCAGACCGAACCCCAAAAACCCAGAAAGAAAACCCGAAAGAACAAAGACTGAGACTGAGACTGAGAAATACGAGTCGGGGCTTTCACCTCACTCTCGCAACAGCAAACTCTTTCTCGAAAGAATACGAGGAGCTGGAACTCTGCTCCTCGACCGGAAGGGGAATGTTGATTTTCGTAGCATCGAACTCCCACGCGGCTTCGCGCGCCTCTTTCGAGTTCTTCAGATAGAACGGTAACGTCCACTCTTTCAGCCGGCCTTCCAGGAAGCTCATGTCACGGTGCTTCTCCCACATGCGTCGCGATGACTTGAAAGCCGAGTTGACGGTCTCGCGGCGCAGGTCCTCGTAGGCTTTGAATGCGGTCGTGATGGGCTCGTGTCGGTGTTTGGCTAGAATGCGAGAGAATAGGATGGCATCGTCGAGGGCGTAGGCGGCTGATTCGTCACGAGGGGGCATCTTGATTGCGGTTAGTTTGGCTTTTGACTGAAAGGGAAAGGGAAGTGGAAGCTTACAGCGTGAGCGGCATCGCCGAGGAGCATGACTCGGTCTGTGTGCCACCTTGAACCGGGCTTGACTTGATAGACGGGGTAGAGCATCCAATCGGTGGGTTTGCTGGTCATTTCACGGATACAAGGAAGGGCGGATTTGCCGAAGCGGGACTTCATCTCGTCGCGCAAGGCTCGCTTGATAGCGGCTTGTTTGCGGAAGTCTTGGCCGGGTTCGAGACGATAGTGGCCCAGGAGGTCTTCGCTGACTTGGACAATGGCGGCCAGGAAGATCTGCTCGTGCTCACGGTCAACGTAGCTTGTGATCAAGGAGCCGTGGCGAGAGATGTTCATGGCGGTGGAGCGGAAATGAATAGGGGCCCTGATGCTCTCGGTGTCGACGACGCTCTGTACAAATGAGATACCGGTGTACTCGGACGGTGAGGACTTGTCAATCCAGTGCTGGCGGGTGGCCGAGTGCACGCCGTCGCAGCCGAGCACGAGATCGGCCGTGCTGGAGGTGCCGTCGGAGAAGTGCAGGGTGGCTTTGTCTTCGGATTCTTCGCCACGGACAAGCTTCTTGCCGAAGACGACGTCGACATTCTTTGTGCGTTCCACCACGGCCAGCATGGCGACCGACAAAATGATCCGCATAACTCGTCGTCCTTTATATCCGCCGAACCCGTTCCCGCCGTGATCGGTGAAATCGATGGACCCCAGTTGTCGGCCAGACCGACTGGAGAAGATCTCAATGGCATCGACATCCGAGCCGCCCTCTGCACCGAGTCGATCGAGCTCGGCTAGCACGCCAAGTTGGTCGAGATGCCGCTGTGCTACCGGCGTAAGGTTGATGGCGCCGCCGGAGGTAGAGAGGACATCGTTACGTTCGAAGATGGTGATCTCGAGGTCCGGAACGAAGGGGGTCAATTCTTTAGCCAAGGACAGGGCACAGGCAATGCCGGCAATACCGGCCCCAATGATGGCGATCTTGCGAGGGGCCATGATGGAGGTGAGGGATCGCTCGCATTCGGTAGGGAAGTCGTACCAGTCCTTGCCCGGTTGGGCGGGGACCTCGGCCACGTTCGTCTCAACGGCTGACATAATTTGATGTCGTTAGAATGGTATTGAAAGCTCAAACCTGGCCATCAATGGAGAAGACAGAGCGGTGATATAATCGAATTGGGGTCAGACGAGGGGCGTAAAAAAGTCCAAAGGGTTCGTGAGCATAAATCCTTCGCGGCACCAAGCCGGCACAGGCCATTCTTAATATGATATATTGGAGGGCCCAAAAAAAAAAAAAAAATAGGAAAGAAAAAAGAAAAAGGATAGGAGGGGAAAAGAAAAAAAAAAAAAAAAAAAAAAAAAAAAAGTAAAAAACCAATTAATGATTTTTGCAAAAAAAGAAAAACAAAAAGGAACCAAGATCCATTTTCCCCAAAGAAGGAACAAAATGTCTTGCCCGTTCATCCTTCTCGTCAATCAGCATATTCGGCCGGAATGGGGAGTGTTCGGAGGAGTCGAAGCACGATCGTTGGACAGCAATTCATCGACCGTTTTTTTCCTCTGCAGGCACCCACTCTAATACTCCTGGGCCACTCGATAATGTCCAGAATATGCCGTCACAGAGCGCTGCCGGAACTCCACCGAGCCTTCTGGCTCGACCTGTCATAGGCGGGACGGGGGACCTGAGCTGTCAGTCCGAACTCTGGAGCCTTCTTCCACAATCCATAACGAAGAAAAAAAAAAAAAAAAATGAAAGCCGTTGGCGCGCCGGCTTGGCATTCAGGAGACTAAAGGGAGATAGATCGAGCGCAGGCCCCGGTGTTCAAGGTTTTGGACAGAGTTCGTCGGTTACATGTCATTTTGTCATTTTTTGGGGGGGGGGGGGGGGGGGTGGTTGCTTCCCAGCGATCCGGAAGAACTGAGAAAAAAAGAGAGATTCTAGACAGAATGATCGAGCCCTCAAGTGGCGCTGCAGACATCAGAAGACTGCAGGCAAATTCTTCATCAGTTGACTAGGGTTATTGGCAGCAGGGGTGGATGACTGGCCCAAACCCTACGCTAGACGGGCTTGGTGCTGCTAGGTACGTTGTTAGACCTGTTAGCTTGCTTAAGTCTCAAGGCTGGATAGGGAGGTTAGTGTGTGCGCTCGATAGAGCAGCAAGTTAGCATGTAGACTAGGGAGTAGCAAGCACGAAAATCAAATGAAAAAACGAAACCCAAAAAAAAAAAAAAGCAATATATGATTTCCCTGTTTTTTAGTCTCGCTGTTCCTAATCTTACCTCTTCTGGAACATCCTCCGGAATCGACTTTCAAGCGAGATTATTTTAGTCCTAGTACTAGGTATCACTATCGTTCAGCTGCTCCTTATTCTGGAAAGCACAGATATTAATCGCTGGAGCTATGGCGATTCGTCAACGTAATGCTCTCCACTGTTCGAGCGGACAACTTACCCCGTAGTTACCCTGCCCGTTGGCATAGGCAGTAGTACTCCGTAATGCCTAACAATAGACGGCTGGATCAAGATAGGCGGCAATGGGGATGATCAGGAGTCCGTGGAAAGGGGATACGTCATGTGCCACTGCGAAACGATCTAAAGGGTCGATTCCAGGCCCGTCAGCCACCTTGTTCCGTGGGAGAAAGTACCAAGAAGCCAAACTCCACGACCGGGATTTTAGGTTTTCGGGTAAAAGAATCCTTCTCCCTTGTGATCTTGCCTCGGTGTGAGAATTCGCCAGCAGCAGCAATCAAAATCGGAATTGAAAACAAGGATAGAAAATCCACTGCCTCGGAAGGATTTGCCTCGCGTACGGAGTATCCAGTAAAGCAATCTATGCTCCTTGGATAGATTCCTCTCTTCGTTCTCCGAGATCCGCTCGAATCCACCGCTTTCCGTCCGAAACCAGACTATTGATAGCTGGAGGAGTCGTTGCTCTCGTCGATCGCATACCAAGCAATATATTGGTCGAACAACGGTCGGTAGAGGAGTTAGCACGCACGGAAAGAGCCTTCCGATTGGCGCGTGCCGATGCATCGTCCACATGGGAGAATTAAGTTCCCCCCTTAACCTCTATTCTCGATATTGGACTATGATAGTGACTTAATGATATTATCCCCGGGTCGGGAGCGGTCCCGGATGCCTAGCTGTGTTCAATTTTCGGTTTTAAAAAATCAAGCGCTCGGACATAGGATTCCAAGAGACATGACGATCAAGTCCTCCAAATCAGAAATGTCCTCCTCTTTGTGTCGGACTCAGATAAAGTTTTGATGTATAGACTCCGTTTTCCGTTCCGTACGAGGGCCACTACTCGGTGACTCGGGATCTGGGATGGATTTTCCCAGATGAAGACCTGCAGTATCGTTTAGATTGGAAAAAGCCGAATACGAACGGAATCCTGTGAGAGGTCCGTTTCCTCGACCCCGCAGACCAAAGAGACAGAAGCCCAAGACGGCAGAGTGTCTGTTTGATCGAACTTGACACTACTGACAGAATGCAATTGCAATATGCACTCCTTGAACTAAGTACGTTCGATCATCGACAGCGCGGTAGGTGACCGTGCCAAGTTTTCACACTAGTCGCATCCCTTCTCCGACGCTTTTTACCTAGCTCTGGTTCGGGCTAAGCAGGGGGTGCTGATTGTCGGACCTAACAAGCCATAATCTCGGCGTCCTGCAATAAGACACGGGACCGAGTTGGCAGATACCCAGTATCCATCTACCGACAGGAGTTTGAGGTTGAACATGTCCAGGGATCCTGCTGGATGTATCTGTTCTATAGATCCATCAGTTTTGCGGCCCCGAGATTGACCAGATGCCAGATATGCGAACGGAGTACGCAGTACTCCGTACAGACTGCAGGAGTGACATTCCAAAACTCCGCCAGAGCTAGCAGAGCGTGACTGTCCAATGTTCAACTCCACTCCTAATCGAGTCATACCGCGCGCCGCTACCGCGATCCAGCCGTTAACTAATATTAGCGCGGCCGTTTGCTGGCTGCTAAAGCCATTCCTGCGTCCAGCGAATCTGCTGACCCAGTTCTGGGCGGATAAGACCGGGGAATAGCATCTCCCTTCCCGTCCAACCCCTCATCGTTCCACATTCTTGGCCGATATGACATTCGATATGTCAGATCATATGTCTACTGATGGTGTCAAGGCTCAAACCCCGCAATTGGCTTATTTTTCCGTCTAGGTGATCTATATCTTGGTCTCTGTATATCCGTACTGCACTCTAACAAGGTGGAAATAACTTTAGAACTGCGCTTGGATCGCTAGACCGGAGAGTCGGGAATGGATCGTCAAGCGTCAGGGACCTTGTTGACCAATCTGATTCTCGCGGTCCTTTTGTATTGTTGAATCTAAATTGATGAAGGTGTTGATTCCGGAGAGCAAACATAAAACAGCTAGGGATTGGAAGATTTGTTAGTGTTCAAACTCAAAATAGTACAGCAAGCAAACAAGTCAGATGGACAAGATCATACCCAGCGCGCAATTCATCTCATAATAGCCAAATCGCTCTGCAAGCCAGCCGGAGAGGATTGGTCCGACAAAAGAGCCGAGGGTCCAGCTCATACTGGCAATCGACAGGGCCCGCGAGTATCCTCCATGGGGACCAAAGATCCCCGGATGTCTGGCCTCGATCTCATCGACCGTCACTAGAGCAGAGAATACATAGGTCAGAAGGACAGATTTCAGAGCACAAACACAGTCAAACGTACCCGTGGCTTCGATAGTCCCCGCCCCATTCAGCAAACATGTTAGAATGCCAACCCCAGTCATTGCAACCGTGTAGATTACTTGTCCCCGATTGCCCTCGTTGATCCAAGGGAACCGATCGTCGCCAGGCGTCCCCAGTAGCCACATCACAGGAGCTACGCCAATGAAACCGACAGTGGTTGGCCAGCGAGTCCCGACACGATCCTTCAGCCAGCCACAGAGGGGACTGAGCACAATGCCGGGCCCCTGAAACGCGAAAAACATTAAACCAGCGAGCATGCTTTTCCAGCCGAAGACATCGCGGACGTGTAGAGGCAGCGTCGTGTCAAAGCTCGTAGTCAAAATCGCAAAGGTCAGATAGCTCAGTGCCCCACAGACGAATTTGCGATGTCGGAACATGTACAGGTAGAACTGGAGGCCTGTCTTTTCTTCCACGGCACTGTCACCGCCCGTACCTGACAGTAAGGGATCATTTTCGGGGTTCTCGTCGTCTGTTGTCCGACCAGGTTAGCTCAACCATCATGGATCTGCACCCACCACCGCTCCACTTGCTTACCTGTGATCGATCTCGGTCTCTCAAGCATCAAGAGTCGGAAGATGATATCAAAGAATATAATGACAAAGGCACTCGACCAGGCTAGCCAATATCCACCCAATTCGAACAACACACCCGCAATGATCGGACCGCCCGAGGTCCCGGCTCCCACGACCACCGAGACAAAGCCGTACGTCTTCCCCAGGTTCTCTGGCTGAACATTATCGGCGATGGTCGCATATCCAACGACCCAAATGAACGAACTCGCAATGGCTTGGATCAGACGACCTATGAACAAAACCGCCGCTTTGTGTCCGTCAGCTCCCATTCCCATGTCTTATGAATTGGCATCCATCGCCACGGTCGCAGAAGTACATACCCGAGGTTGCGGCCGCGAGAACGATCGATCCGAGCAGCACAACTGCCAGAGAGGCTAAAAGAACTGCTTTCTTCGAAGGAAGGGTATCTGCGTAGTTCCCGATGAAGGGGCTACAGACCAGGGCGATGACGGAACTTTCGGCCAGCAGGGCGAAGCTGAGACGCTGGGTCAAGGAGGGATCAATTCCGAGGCGGTTCTCGAGGACATAAGGCAGGATAGGAACGAGGAAGGTGTATAGGAAAACGTCTATTCAGGATAGGTGTTAGTTCGGTGTTGCAGGTGGTGGTGGGACAGAGCTACAACTTGCCGGTGAACAAGGCCATTGACATGGTAGCGACGATGAAACCCGGCGAGGAACGCCATCGCTGGCCCCATACGGCATCCTGGTCGGTCGTCATGTTGTGAGATGGTCAATGGGGACGCGGTGTCACCAGGAGCATGGTCGAAATTCAAAGAACACGCAGGGTCCAAAGAGCCAGTTTCATCGTTGCAGGCATCGATAGGCGACCGTTCGGTTGGGGTTGCCGATAGGGATTGTGCTAGGACCCCACCGTTCGGAGGTAAGGGGTGGTTTCATTGGATGGAAGGTTGCATCACGACCAGAAAGCATTAGAAATGCACACCGAGCCTCGAGGTTATTAGAAAGCAGAAGTACAGTGTACAAGCAGAAAGGCAGGAAGGCAGAAGGGCAGGGATCCTCCGTTGGACTTCCGCCTGCACATGACCCTGCCTGGCCGGCCTCAAAAGGGTCTAGCGTGCCTGCCGCGGCGGCATCACGTCACAGCTTCAAGAAGGAAGGACAGTCTGGATTACTAGATTCTATTTGATACTTCATGGACAGTGCTGAGAAAAATAAGCTATACTACCTAAGCTACTCGAATTGTCTAATAATGGTTCGTTCGTTGTTATATGGCTAACTACTGTACATTTATGCGAATACTAAGCGGAAGTATATTTAGGTAAACAGTAAACCATCTTAACATCCCACCCAAGATATTGTCCTCTAGACAATTAAAGAGACAAACTTAAATCAACGTAGGCTATTTCGAATAATCTGACGACAATTAAGCCCATGATATATTACCCCAAGCGTTGGTTGACAAAGTGGTCTTCCAAGGTGTTGCGTGACTATAGCTATGAAGGGGTGGAGAGATTACACCTCAGGCACCTAAATGCCTGAGGCCAACATACATCGTCCAGCGATGCAAACCCTGCAAGAACTGCCTCGCTATCGTGCCTGACTTGACTCAACAATGGAAGAACCAATACTTCTTCACCCTCAGCCGACCATTGCCGGACTATTATATGCTATATCCCCAGCATTTTGACCCAGAATCACCACCACGACGGCAATCTAATCAGTAAATAATTAGCAACCCTCCAGAACCAACACTCTTGTTCCCTCCACTGTTTCAGGGATAGGCACAAGAAATATATGAGAAAGAAAAGTCACTAACCAACGAAATATCCACTCCCTGCGCAATCCTAACGTCCCATTTAGGCCTTAACCGAAACGGCGGCATCTGACCCTCCGTCAACTGCTCAGGGTCCGTGATGCGATGAATGGAAGCAACATTGCGGTTCTCGACTACCACGACCTGCACCATATTATCCAGGTCCTGGGCATGGACTTCCATCGTGACCTGATCGGTCATCGGAAGCTTGCTGCTTCGTCGAGAACTCGAAGACGAAAGGTCTCCGGCAACTGCATTCTGAAATGTAATCGTAGCCTTGGGTTCCCGGACCGCGACGCGCAATTTCGCTGCTAAGAGGTTGTTCTCGCCGCCCGGGAGTTTCAGGTCCAAGATCGACGAGGTATACCACCGACAGCGGAGGTCGAAGAGCGGGAGACCCGAGCGGTCGTAGAAGGTGCGGCGTTGGCCGATGGTGAAGGGGTGACCGAAGACGGTGAAGATGGTGGAGCCGTTGTAGGAGACTGTGTAGTCGAGGGGATGCCATGGTTCGGGGCGGTTATGGACGGAGAGGGTGAAATCTTCAGCGGCGATGTTCTCGGGTCGGATGGCGATGAGACGCGAGGGGGGCGTGAGGGGAGGAGGCGTCGACATCGTGATGGGTTCGGCTGCTGGGAGATGCTGGACATGGTGGCATTCGCCATGGCGGGTTCAGGGTGTAAAGGGGGAAGGGAGGTTGTTGGTTGTGGGGATATATACTCGTGTTATTGACTGACTGACGAGCGTGATACTGTGAAGTGCAGAACGGGAGTGAGTCGCGACGAGCAGGATGGAGTAGGTCGGAGTAGGGCTATTCGGTGTCCCTGATAAGGCTGATATGGGGTCCGCCTTGCCCTAAAGGCCTTGCATCCTCCCGCCGGGAGCGTTGGGGGAAGTGTTGGTTGCTGACAGCCCCATGATTGGTGGCTAGCGGTGGATATGGGGAAAGTTCATACCTGGCTTTTTCTTCCAGCGCCTCGGCTGCGCCAGAAGGGGAAACATTTCGGACAGTCAGGAGAAGCGGATTGGAGGGTCGAGAGGCAGTCATGCATGTGCTGGCGATGTGACAAGAGGGGAGGTTGAATTAACCTGGTTCCGACTGTCAGGGTCAGGAATGCAACCCTTCTAGCGAGATTACCCGCAGGCTTAGAGACATGTGAAACGGACTGAATGGGCTTTCTCGCAAGGCTGAAATCAGTTGACTATATAGGGTTAAATCACAGCAAAGCATACAATGGCACGGATCTTCCTGGGTCTAGATGCATGGCGAATTACCAATACGCCGCCCACTTGCTCTTCCCCTGAACAACCTGCACAAACTCCTGCGCAATGATTTCGCTCGTGCGCACGGACGGATGCAGCTCGTCAAACCACATATACGACTCGGGGCTGGGAGCCAACACGCAGTTGCCGCCATTTCCGTCACATTGTTTGGTGAACCCGGTGACATTGGCCGGGACATTGCCGTGGAAGTAGTCCGTTGGGTTCTCATACACATGAGACAGCTACTCGAGTCAGTCTGCATTCTTTACTTCCCAGTCTGCATAGTCTGTAACAGAACACTCACCAATCCAAACGTATCCATCACAGCGAACTTGGCCCCGGGATACCGTCGCGCAATACGCACCTCGAAGGGCGTTTTATACTGGAATATGTCGTTGGCCGTAGCCACCTGCTCCCACATCCGATAGCTGACCTCCGTGATATTCTCCGGCTTATTCTTCCAGAACCCACTCCGGCGCACACCGCCATGCTCAGGCGTCGCGTACTGCGGCGCCAACTGCAACGGAGCAAGGTTCATTAGGACAAAGTACCTGCCTCCATTATCATAAACCTGTTCCAACGAGGCATAGATACACTCAATGTAATCCGGGATCGTCTTGCCCTTCACCTGCGAATCAGTGATGAAAGCATCGTTACCGACATCATTGGTCCCGATCCAGATCGCATACACAGTTTCCTTGGGCGGGATGTCGAGGAACTTCTTCCCCGCGCGGATGTATTTGCTATCTGCCAGAAAGGCCGGAACCTCATACTCCAGAACAGAGGGGAATAGCGCGTTGATGGAGGCGAATTCCCGGGGCGTGATCTCATTTGAGCACACGGCGCCGCTGACGGCGTAATTATACCGATTGACGTGCGCAGCCTGCGCCACGAAATGGCCCCAATTGTACCCCCCTGTTGCGGTAGAGTTGCTCTGCGAGAATTAACACATGCTTGTCTTAGAAAAAGGGCCCAAAACGAACGTCTGGCTGCACCCATCCGACCGGGGGAGCGGATCCATTGTGAGTGCCAAAGTAGTTCAGTCGAGAATCATCCGTGTAGCTGTCCCCGAAGGTCACTAGGCTTCTGAACTTTCGCGGTCCCCAATTCTGGGATGGTTGAGCGAGCGTCAAGTCGAGGGTTAGGACCACAATGACCGCGAGGAGGTGGGCTTGACGCATGATGGGAATTGACTTTATCGACTAGCATATCGCGAGGAAGATCAGGAAGATCAGAGGGCTATATAACTTTTGGCAACTGTCGGCAATTTCCTCCGTTTTCCCGTCGGGACAATCCTCACTAGCGCTTGGAGTTATCAATAAGGAATGAATGCGGGGGATGCGGTGGAGACGGCTAAATAGACCAGTCGGGCCACCAGTCATGTTGACCCGGACAATTAGACGCAATTAAAGTATGGGATGCCTGCAAGGGTCTTTCCGATGTTTGCTGAAGTGTTCTTGCACTTGACCACAATTCCTGTTTTCGATTCAGCTTCTATTGTTCAAATCCTGGACTATTGGATTCTAATCATGCAGCTAGACAGCTCATTCAGTAAAATCCATATATACAGTTAGATCACTCTATCCTAGTATGCAAAGGCTGAGCCCTCATAGGGCTAGCTACCCTGGTTATGCAATCGATCGCACGATAGTTAGCATGTCAAGAATGCTAACCCTTGCTTAGCTCACATTGAGCCACCCCTACCCGGTAACAAGAGATCCAAGTCGCATGTTCTTGGTCGCTATTCGGCCAGCCATAATCTCAGGTCTATTTCAAATCTCTGTATGTGGTTCTGTTGTGAGTGTTCTAATGGAAAGCCAATAGATGGGCTAAACGAATACAATTGAAACTGTTGGTGAATTCGTATATAGTACTGCCACCGGGTTAGGGCTACAGCGTTGATGACCTCGTGCTCTTCTGGTGCCAAGACACCTAGTATTCTAGATTAGCACGAGCGAGACTTATGGTATCAATTGAATTTATTAGAATCATCAATTCCTACCAACTATACACGTCAACTGGGCTAATCAAAACTGTCAATCTATCATCCACACATAACCACACGTCCTTATAATACAACAATCCCAATTGTACAAGCAAACCTACACCCTGATCTTCACATTCCTCTTCGTAATCGCCCCGGCATCACTCAACGCCTGCTTCCTACCAGGGCCAAAACTTGGCTTCCCACCCAACGTCCCAAAGATATCACCGACGTAGTTACTCGGCTTAACGCCCTTCTCGAACGTCGAGTTCCACTCCCCAACAATCCCCTTCACGACCTCAATACCCGCATTATACAGGTTCTCGACGGCAGGCTCGAACGCGCCCTGCTCCGCGAACATCAGATTATCGAGCGCCGACTGACCGGGATACGGGCGTTCAAAGTCCGACGCGGTGCGCATGACGATGATCCGCGAGAAATCGGTCCGGTTGTGGTACGACGTCCGCAGGAGGGCCTCCAGGGTGGCGTTATCCTCCTGCGCCGTGGAGCAGTACGTGCCGGTGCCGTTGGTCCAGACGCGCGTGGTATTAGCGAAAGCGGAGCTGAGGAGCTCGCCGCTGTAGTAGACGTCTGTAGTAGCGACGTCGCATTCGATAACGGAGGGTGCGCGCGTGGCAGCCGCGTAGATGTCGCCTTCAGCAGAGGCGTAGTTAGCGCGGTAGGCCTGGGCCGTGGCCGAGTCGGAGAGGTTGGCCTTGCGGGCGAACGAGGCGGCCAGGGAGCGCAGCTCGGCGTTGACTTCGAAGACCTCGGTGCCGTAGATGCTGGTCGGGTATTGGTTGGGGTACTGGGCGCCCTGGGGGATGTAGCTGGTGGAGTAGTTGCCGGGGAGTTCGCGCAGGTCGATCTCGTACTGCAGAGCGACTTGGATGGCGAAGCGGGCGAAGGTGGCGCCGCAGATCGTGCCGACCTCGGGGTTGATGCCGGCGATGCCGGCGACGAGGAAGTAGGTGTGGGTGAGGTCGAAGAGGGGCGAGAAGGCTATCGACGAGACCGTGATGGCGGCGTTGATTTCGCCTTCGCCGGTCACGAGCTGGCAGACACTATGGTCGGCGGTGCAGTGCACGTCGGGGAAGATGGGAGAGGCGCCAGGGATGGTGATGTTGTGGGCGAGGAGGTCGAAGTCGGGGATTCCCCACCAGGCGGCGGCTTCGGGTTCAAACTGGAGCTGGGGTTAGATATGTGTGCACACTGCAATGGGTGGGGAATGAACATACCATCGAGATGATGAAGACCTTGGGCGCGATGGGCGACGCATGCTTCACCTGCGAGTCATAGCGACGGGCAGCCGGGTTAGCTGCAACGGACGGAAGCAAGCAGCTGCTGGCGAAGAGCAAGCCAGCTGAGAGGGACTGGAGAAGCTGCATGGCTGCTGGTGTCTGGTCAAAGCCTATCTATCACCAATTGACTGGAGAGAAAAAGAAAAAAAATTCCACAGACCGGGAAAAAGCCCAATATATAGCCCCATAGCTTCCGTTCCCGTTCCATCGAATTCTTCACAGCTTCTTCGGCATCCGGCGATCGGAGCCAAAACAAACGAGAGATAAAAAAAAAAAAAAAAAAAAAAAAGCAGCCAAAAGAGGCGGATATTGACAAATGTCACGCAAGGGGCGATGATCGGCGCTGATAGCGGAGATTAAGCTCGTGTGGTTAACGCTAATCGGCCAATAGGTAAAGGCTTATCGCTGGCTCCATGGCTCGCTAACTCGGGTGATATCCGTTGATACCGGATTGTTGGATATCAACGCCTGCAGAGTAACTCGCTTGTTAGTTCGTTAGTAATAGGAATTAAAAGGTGGGGACACTACCAGTAGACATATTATGGTCTTATCATGTATCTATCCATCATCGGAGTTTTCAGATCCTTGATTCTTTGTTCGTCAGCTCATTGTGTACCTGCGTTAGGTGGAGTACGCCTTCCATCTTATCGTGTGTTCCTGATATGCGAAGGAGAGACCACCATCAATAAGATAGGTACCAGAGTTCAATGACCTGTCAGCCAAACTTAGAATACATGGTAGGAAGCACGGGCCTCCTTAGTCGATAGGCATAAGGGAAGACTGTCAGTGTTGATCACAATTCATTCCACGGCTTTAATCTTATTTTGACGATTTTCAGAAACTGTCGAAGTATACCCCATCTTGTTCCTGATACTCGATTGTCCATTAAACATAGATTAAATCTGTCCATTGTGAGATCTTGAAGAAACAAATCTCGAATCTCAGTAGCGAAGCATGAATTTAATCCGGATTGATCCAAAGAACAAGAATAGCAGTGATTAAGAATTGTTAAAACACGACCCATACATGTTTTCTTAATGTTAGTGTAAAGCAATAAATAGATATCAACTCCTTTAAAGTTTCAACAGGTCAATGACTCTGACATTAAAGTATAATACCGAATAAAAGATATAGTTCAGCCCGATCTTGATCTTCCTCGATCCGCGGCATCCGGTAATCACCGGAAGAAAATGGCTATAACCGGCACCAGATACTGCAGAGCGGATCTAATTGCAATTAGACATATCTTTCACTTAAACAACAGTAAATATCAATATATCCATTACTCAAATCGGAATGCGTGATGCCATCCAGGCGTATATTACTAGGGTTCCTTCTATAATTGGCCGCGCACGACATCAGCGGCGCAAATTTCGTCCTTGGCGAAGCGACCGATGACATCATCACAATAGATTACGATCAACACTACCCCTCAATAGTAATTGTTGGATCTGGAATTTCTTGGAAATGATAATTAAATTCGAATTCATAATTCATCATATGAAATGTTCACTCTACCGCGTCTCTCGCCGTAAGGTATATACTGAGTAATCAAAAGATATAAAATCCAAGAAAGATAAACAGGAGAAATGAAACACCACCCCTCTGTCGTTCACAAAGACAAAGAACCCCCAACCCAATGAGCAGGTTCAAGAAAGTAAGATGAAGCATAAGATCACTCAGAGCAACGTCTCAGTATGAGCGACAATTCTCCACTCCCCATCCGACGCCTGGCTCCATGTCGTCGACCCCGTGGCAACGTACGCCTTACCACCCTGCGACGCGTTGATCTTGTACGTCACGGTGCCAGCCATGAGGTCGATGATGATAACGCGGACTTCCTGCAGCTCGTAGGAGTCAAAGTGGTGGAAGGGCGGCTTCAGAGTGTCTTGGATCGAGGGCTCGCCGTCCAGCGTGAGAATGGGCGTCTTGGGAAACAGTAGATTCACTTCTTCGTTGGAGAGTTTCTCGATTTCAGGACCAGGGTCGGCGGACGTGAGGGCCGTCCAGAGCGAGCGCTCTTTGATCAAGAGGTCGTCGCGGATGCGTTCGTGGATGGAGGGCATTTTGCTAGCTAGCTGGCTGGAGTGTTAGGGTTGGATGGATGTGGTACTAGGACAACATACCTGGATGGAGGCGAGGGATGAGATTATTGACAGATCGAGATGACAGAAAGGGGTCAGATTTCAGGAACAAGATAAACGACAACAATGACAATCAGAACCTGGAAAGATCCACGGTATAAGAGTAGATGGGGGAGGGGCATCTGACAGACGCACTGACGTCATGGCAGGTTGCACACGTGCATGACGTGTGCTGGGCTGGATCGAGATTAACTTAGATGATTATCATCTGAGGCCGGCTGGATGGAGTGGGACTATGGCTGGGTTGTGGTTGGTAGGGGTATGCTTGCGCCCGGGTCTTCTGCTCTTGGCTTTCAAGTGATGCGGCAGATTGGCAGTCATGTCTATCTCGAGATTGTATACTTCCTGGACATCCGTGAGTGTGTATGGGATTCCAGTTCGGGAAAATTGTTGATGATGCGACCACAGCTGGGTTATGATTGGCTTGGCTGATTTAGCCGGGATAAACTGATGCCTGATTCTGAAGGCATTAAACCTATTATTCTAAATGTGACCAGATCGATGGGATCGACGCGCGTACACTGTACACATTATCTATCGCCGTATAAATCATTTGATCTTTGACTCCTTGTAAACCAACTGACATCCACCACCCGAGCATGTCCACGAAGAAAGTTTATGACGGCTATGGGCCACATTGATCCTGCCACAAAGAAAGTAACCGGTGGCATAGATTCTATGTATTAAACTAGCAAGATATCGCACATTGAAAAACAGGCCAGATTAAATTTATCGTGCCAATCATTACGTTTAATCCATGTCAGTATAAGAAAACAATAGAGACCAGTTTTAATTTGGACGAAATCCAACAGTACACATGCTTCATCAAGACTTTCCCTAGTTTCTTCACCGTTAAATTTTATCTTCGCTTACGAGGGATTGTCGGCAAGCCTATCTACAAATTAGGGCAAACGGAGCAATTTTGGGGATCAGACGGAAAAGACAGATCTTCTCAAGAGATATGGAGGGAGAGATCTAGATGAAAAACAACGAAATGTTCAGATCATGGGGCTTCAGCCTTATGCGTTAAGTCATAAGTACAGGCCTCTATTGACCCCTAGAACCATCAAGAGTCCACTTGAGACGAGAGAGAAATCAGCTGCAATATAGACACGCATAGGTTTTGGAAGAATGACAAGAGGCAGAAGTGCGTACATATTAGAGCGAATGGCAAACCTAGCATAAGGCCAAAATATAGGCTGGATCGACATCTATTGGCCGTCTCTTGCGGTTTATAGACTTACCCCTGCTAATACACAGTATTTCATGTCTCCAAAACTATGGCTACATTCCTATCATAAGGCATAGAAGGATGCTCTCAAAAGGTACCTCGGATTGCTTAGAATAGTCAACAATCTCGAGACCATCCTTCTTCTCAATAATTCCTACCAAATACACCCAACGGAAAGGCATCTGCCAACCTCTGATACCCAGCAACATTTGGATGTAAATAATCCCCCGAGTTATACTCCTCCCTCAGCTGCGCCTTATTGTCGGGATCTCTCAAAACCGCATCGAAATCCAACACCTCATCAAATACCCCACTCGTCCGAATCCACTCATTCACCCGTCCCCTCGTCTTCTCCCTCCTCGGATCCGAATACAAAGAGTCCACCCCCGTCGGCGCAACGAACGGCGTGATCGTTGCCCCGAACACAGGGATCCCGGCCGCATGCACACGCGTCACGAACTGTTCGTATGCAACGAGTAGTCGTTTCTCGATGTCCGTTTGCGATGCGTCGTCTGTAGGCGCGCTGCCGATGTCATTGACGCCGGAAAAAATGATCACGTATTTGACGTTCGTCTGTGCGAGAATGTCTCGGTCTATGCGGCTGAGGACGTTTGGGCCTACGTTGTCGGATAGGAGCTTGTTGCCGCCGACGGCTTGGTTGAGGATAGCGAGGGAGGATGTTGATGGGCTTTTTTGTAGGCGGGGGATAAGGAGGTCGGGCCATCTGGGGGTTTAGTTTAGCTTCTTGGTTGGCTGAGGGAGACTGAAATTTCGGGGAGGTGGGCTATATCGCACCGATTGTTCTTGTTCGTCTCGCTTCCCCGTCCGTCCGTGATGCTGTCGCCAATGATGACGCAGCTGTGCGCTTTATTGGGGAGAAGGGCCTCGACGGCACTAATCAAGTACCTGTAGTAGCTGATGTGAGCTATGCCACTGTTGAAAAAGAAGATGGTAGGGTGACATACCAATGATCCACGCTCTTCGCATCCGCATCGCTCAAAGTTGGTTCTCCAACCCAATCGCCCAGTGCCAACCAAGACGTCGTCCGACTTGATGGGTGGGCCGTGATCCCGCCACTTTGGCCGTTATCAAGATAAATATCCACGGTAATCGTCTCCTGCGCTCTTTCTAATGGAAACTTGATAGGATCAGACACCGCCAAGGCGCCATTTGGAATAATGATGTCCGGGTTTCCACTGAATAAGATACCCTCTGTTGTATCGGACAGAATCTCATGAACGCCTAAAGTATCATTCTTGGTCCGACTAATGGCGACTTTCGAAATTGGCAGATCTCCAGTCCCAAACGCATTGGATATTCGGAGACGGATCCGCGTAGCTGGGTAGTTGATGCGGATTGTTTGACGTAGAGTGGTGTTTTGAAATTTATATGTCGCATTCTTGTGGTTGGTTAGCATACATGTATGAAGCTAGACGTAACTAGATGGACAAAGTAAATGTGCGTACGAATGGCTGGGGAGGAAGGTTATTCGGCTCCGTCAGTTGCGGCATTGTAGTCCAGATCCCGACCCAGTGGGAGTCTTTGTGGAGACCATCTCGTCGAGATAAAGCGTTTGCTGGATGGGAAGTGACTCTCTGAAACAGAAGTGCTAGTAAACAGACTAGATATATAGAGACCGCCATAGTGAGCTGATAGAGAGTGTGTATCCGGATGCAACTCCGCCCACTTCGACCCGGTTTAAATAGATACTCTATCCCCGCTCTAATTCAAAAATCACCCCGCATTTACTTCTCCGCTAGAAGAACGGAGACAACGTCCCCCCGCATATTTTTAGTGAATCTGCATGATTGATGCTTGGTTCTTGTAGCCGGACGGCTAAACCGGGTAAATGGGCAGTGTAGTGTTGATCAGGAATTCTTCCCGTCTCTCTCTGCACTAATTGCCTGGCTTCTTGCTTTAACCTTTCCTGTCAAGCCTTTCCTCCGCACTAGGAGATATCGAATAGTGATAGATGGCGGCTGGATGCATGTGAGTAGCAAATGGCTATGGTTTGTGCTATTGTATCCGTAGAGACGGCCTTGGTTATCAAAGTGATGGAATAAAAAAGTAGCTTGGAGCTGTCACTTAGTAAAAGGGTCACCCGTAAGATATATTGTATGTTAACCAAAAGTAATTTTACTCACGACTCGACCCACAGCTGAGTAGACTACAAGAATTAGACTACAAGAATGTACAGATTAGCAACAAAACACAATGACGTCATACATCCCAAGCGTGTCAGAAACTGCATGATTCTATTTGAATATTTCCACGGGCTAGCTTGATTGTATGTAGTATGATTCGAGAGTCAAGCAGTAACAATATCGTACTATTCCGTGTCATCCTTCGATGGTGTATATCTTCGTTGAATAGGGAGCTGATAGAGGCTCGAGCAATGAGACTTGTAGGATAGAAGTATGCGGGTGAGATGTATGAAATATTCGAGGTAGTGGTCTAGTGCAGCCTAGACTTGGAGGATTCTGAACAGAGCTTTGAGAAGCACAAAACAATCCATCGCAATTGTAAATAATGTAGGCGTGAATAATATTTATGCACATCATAAGGTTCCGTAACTAAATCCCTAACTCCACTAACTCCGCCCCCCGCCATGGTGATGACGGGGTGGGGCAATTGATTCGAGACCATAAATAACATTCAACCTTCATCCCATTCTTCAATCCAGGATTTTGATATTTCGAGCACAAACAGAATGGCCGCCATCCAATCCCGGAAAACTGCCTTGATCACGGGCGCCGCGTCCGGCGTAGGCTTTGCGACCGCTAAGCTCTGTCGCAGCCAGGGAATGCATCTGGCTCTGCTAGATATTAACGCCGAGAATCTCCAAAAGGCAAAGGCTGAGCTGGCGGACTTGAATCCTAGTCTCAAGACTGAGGCTTATGTGCTCGACGTCGCGGATCGAGCGAAATGGAATGAGACTGTCGCGCAAGTGTCCTCTGCCTTTGGCGGAGTGGATTTGGTCATGTTAAATGCGGGCGCGTCTTATAAGCCGCAGAGCCAAAAAGAGGGAAAACTCAAGCCGTGGTCAGATGTGGACTACTGGAAGAAGGTACATACCCCAAGTCAGCTCCTGTGATGCATTTCTAACGAGCGATCAGACCTTCGACACCAACACTATTGGCCTCCTGAACGGCATCGCAGCCACACTCCCCCTTCTCCATTCCACCACGACTCCCAAATCAATCATCATCACGGGCTCTAAACAAGGCATCACCAATCCTCCTGGCGGGAACAATCCTGCCTACAACTCCTCCAAAGCGGCCGTCAAGAACCTTGCAGAGCACCTGGCACATGATCTACGATCGGAACCCGCCAGTTCGCACATCTCGGTCCATTTGCTGGTGCCCGGATGGACATGGACCGGGTTCATGGGGAACGCCGGACCCACGGCGGAGACTGAGGTGAAGAAAATGGACGGGGCGTGGTTTCCGAGCCAGGTGGCAGAGGAGCTGTATAGGGGGTTGCAGAAGGGCGCATTTTATATCATTTGCCCCGATGATGATGTGGATGTCGCGTTGGATAATGCTCGCATGCACTGGGCTAGTCAGGATGTTATTGAGGGCCGAGTGGCGTTGTCGCGATGGGAGGAGAGTTGGAAGGGCAAGGCGGAGGAGGAGATCAAGGCCGACGCCGCAAGGAGAAGAGGATGATTAGTTTTTGAGGATGAATTTACCCAAGGATACATACAATTGTGATGTATAGAATTTTTACCAATATGGCCGAGGAAATGCCATGCGATTGAATTCGCGTTTTTACCGGCGCGTCCATCTCGCATCAGTCTGAACCACCCCTTCCACCCGAAACATGTACGTTTCTTTTTTAAGCAACGATGATGTTTCAATCAAGGGGTTTGAGAGCTGCCCTATGGCGAAGACCACTAACTCCCTTAAGAAAAGTGTCAAGAATATAATATTCTAAAACTATACCCCTGGGAACTCCGGCCGAAGAGGAGACCCTACCGCATTACAGGCCTGAGGGGCATTCTCAGTGAATTTCGGCGATCTATATGAGGGCAGATATCAAGTAACCGGCAAGCTGGGCTATGGAGCGTACTCCACAAACTGGCTATGCCGGGATCTTCGGTGCGTTTACATTGCGACCGCATTTAAGGATAAGCCCCTTGTTATTTAACATCATCACTCTAGGAACAACAAATTTCAAGTTCTGAAAATGTCCACGCCCTTGCCCAATCATCATCCCACGGCAACCGATCGTGAATTCAAAATCTACGAGCATCTCTCGAAAGTTCATTCTAATCACTCAGGACAATCGCTTATCCGCGAGCTTTACGACTCTTATGTTGTTCGAGAACAAGTTGGTAAACATCGCTGTCTTATCTTGCAGCCAATGCACATGACTCTTTTTCAAATGATGCATCTCAATCCGAGGCCGTTCGATCTGCCTCTCCTCAAAATGACGCTCAGACGGCTCTTAATGGCACCTGATTTCTTGCACACTGATGCCAATATAGTACATACTGGTACGCATCCAAGCCCCTTTCTTGATCGATCGTGCGTGACGCAATCTAACTATAGCCAGATATCAAAACCGACAATCTAATTCTTAACATAGAGGATAGCAGGATGTTGGATGACTTCGCGAGCGCGGAACTAGATGACCCCAGCCCTCGGAAAAAGGTCGATTCGTTCCCTACTATCTACAAGAGCCGTCGATTCCGCCCACTCGTTAAAGAGAAGGGCTACGGCCTCCCGACGTTGTGTGATTTTGGCGAGGCACGAATTGGAAATGTCCATGAATTCGGCCCATTTGTTCAACCTCAAATTTACCGGGCCCCGGAGATTATAATTGAGATGCCGTGGGGAAGTGCTATTGATATTTGGAATGTAGGATGTTTGGTAAGAATGGTCGTCGCCACCCCGTTGCACTGGTGTCACATCGCCTAAAGGATAGTATATTTGGGATCTCTTTGAAGGCGAACATTTGTTCGCGGATATTTTTGATACTAAAGGCGGCCATGATCCATTCAAGCATTTGGCGCTCATGGTAGCCTTGATTGGAGACCCACCGAGTGAATTTGTCAAATGCAGTGAGACAACCGAACAGTGCTTTGATTCGAGAGGTAAGCCCTCTATTTTCCTCAACATTCAAGATCGCTATATGGAACGGGGTGACTGAATTATCGACTGCCGTATCCGCATTTCCAGGTGCGTGGATAACCCATGATGAGGCAAAGATCCCTACGACCTCCCTGTGGACTAGAGAGACTCGATTAGGCGGACAGGAAAAGGAGAGTTTTCTCAAATTTCTTGAGCCAATGCTTAAGTGAATTTCGGAAGAGCGCAAGACGGCAAGGCAGCTTCTTGACCACCCTTGGTTGCTTGGATGACTGATCAATACAAGCTTCGCCCTTAAATAGCCATATTCTGCATTTGAGCACTAGACTGCTCCACAGCGACGCAAATGGTCATAGGAGAAGCGTTGACCGAACAATGCCACCAAATCGATTAAAGCCGATTGGATTCAGAAATGAATCATAGTTTGAGTATTCGTTCATGAATGCTTGATCACGGGCCCATATGCATTTTCAAACCGCTGAAATGATGGACTCTACATTATGAAAGAGGGATGTCTTGAAAGGCCATTCTCTTTCATCCTCTTAGAATCCGGGGTAGATGGCAACGTGAAGTGACTCTGTATATCCCATTTGGGATATAGCCCTAAAAGAGCGACGAATGGCACCACCCCCGATAAAATAAACGAGCTGCGATGCTACATCGACCCGGAATAGCATGGTTAGATTCAAGTCAGCAGACAATAGCGATAAGTCATGATGAAACCAGATAAGACGGGCTGTCAGCCAATGTAACATCGACGATCGCCGGATTCAGTCACAATGCGGAGGTTAGTGTGGGGGCCTCCCGCTGTGCCAGAATGCGACGCTTTCTTATCGAGCGATGATACTGTGGCTGTCATGATAAGGTAAGAAGGAAGCGTTTGGTTTTAAATCCAGCCAGGTCGGTCTCACCGAATTTCTCTCCTTTCCCCCTCCCCCCTTGCATCCCGGCACTTTCCTTTTTCCTTATCATTGCCCTCCCCCTCCTCTCCTCTCTTCATCTCGTTTTCAATTATCCGAGAGGATATCTATTATGTCGTCGAGCAACCTTCCCCCCTCTGCTCTGGAACGCCAGGACACGTCGAAGTCGGCTGCGCGGGATTCGTTTCACGATGACATCGGAAAGCCGGGGGCCTCGGCTCCTGGTGTTGTGGAAGATGTTGTCGAGGTTGTCGACCATAAGGCCGAGCGGGCTTTATGCCTTCGGTTTGACCTCAGATTGCTTCCGGTACTAGCGGTAATGTGTAGGTGTATCGAGCCTAATTGTCGAAAAATGCTGACAGTTTAGATCTCTTCAATGCACTGGACAAGGGCAATCTTGGAAATGCACAAACAGACGGACTGAGCGATGGTATGTTGGTCACCGTCTCTCTACAGCCCCCATGCTAATTACAAGCAGATCTGGGCTTCAAATCAAACGAATACAATCTCCTCCTATCCATTTTCTTCGTTCCATATGTCATCTTTGCTCCTCCGTTTGCAATGCTGGGCAAGCGCTTCAGCCCGGCCCGCGTCCTTCCCATTCTCATGTTCAGCTTCGGCTGCTTCACGCTCTTGTCGTCGGCAACTAAGAACTTCGGTGGCATATTTGCTCTGCGATGGTTTCTCGGCATGTCAGAGGCCGCTTTCTTCCCTCTCGTTATCTACTATCTCACGACTTTCTACCGTCGTGGTGAACTTGCCCGCCGTCTTGCCATTTTCTATGCGGCATCTAACATCGCGAACGCCTTCTCCGGCCTCATCGCATTCGGCGTCTTTCAGATCAAGAACTCCAGTATCCCGAACTGGCGGTACCTTTTCATCATTGAAGGTGCCGTGACCGTCCTCTTCGCCATTTTTGCGTTCTGGTACCTCCCCCGCAGCGCCAGCGAAGCCAAATTCCTATCTGCCGAGGAGAAAGCGCTCGCCTTCCACCGAATCCAAGTAGATTCCAGCGCGGTCGTCAACGAACAGTTCCGGTTCCGCGAAGCCATCGCTATCTTCAAACACCCGTCCACTTATTTTTTCCTGGGGATTGAAATCTGTCTCGGTGTGCCCCTACAAGGCGTCGCGCTCTTCATGCCCCAGATCATCCAACGTCTCGGCTTCTCCACCGTCAAGACAAACCTCTACACCGTCGCCCCGAACGTCACGGGGGCCGTCATGCTCCTAGTACTCGCCTTTGCATCGGATGCCGCCCGTCTCCGATCCCCCTTCATCGTCCTAGGCTTCCTCTTCACCTTCACCGGCTTCATGATCTACGCATCGATCGATGACGTCGAGGGCAAAATCCAAGTCGCCTACTTCGCAACCTTCATGATGACATGGGGCACGTCCGCACCCTCCGTTCTGCTATCAACCTGGTACAACAACAATATCGCGCACGAGGGCCGTCGCGTGCTCCTGACCAGTATCGGTGTCCCGCTCGCAAACCTAATGGGTCTCGTCAGCAGCAATGTATTCCGCACCCAAGACAAGCCCAAATACATGCCTGCGTTGATCACGGTCGCTGCGTTCGGGGCCACGGGCGCCGCGCTGGCCGCGTCGTTGGGCCTGTTCATGTGGTTCGATAATAAGCGACGGGATCGCAGATCGGGGCAGACTGTGAGGGCGCAGGATGTGCCGACGGAGAGGCTGCGGGATGGACCGGCTTGTGAGGAGTTTCGGTGGTTTTTGTGAGTTGGGCTCTTTGGTTTGGGTAGTTATTTGGAGATTGGGTAGATGGGTTGGGAGGATGGCAGTGCATTAATACGTTACACACATACAGTATGATTTCGCTATGACTACTTAGATAGTGCGGACAATTCATGATAATGATTATGACTGAATGATGATCGCGCCCACTTTTGCAGCTCAATTGCCGTGTTCCCCGCTTCTCCGCACCAAACGTGGGGGCTGACCCCGGATTTGGCATTTCGAATGGATCGACTTTCCCGGTTTGTCTGTGGGATGATGGTACCGTCGTACGAAATGGTGTGAATCTGGGTGTAAGCGAGGCAAAGGGGCTAGGTTGGTGAGAGCTCCAAAGTGAGTAAAGTCCAATGTTGCATGCATGATGGGCTGGGCAACGGAGAAGACACCGGAGCCTTGCACTGTCAACTGAGTTTAGTTTGATCGAGATTCTTAATTATTTACAGCCCTTTTACCTATGTTAATTATTCAATAAATTTTGCTTACTTATCTTTTCTCTACTTCCTAAAATATAAATGCAATATCGCAATGAGCGAGGAGCAGTTCATGGGCGGTGTGTCGCATTTAACCTGGAAGAATGATTGAACTCGGGATTATTAGTCTTGAAAATACATAAAGAAGATTGTATTCTCTGGTCGGAATCTACTAACCACTGAATCTCGAACGAAAGAGGATCTAAAGAACCTACAACAAGCTAAGTAGCTCAGGAGGGAAGTAAAACCAACATCTAACTAGCCTTGCAAGTCAGGACGTCTGGCCACTCGGGAAGCCGCTTTATCCATGTTGCCGGTCTGTTTGGCCATGGGTTAAAACGTACGACTAGGCGGCACATTGCTACGTGCCAAACCCCACTCAAGACAAGGGTATAGTTCAGCCTTGTCAGTCCGCGCAGGAATTTAAAAAGCGCTTGCTGCCCCGCAGGCTTGTCTGAACAAGAGAACGGCAGAAAAACGAAATAGTCAGAATCGAGAAAAAGAAAGCAAATGCCGGTATAAAGATTTGATAACGTTTTCAACTACCGAGCGGTCCGTTTTCTTCCGCACCCCCATCTAATTCGAAGCTTCATCTTTCAACGCGTCTTTATTCCACCACTATCATCTAAAATGCCTCTTTCGAAAGAAAGTAGGATTCAGAAAATTCGATCAAAAACGCGCCGCAGAGGTTTTCAGTATTCCTAAAACAACTCTACTGCGGCGGCTCAATAGAATCAAATCACGATCGGAAATACGCGCTAATAGTCATAAAATGACTGAAAGTGAAGAAGAACTACTTCTAAAGCAATTATTAGATGCAGACAAGCGAGGGTTTCCAATTCAGCCTGAATTTCTACGTAGAATGGCTCAAGTACTGCTTTGCAATCGTTTACAAGATTCTACTGCAGCCCTTGGGATTAACTGGCCTTATAAATTCGTTAAGCGCCATCCTGAACTACGTACGCGATATACAAGACGAATGACCTATCAACGAGCAAAACAGGAAGACCCAAGGGTTATAATACCTTGGTTTCAGACTGTACAGGCAGCTATTCAAGAACACGGCATACATGAGATTGATATCTGGAACTTCGACGAGACTGGCTTTGCAATGGGACTCTGCTCTACTTCTAAAGTAATTACTGCAGCTGAGCGCAGTGAGCGACCACGCAGAGTTATTCAAGGCAATCGTGAATGAGTTACAATTATCGAGACTATTGGATCAAAAGGTGTATATCTACTACCAGTTACTATATTAAAAGCAAACTATCAACAGGCTGCCTGGTTCCAAGAACCTAAGCTTGCTAGCGATTGGTGGATTGCAACTAGTCAGAATGGCTGGACGCCTGATGAAATAAGCCTTCTCTGGCTGAAAAATGTCTTCGAGCCATCTTCTAAGCGCTATATGACTGGTGCAAAGCGCTTGCTTATTCTTAACGGTCATAGCAGTCATTTAACTGCTGAATTTGATGATTTCTGCAAGCAGAATGCAATAATCTGCTTCTGCATGCCTGCCTATACTTCTCAGCTTCTTCAACCGCTTGATGTGGGTGTCTTTAGCCCACTTAAAAGGGCGTACGGAAAGCTTCTTGAAGAGCGTATAGCTGCTGGCAACAATCATATTGATAAAGAAGACTTTCTATCGCTATATCCAGATGCACGCGATAAAGTCTTTACTTCAACCAATATATACAGCGGCTTTACTGGAACTGGGCTTCGGCCGTTTAATCCAGAGCGTGTTCTCTCTGAGCTGACCTTTCAACTACGTACACCTACACTACCACTAGTTGAAGGCTCGATTTCCTCTGCTTTCCAGACTCTGCAGAATAGTCTTAATGCGAAGCGGCAGCTTTCTAGCAGTCCGATTGCTCATATTCAACATCTTGAGAAAGCTGCGCAAAAGTCAATGCAAACTACCCTTCTTTTACAGCAAGAAACCAAGGTTTTATGAGCTGAAAATGGGCGAAAATACAGAAAGAAAGCAAGAAGGCGTGCTCTATTAGGGAATGATAACCTTCTATCTGTACAGGAAGGCCAAAATTGCGTTCAGCAGCTTGATACGCAGCTTAATGAGCAACCTGAGGAATCTACTCCGGTGCCTCGTCGACGAGCTCCACGACGCTGTAGTGGCTGTGGGATAGTTGGACACACAATTCGAGATTGTCCTAGTAAATAGCTATCATTTCATATATTAATTTAGTCATCTCTGATGGTGTTGGTAGTTGTAAGCGTCGAATTAGATGGGGGTGCGGAAGAAAACGGACCGCTCGGTGGTTGAAAACTGTTGAAAACTAGAGATGCCTATTAAGCCACAAAAAGATGTTATAACACCTAGTTATGCTCAAAGTGCAATATCTAGGACGTTCTCACGTTGACAAAAACGTTATAGGATCTTAACTTCTGTAGTTTGCTCCATGGTCATGCTGCATGCCCGTTTATATTTTTGTCAGATTTCTGTCGAATTCTTGAAATTGAGTAATAATATGGGTAGCAGGTTGTCGCTCTGGAATGCACATCATAGTTATATGGCCTCTGCAAGTGAACATTAGCCTCTAAGACGATATTTCAACGACCAAGCCACCATAATCCCCTAATAGTGAGGCAACAATACTGACCTTAGCTTCTCAGTCTCCGGCCGTTAGCCGGTATCAGTGAAGAAAGGCGAAGTGGGTCATCTCCATCGGTGACGTAGAATTTTCGCCGAAACATTATTAATCCTTTTCGCCTTTTCTCCAATCTCCAACACCAACTTTCTTCCCCGTGGAAAATCTCCAATGATTTCATATATTTAGCTTTGGGATCTTCAAACAAACTTTTAGCATTTCAATTTGAGTTGACACCCCCGGATATTTCATCCCGCGTTCTTTCCTGCATCACCCACAGATTATAAAGATTAGCACACCTATACACATCACACAATGACTACAATTCCGCAGTGGAGCTCCCCTCTGAAGGGTTTGGATTCCTTGAAGCTTTCGGAGGGGCCGGCACCGACACCAGGAAAGGGTGAAGTGCTTGTTGAGATTCGCGCCGTGTCTTTGAACTACCGCGATGTTGAAGGTAGATTGCCTGATCCCTCTTTCTCTTCAAACACATATCCACCACTATCACTGTATGATTAAAAATTGGTTAAACTAACGATCAAAGTCTGCAACGGCGAATACACTCATCACAAGGCCGTCGGCCAGCAGGAAACCGTCCCCTGCTCCGACATGTGCGGTGTGATCACGCAGCTCGGCGAGGGTGTCAGCGAGTGGAAGGTCGGTGATCGCGTCCTCTCAACTTTCCTCCCCGAGCACCAGACCGGCCAGGTTACGGAGAAGGAACTCTCCCGGGGTATGGGCTTGCCTCTGCCCGGTGTCTTGACCACGCATCGCGTGTTTCCCGCCTACGGAATTGTCCGCGCCCCGAGCTACATGAGTGACGAGGAGGCTAGCACTCTACCTATTGCTAGCGTCACGGCGTGGATGTCTATCAATGGAATGAGGCCAATGGGCCAAAACGGTGGTAATGGCGAATTTATCGTTCTTCAGGGCACCGGAGGTGTTGCGATCGCTGGGTTGCAGATCGGAAAGGCTTCCGGAGCGAAGGGTGCGCTTTGATAACTCTCTCTATCAACACGCCTGAACTTGGTTTTCGCTAATACTAACGCAAACAACAGTCATTATCACATCCTCCTCGGATGCGAAGCTCGAGCAGGCCAAGGCCCTCGGTGCAGACTACGTGATCAACTACCGCACGCAACCCAACTGGGAAGAGGAAGTGATGCGCGTGACGAACAACCACGGTGCCGATATCATTCTCGAGACCGGTGGCGCCCAGACCCTTAAGAAGAGCTTCGACTCCATCGCCTTCGGTGGACTGATCGACTGCATTGGCTACGTGTCTGGAAAGGTCGATGCACCGGAGGACCGTACGAACGTAAACTTGTTGGCGCTGCGACGAAACGTGACGATCAAGGGCATTATCAATGGTCCGAAGGACCGATTCGAGGAGATGGTGGGCTTCTATGAGAAACATCAGATCAAGCCTGTTGTGAACCGGGTGTTCGGGTTCAAGGAGGCGGATCAGGCTTTCAAGTTTTTGGCTAGTGGGTCTCACTTTGGAAAGGTGGTTATCAAGGTGGCTTAGATATGCACATATATTTTGATATAATGTTATAGATGGCTGTGGTTGGAGGATTATTCCAGGGGGCTTTAGAGAATCACAAGCCCTCCAGAACAGCAAGTCAGCTGTAAACGCCGTTGTAGAAGCTCACTTGTTATGCATCAGTCGATTGCGGTCTGAGACAACCAGAAAGTAGCATCATCTGGTTCATATTATATCATCTGGTAATATGTTGCATACGGGGAGCTAGTTTAAGATAACCGATCTAGCCTGATCCCTGACAAAAATATACTTTCACTCTCGTCTTCTTGGCTTAACTAGAGCAGAAGACCATGTGTACTGTACGTGAAGAACTGTCGTTGGTGGCCAGCTATCTTGCCAGGGCGAAAAATTGCTTATCTATTGATTGCTCAGGATTTTCACAACAAACCTACTGGGTTCGACTTTTGATCTTCACTCCGGTCCTCAGTCTTGGTATCTGCTGTGTTTACCATCGAAACACGTGACCTTACTATCTGGCTTGTCGCGGGATTGGAGAAGCTGTTGTACTTAAGCAGCATCGGAAATAATCCACTTGATGGTAGTCAGCTACTACCTTCTATAGGGTGGACAGTCATCGGGCATGATTGGCACTTATATATAGCATTCAGGGGAACGTTTGAAGGGCAAGATAGAATTGTGAGAAGCTATACCGGCCCTATCCTAGGTTCCGAGCTAACACTTTTAGTATATTGATGGCCCTCTCGAAGGCGTGACGGCTAGCACGAGGACCTACTACGGGATCTTTAAAATAATAGACCTGGTTCGGAAGGTCTGTGATTGTGCCGAAAACAGATACTGGCCCTGGCTACGTGATGAGGTTCCGGAAGCTTTACAAAATGCTGAGCATTGATATCAATATATGGCTAGGTCTCCAAGGATGAGTGATAACGAATTATGACATGACGTTTAACAAATAAACCAAGTATTCCCCTTCTTTTCCTTTACCCTATGTGATATTATCGAAACCACTTTTGTATGCAATTTAAGGTATGCCAGCATTTGGAGTCGGCAAAAAACAGAACCCCCACTTCAGTACTCAGTAGCCATTACCTCCACGTGGAGAGCCAAAACAGGGGGACGAAACCTCCGACGCATTTGATGGTGTTAAACAATAGTATTTTGCATCTAGCCCTAAGCCTTAGTAACGTTTGTTAACGGTAGTTAGTAGTTAGTCGAGTAGCGGAGACGGAGTGCCAAGAGCCCGCTCCCGCCCGGACTCCACGGCATGTGCAGCTCCGCGCCTTCCACACAGCCTGAGCTCTCCTTCCTCACGAACGCTTCGCACCATACCATACATGACGAATTTCATCACTAGAAACAGCTGAAATATCTCACCTGTAGTTGATCATCATGGAGACTCCGGATCGCCGCGATTGCCGGGGTGCCGATTCAACAGCGAATTCGGTGGGGCCTGACGATTCAGACTTGGATGAGGAGCCGGCCAGGGGCTCCGAGTACCAGGCTATTTGTGACGAGATATTAGCCCCAAAGCAAGCCGTGAGCCCTGATTTCGAGCATTACTTTGTGGATGATTTATGCTAATGAGGACTTAGTGCAACCGCTGTCGGCGGCGCAAGGTACGTCACTCATGTCTGCAGACAGACAGGGCTCATAGTTGATCAGATACGATGTAATCGCGCCAAACCATGTTCAAACTGTGTTCGCTACAGGTCAGAATGTATTTATCCGAGCATAGCGCATCACAGGGAAAAGCGACAGCGCATAAATGTGTCAGCACAGTAGTGAGCTACCTGACCCGCTCTACAAATTGCCTTCATGAACGAAATTGATTTGTCGACAGTGAACAAAAGATCGATCAAATATTCAAGATACTGGATGAAATGAAGGGAAATATTGATAATCTGTCACAACTGTCAACGACGTCTACACGAATTGCCCAAGAATCGAGTTCAGAAGCCCACCTGAATTCTAATGGTGATTATCATGACACAACATATTCTGATGGCGAGCTAGAAGACGAGCCTTCTTTTTTGAACCATGCTCTATTTGCAAGTCAGATCCTGAATGGTCATATCTCGGAGTCCAGTTGTTCAAATGACCTGGTCCGGAAGATGGCGTCGTCTTTAGATAGATTGCGCGAAGTTGTTTATTCCCAAAAACGACAAAAGGCCACGCTGCAAACCCTTTATCCGCATTCAAAGACTATTGTGCTTGGGAGTGACTTCAATGATCTTCCGATCCCGCCTGTTGAGATCAGTCTGGAGTGCTTGCAAAGAGCCAAAGGTAGCGTCATCGGTAGTAACCAATGGGTGATACGAGCTAACAAGAAGAGAATACCCCAGAAAGCCAACATGTACAGTTCTTTTGGCTGAGCGAATTCGTCTCCCTGTCTCAGTTCACTGAATACCTGGTCAAAGTTTACTCACCCGGGCCTAACTCCAACACTGATCTGATTATTGTTCTCGGTGGCATGTTTTGGCTTTTTTGTGAATGCGCTCTGGAGGCCACTAATAAAAAAACACGGGAAGAGTATTGGAATCAGGCCGCAGTTTGCCGAGAGACTTTGGAGACCATCTTATATCATCTACCGTTTCACGCCTCGGTTGGTTTCGACTCTGCTCTAGCCATGAGTGTCGCGGTATAGCTCCAAACCATTGTATTTGAAAGTCAGGGTACGATCTGACATTACCTCAGGCATCTTATTGTTTTCGATCCGGCAAGCTATCGGCAGCCTGGGGTTTTCTTGTTAACGCAGTGCATCTCTGCCAAACCCTAGGTTTTCATAATCCGCATGTCTTGCGCATTGATTGCCAAGAGTTCAGACAGCGCAAAGCAAAATTATTGTGGAGTGTCTATACTCTAGAGCGAACTCTTTCATTTCATTTCGGCAGGCCATCTACTTTCAACGACAATGATATTGCCTTGCCTCGGTTGGACATCTCTCCAGATGAAACGATGGACTCACCGTTCAATATTACACTCACTAAACACATCCATATAGCAGCCATTAGAGGGAGGGTATATAATGAGATCTATAGTCTCAGGGCTCTGTACCAACCAATTAACATAAGAGCCTCTCGCGCAAGGAGCCTTGCTAGTGAGTTAGTCAGTATCGTGGAGCATGAGGACGAGTTTGAGGTAAGTTGATACCTCTTGATCTAACTATCCGAACCCACTATGCAATTATCATTTTGACACGGGCACCTTTTACATTTCCAGAATTGACACTTTTTTAGAGAAGATACAATGAAGCCAGACGTCGCGCGTTAGGATCAACCCTACACGAGCTTTTTCTTCGGGCTGCCAGGATCAGTGAATTGTCGCTTTTGACGCTATTATATCGTGGCATACCACCTGAAAATCCATCCAATGCAGCCTTCTGCGACGAGTGTTTCGCTGCTGCCAGAGCTGCGTTAGAGGAACATCAACGCAGCGTATCCATAATCACTAGCGCTCATGTAAAAGGACATCCGCTTGACCTCTATGTAAATTGGTACGTGCGTCCTATCTAGAACACGTCATTAGTTAAACCTGTCCTGGTTTGCCTTTGACTCATGCACTTGCTAAGCATACCATACCAGGTCCTTCCTTCTGTTTCCGTTTTTTCCTTTCATAGTTCACTTCTGCCATGCAGTTCAGACATGTGAACAAAGAGACCTCCATCTACTCAAAAGCGTCGTCGAAACCCTTGAATCGATATCCGAGTCAGCATTCTACCAGACCTGTAGCAAGCAGATCCGCCTTTTTCGGGCTCTATATGATATCGCGGAGAATTATACTGAGTTTAAAACCAGTGAATCTGAGCAACAGATAGCTAACAGTGATTTGAACACAATGCTGACCACTATGGGTGCTCCGATTCTTCCCCAATCGTCAGCGTCTCTTGCACATTCAATTGATACAGCAGCTATTGATGGGGCTCCTACATCTGGGATAGATAACCCTGCTTTGCACAACTGGAGTTCGGGGTTCGAATATACTTCAGGAGGGCCATCTACTGCGGGTGTGGATGAAATGGGCCTGGAACTGGGAAGTTGGTTTCAAGGGAGCCACGAAATGCTTCGGCTATTGGATGATAGCTGCTTTTGACAGTATAACATATATTTTCCCTTGAGTAGCAAATACCAACAAGATAATACCATTAAACCCAAGGAAAAAAAGTATGATTTGCGAGAAGTAAGGATCCGGTTCTTGCGGCCTGGCGGAGCGCCAAGACACCGCCTCCGCCCAATGATTGCGTGCGGACAGCGGAGCCCTCAAGCCCGCCCTCCGCCCATCATCCCTCAGCTTGTACCTAGTAATTGGGATTTGATTTATCCTATATCGTGGGTATTTAAAGGTACTATTATCCCCGTTGTCTCGTGCTACCCTATCATTCTCTTGCACCCATTTCCTGCATTCTCCCCTTCCCGTGAGCAGAATTCCCCACTTCTCAAATAACTTTGACACTTGCCATACCAGGTCCAGTCCAGCATTGACACAAAAAAAGCAACTATGAAGTACCGTGGCGTCGTCTACGATGTCGGACTAAAGTTCGAGGAGAGCAAGTATTCGGTCGAGCCGTTCGATCCTGCTCAGGTAGAATACGACATGCGAATCATTGCCAACCAGCTGCACGCTAATGCAGTGCGACTCGAGGGAGAGGAGATCACCCGACTGGAAACGGCTGCACGCGCTGCTCATTCGGTGGGTCTAACTGTGTTTTTCAATCCCTGGAAGATGAATGAGGGCGTCGAAGGGACCCGCGCCTATTTTCAAAAGGCCGCACAGGCGGCCGAACGATTATGTCAAGAAGGGCTTGATTTGGTCTTCGTGGCTGGCTGCGAGTATACGATCTTTAGCAAGGGGATCTTTCCTGGCGACTCGTTCTATGAACGAGCAATGTGGCTTGGTGCTCAGTTGACGAGCGGTAATATTTCGGATGATATCCCTCCAGCCGTGCGAGGCAAGTCCGTCGAGCTGAATAAAGTATTGCGCTCTTTCGCGGAAGTTATTCGCGCCGAATTTGGGGGACTGTTGACATATTCATCTGGCACCTGGGAGTTGGTAGACTGGGACATCTTCGACATAGTGGGTATCGACTATTATCGGCGAGGCGAGACCGAGGAAAAGTATGTATCAGGACTCGAGCGTTACAGGTGCGATAAGCCCCTTGCGGTTATGGAGCTCGGGTGCTGCGCCTACGAGGGAGCTGCTAAACGAGGAGACGGTGGTTTCATGCTTCTGAAACGTACGAATCCGGATGGTAGCGGCGTGTTTGAAGACGATGTCGTCCCGACCAGGAGCGAGCGTGAGCAGGCCGATTATCTAAGCATACAGCTCGGTCTTCTTGCTGCTGTGGACGTCCACGCGGCTTTCGTCTTTGTCTTTGCGTTTCCGTGCATGCCAACAGGGGAAGGGTGCCGGGATCTTGATATGATGTCTTTCTCGTTGGTCAAACATTTTCCTGCTGAGGATTCGAGGTCGAAGGGTATGCCTCCATGGGCGCCGAAGGAATCGTTTCACAGGGTCGCTGAGGTCTTTCGCTCTATGCTTGAGTCCGATCCACAGTCGCTTACTGTATCTTGAATAAATTGATCCAATCAGTTAATCATACGATTGCTCCGTATCTCCACCTAATTCCTCTCGTCGCTATCGGAACAATAATTCATACGATTCTAGTGAAGATAGTATACTATCATATAAGACTATATACAACAAGAAAAATATCACATTCTTAAACTCTGACGAATAGACACTGAATAGAGTATTATCGATTAGAAGATCTAGATTGACATTCTCAAACCGAGACACTCCTACACAGCTACTTCGCATTCAAATCATCATTCCCATTCAAATCATCATTCCCATTCAAATCATCATTCCCATTCAAATCCTCCTTCAACTGCTGATCACCCACGACCACAGGCTGGCACTCCTGCAAGACAAACACCATCCTCGCCCACTCCGTCTTGCTCAGATTTCGCCACTCATGCATAGTAGCCCTCTGCACCGCAATATCCCCCCTCTTCAACAACCTCCTATCCCCCGAATCCAACAACATCTCAATCTCGCCCTCCAGCACAACCCCATAATCCAGGCTCTGTGTCCGGTGCATCACTCCGGGACTTGCTGGCGCAAAGTCCACTACTCGACAGACTGTTCCGCCCGGGTTGACAAGTCCTAGGGACTCTGAGTCCATGACCTCTTGGTTTTTGACGAGGTCGGTGTCATTGTTTAAGTTTGCGGGGAATTCGGAGGTCGTGTACGCGACGCTGAAACCGATGCTCTTTTCACGGAGGGAGATCCATGAGGCGGGTGATTCGGATTGGATGGTTGCTTCGCCGGAGGGGTTGTGGGTTGTGATGTAGCGGGTGAAGTTAGGGAGAGGGGAGGGTTGACCGGGTTCTATTTGGTATTTGGTTTTGATGTCGGTCATTTTGGTAGGAGGTTGTGGTTAATTAGGGGTGGAATGGAGAGGGAGTCGTGGATTGAGGCACGGGAGATATTGTGGAGGTGAAGTTGGACAAAGATATGTGTTTGTCTCCCACCACGTCACATGCGGGGTGAGTTGGCATAAATAGAGGGGTTCTACTTGATGATTAGTTATCATTCATGATTTGTTATGCATTGGTTGAACCCTAATTCTAATCATATTCTAGGCTGGGGCCAAATAATGTCGGTGTGATTCTAAACCTTGGGACAACCCAACCACAGAGTTAGGGTTATAGAGAACATGTCAACATTCACGTGTCTTCAGGCTATCATAACCCATGAAGCTAATACTATCTGTGAGAATGTAAATAAAGAGGTGAATCTGACTCTCAGAGAGAATTCCAAAATGATCGACAATTTAGTGTGGAGCTTATTTTGCCAATATAATTGGACGGAGCAGCTGTGGGTGACGGTGGAAAGACCATGGTTGTGCGTCGTCTTTGGTTTAGAAAGTGTACCCTTGACTGCCGCCTTAAGTTATCAATTTGACTGAACTAAACCATGTCCTGCTGGTTCGATGCATAAATTACTATCCTCAGCGCGTACAAAGCATTGAAAACAGCACCCTAGGCTACCAGATTTTGTTCACGAGATGCTCATCTACTACCTGCCTTAACACGTTCCTCATGTTTTTCTTTTTCCAAAATGCCTCAAACCAATACGTAGAACCCAAGATTGATTTTATTAGCCTTATTGAGCGACGTGACAGCCAAAGATGTCGAAGAATAGACAAAATAAATCATGTTCCATGTAAAGTGTAACTCCCAATAGTTTGTTATTTCACAGATTTTGGAACAGTTCATATTTATATGTGAGCTTGCAGACTCTCTCTGGAACTTAAATCGCCAAACTACAGTCCAAAACGCTGTGTAATTTGTGGAAATATTAGATCTAGCTTTTCTTAGCAGGTTTTGGGATAGGAATACTTATTGTATCCCTATATTCAATGGTTATTGGTCGGTCTTGAGAGAAGCAAGGCACGGAAAATTCTTAATTCTTCTGCTGAAAGGGGATGACATCCCTTGATTGATTTCAAACTTCATCTTTCTTCATATAGACATCGAAAGCCAGCAGCGTTGATTATATCTCATGATCACACCTTATGACGCCTATCTTATCGCCCTCATCATGAATGACTCAACCCAGCAGATTCGCGGTCATATTATTCGCCAAATCCGAGTGGTTCTTTCGAGTTTCGACGAGACATCGGTTCAGACACGATGCGAATACTCGGAGATACCCCGAACAGCGTTCTTGATCCTAAGGACTATTTCGAATCTATACGTCTATTTCCCTCAGAAGTCCAGGATTGTCTTCATGAATATTGTGCCAACAACAAAGCTTGTTTCGTCGCTATCAATATCTACCGTGGAAAGCACTCCTATTTTGTGGTCGACCTCAATAATACCGCTTATAACAACCAAACTGCTCGTGAATGCAAAAAATTAATACCTGTCTTATGTCCTTCGCCACTCGAAGAGACAACCCATAATTTTCAGGAAGTGAGAGCTGGATAGACCGATCGCCGAAACTTTCGCACAAAGGCCATCTATGGAGGGATATCTCGGGCCTAGACCTAATGATTGGCGATTCGAAAGCCTGGGACAGCTCAACAGCTGTTATTAGAACTAAGAGGAACGTAATACGGATAAATAATGTTTCATGTCCCTTTAATCTAATATAATTTGTAGAGCCATCAGTGCTTGTGATGTTAATAGCATGGTTGTTCCGACTCTCAGGGAAATCATAAGGTGATCGACGATTTAGTGTGGAGCGTATTGTGCCGAACAGTAGATCAGAGCACTGCTTCCTACTGCGTTCGTACGAAGTAAATATCCTTTCAATGCAATAACGAGATATCCTGATCCAATAAATGACATACTATAAGTTCAACTGTGGACGTATCAACTCGGGCTTTTTTCTCCAAATAAGACTTATACGACACAATCTTCTTCCCTATTCTACCTCAACAATCAACCTAGTACTCCCTCCCCACTGATCTACACACCTCACCTCCACCAAAAAAGACGTGCTCCGGACCCACAGTTATACCATAGCTAACATATGATTTCAAGCACTCTAAAGAGATAGTAATAGCATCATCGTCCCCAAAAGCTCGCAATCAGGCACATCCGTCCCTAGTATTTGTCAATGCACCCGCACGCGTCATAACATGCCTCCCAATCTAGTAGCATACACCTCATCTGTCAGTCCCCAGCGCTGATCATCTATTAAGATGAAGCTTACAACAGGAATGCTTCGCATAGTGCCGTTTCGACGTCGATCCCCCCCGGCTTGAAGTAGGGGATGGGGTATTCTGCGCGGGTGAATAGGTGAGTTGTGATTGTGTGGGGGGATGGTGTTATTGGTGATCTTATCTAGACTTTTGATCTACTTTATGTCGGTGTATGGGGTGGTTAAGAGGGGAAGAGAGGGTGTATATATATCTGTGGTTTTCGGGAGAAGCAGAGAGAGAAAACAGAATACTTGCAGCCGAGTTACCCCGTTAAAGAATATGAAAACAGGCATTCTTCTAGGTAGCATCCTTACCTGCCTCTCGGCCGCAGCCGAGGCAGCCAAACAACCAAATATCCTTTTCATTCTCACAGATGACCAGGGAAAGTATATCGGGGGGTTGGAACATATGCCTAAACTTCAGGTATGAGAGTACCGCCTTCTTCATATCCATCTTATATTTCCTCCGATGAGTCTTTAAAACCAAGTCACCCACTGATCCGCAAATTCATCTTCCAGCAAACCCTCGTCCAAAAAGGAACCACCTACACAAAATATTACTGCTCTATCGCCCTCTGCTGTCCCTCCCGAGCAAATCTCTGGACCGGTCGCATGCCCCACAACACAAACATCACCGACGTCGGACTTCCCTATGGCGGATATCCCAAGATCGTGTCTGCCGGCTGGAACGACAATTACCTACCCCTGTGGATGCAAGACGCAGGCTATGATACTTACTACGTCGGCAAACTGTGGAACTCGCATACAGAGGAGAATTATAACGCGCCGTATGCGCGTGGATTCAACGGCTCGGAGTTCTTGCTCGACCCGTGGACGTATAGATACTATCATGCGCGGATGACGCGGAACGGGGAGAAACCGGTGAAGTATGATGGGAAGTATTCGACTGATGTGATCAAGAACAAAGCATTAGGATTTTTGGATGACGCCTTGAAAGAGGAAAAGACGAGACCGTTCATGTTGACGGTTGCGCCGAACGCGCCGCATTCGAATGGGAGTCATGATCCTGGGCGAGGCACGACGTGGTTCGGCGAGCCGGAGTATGCGCCGCGACATGCGGGGCTGTTTAAAGATTACAAGATCCCGAGAGATGATAGCTTTAATAAGGTCATTCAGGGAGCGGTTGGGTGGACGGCTGAGTTGTCTGAGTTGAGTCAGAAAGAGGTTGATTATATTGATGAGTTTCAGCGGTGTCGGTTGCGGGCGCTCCAGGCTGTCGATGAACTCATTGCGGAGTTGATCGAGAAGTTGGATAAAGCTGGGGAGTTGGATAATACGTATATCTTCTTTTCGACGGATAATGGGTATCATATTGGACAGCATGCTATGCAGCCGGGGAAGAATTGTGGATATGGTATGACCATGTCTTTCATGACTTTTATTCATGCTACGAATACTAACCGCGACAGAAACTGATATCAACGTCCCCTTAATCGTCCGAGGCCCAGGGATCCCCGAAGATGCTACTCTAGATGCCGTGACTAGCCATACTGATCTGGCGCCTACATTCTTATCGCTTGCGGGCTCCTCCAGACCTGGTCTCGATGGAAAGCGCATCCCCACAACGCTCGATGCCGGCAAGGCAGACAACAAGACCGAGCATGTTGCCATTGAATACTGGGGACGGGTAAGTCTTCCCTATCAATGTCGTGTCATGAATCACCGCATTGGGGTAATTTGCTAACAATTAAAAACCAGGCTATCCCTGAAGGAATCTATGGCCACTACAGCGACAGAGGCGAACAGCCCGGCAACGGCTACCGCAACAACACATACAAGGCTGTACGTCTTGTATCTGAAGACTACAGCGTCTACTACGCCGTATGGTGTACGAACGAGCAGGAGTTCTACGATCTGAAGGTCTGTCATGAAATGCTCTCCATTTCCCCAGTTTAGCAAATGGTCAACTCCAACCCTAACCAACACTGACACTATCACAACTATGTTTCTGTAGAACGACCCCCACCAAACAACCAACCTCGCCTCAAAAGACACAAAATCTAACTCAACTACCATTGCCTCTCGTCCACTCCCTCAAATCCTCTCCCGTCTAGATACCCTCATGCTCGTCCTGAAATCCTGCACTGAGGACTCTTGCCGCTACCCCTGGCGTCATCTGCACCCGGCCGGGGAGGTCAATAGTCTGGCAGATGCGCTGGATGAAGGATTCGATAAGTTCTATGCAAGCCAGCCGAAAGTGGCGTTCTCTGAATGTAATCTGGGATATCATACGTGGGCGGAAGGACCGCAGGAGTTTAATATCTTTGGGCAGGGAGGTGGGACTGAAAAGAGAGGATGGGGATTGTTTGGCTTCGAGTGGGTTTGAGGGACCTTTCTTGACTGATTTGGTGGAGCGGAGGTTTGTTGGGGTATGGAAGTGATGGACTATAGATAATGACAGCGACATGGCTGTATTGCCTACTCAATCGGAGTGAAATGCTTGCATTCTCTATGAAAAGGGGTTGAGCGCTATCTAACTGAGATATGTGGGTTTGCCAAGCCGCCATATAGGGAAGGCGGACTGCGGCGGCAGTATCGCCAACACACCCCCCCCATGGCGGCGAAGGCGCTCGTTCGATCGATTCAACGTCCAACTCCTTCAAGAACGCAATAAAATAAAACAAATTC